TAATTCAGAGATGTTGGAGAAGCTACAGGCAAACTCTACAGAAAGCGCGATTGGTGTCATGAAGAATGCAATTGAGGCGAAGAACAACATGCGAAAACGACCGAGGAATTTGTTTAAGAGCAGGATTAACACTGATAATACTGTTGAAATTAACAACAAAGAGTTGTTAGCACCACCCAAGAAACAACGAAAGATTAAAGCTAAATGATTAAATTTTGTAATTAATAGAAAAATAAATTTGTATAACGGGGCATCCATTAACTAATAAATAAATAATTAATATTATCTATTTATCATAGCTAGTAGCGCCAAGAGCGGAAATTACTGAAAGTAATCTGATATCATTACTCAAGGTCTTGATCGATGACCTTTTCATTCTCGTTTGTACACACAACACGCTACTACACATTCCTATTCCCAATTCAATTCAACAAGTTGTACGAGAAGCGTAGTGTTCAACATGGTTGAAAGAAATCCTGGTTGCGAACTAGGTACGTCAAAACTAATAATAAATACTCTATTAGCACTAATAATCATCTGGTTTTGTAGATTTAGAATGGATTCACGCAGTTTCCGTGAATTTACCAGCTGTAAAAGAGAAAGCAGACAAAATCCAACAATGTAGGGTATTAAAAGACGAATATCGTGCTGCGTGGTTGTTAAAAGCAGTCACAATGATCGATTTAACTACATTGGGCGGTGATGATACTGTTAGTAATGTAACCAGATTATGTCACAAGGTAATTTTATGATAAAGATAAAAACGTGTATGTATGGTTGCATAGTTTTCTCTTATTTTATCAAAAGGCAGCAGAACCGATTGCTTCTGATCTCCTGAATGCGCTTGGTTCTGATTACGGCAAAGACTCGCCCATTCATACTGGTGCAGTATGCGTTTACCCAACAAAAGTGGCCATAGCAAAGTCTACACTAAAAAAACTCGGAGTCAGCGGGAAAATCAACGTCGCCGCAGTTGCCACCGGCTTTCCCAGCGGACAATACTCATTAAAAACCCGCCTGGAAGAGATCCGCCATGCTGTGGCTGAGGGAGCAGACGAAATCGACATCGTTATTGATCGCAGCCTTGTGCTCACAGGCCAATGGAATATTCTATATCAAGAAATTCAACAGATGAAAGAAGCCTGTGGTGCAGACGTCCACCTCAAAGCAATCTTAGCTACAGGAGAGTTAGCAACACTAAACAACGTGTACCAAGCTTCTCTGGTAGCCATGATGGCCGGCTCAGACTTTATCAAAACCTCAACAGGGAAAGAATCTGTTAACGCTACATTACCATTCGGCATAGTTATGGCGCGGGCCATTCGCGACTATTATCAGCGAGTAGGCTATCGAGTGGGACTAAAACCAGCCGGCGGGATACGCACAGCCAAAGACGCGCTGGACTGGCTGGTGTTGATCAAAGAATTCTTAGGCGACGAATGGCTGCAGCCGGAATTATTCAGATTCGGCGCTTCCGGCCTCCTCGGCGACATCGAATGCAATCTATTTGAACTTGTCACAGGTCGCAAATCGAATCCGATCTCCTTCACTGTATAACAAATGGCTCATCATTTAATAATTGATTGATTTATAAAATATATACTCTTTATACAAATTATGTGACATAACTCCTGTGTTGATAATTTCTAAAATTACAAACATTGGCACAACACACGTATCGTTAAAACTAAAAAAAACTCACTGATAGAAAACATCTACGTCTTTTCGCGCTTCTTGTAATTGCGTTTGCTGGCACACCTATTAATTATATCAGTCACGTGCACCTTGTGATCAAAGATCTTCATTATCGCTGTGTTGGCTTCAACCATGCCATCTTTAATAATTTTCACTCTTTGCATATTGCCCTAGGAAAAACAATCATATGAAAATCATGAACGTATACAGCGCATTTAATAATACCTTAATCAATTCAGTAATCCGATTTATATCTGGATTACTCAAATCCTGCTTGTCGGTGAATTTCAGAATATCCGACAACTGATTGTGCACACTGTGTTCCTCTTCAGCCTATCACAAATAAAATACTCTCAAGATTATTCTATTGTAGCTTCCTAAACTTACCAAGTCTTCCATTTGAGTCGATAGATGATGTATTTTCCATCCGTTGACTTTCTCAAGAACGCGATGCTGATTTGACATCTCAATAATAGTCGCACGTCGTTCGTCTTTCGGCCGCACATCCGAATAACGCTGATAATGATTATTTGTGGTTTTCCAGCGTTGCATATAATTAAGAAGACTAGCAGACGCAGGCTTGCGTACACTTGCAACTCCTCGCCGGGACTCCGGTGCCCCATCCTGCGGCCCATCAGAATTCATCCCGTCGGAATCATCATGCTCACGTTTATGATCACGCTCCGATATAAACTGCATATCATCGTCATTTTCATCCAAATCATTTCCCGCCCTTGAGATACAATAAAATTAAGCAAACATTATAAATTTTCATCGTTAAACCTCACTTACAAATTTTGTTTTCGTGGTTTCTTGCGGGGACTCATCTCAAGCGGTGGGCGATTTTCTTCCTCCTCCTTATTCATTGGTAAGTGTTGATTGCTATCGTCATTGGCGTCTGCTAAGCCTGGACTCGACGTAGCTGAAATAGTCGTGCTTCCCCCTGAACTATGCCCATTATTTCGCGAGTCTGGCCTCGATGGTGGAGACAACGGTTGTTGTAAATTCGCCAGACTAGACATGAGATTCTTAGCTGCCTTAAGCGGCGTATTGCTGTCATGCTCGCGTTTTCGCAGGATACTCGGCCGCGGCGACGACGTAACCTTGGCTTGCATGTTCTGCACGTCTGCAGAGTTCTCAGCAACGCTGTAAGAACTACGTGCGTCCGTACCGACAATCAACGGGTTGAGGCGATTCGTCTGGCTGACGACGACAGGCGTATTGGATGTGAGTCGTTGTTGTGATGGTGGTAAAGGCGGCTGTGCCTGACCGCCGGTCGAGATAGCTGTGATTGTAGTGCCGCTAGCTTGACCAAATGTGCGCGGAAATCTGCCGCCCTCATCGTAGAACGAATACTTTGCACCCGAAGTGGTTGACGCGGGCTGAGTCTGTGACAGTGGGCCTATAACATCAAATTATCTTATCATATTTATCTGATAACGTTTAGATATTTACAGGTTACTACTTACCTGGTGAAGTTCGCCGTACAGCCGAGTGTTGCACAGATGTTTGCAGATACAAACCGGTTGGTTGACCGGCAATACCCATGGCGTGGCTGGCCACAACAGTTGCTGGCCTTTGAGTGAGAGTTGTTTGTGAACCAACTGGAATATATCACATTATATAATTATCCAAAAAAATATACTCATTACTCACTTGTACGTGGTGTTGATAACGTCGATGTCTTTAAACCAGCCTGCTGCATAGGCGGTAGGTGAATAGTGGCTGGCTGTGCAACCACTTTTGCACCTTGTGCTGCATTCCCACGATTTGAGACATTACTAGTAGGTACAACCAAATTCGGCCGCATTTGCGTCAGGATCGGATTGACAGAAGTAGCTGAATTTGTCACAGAGACTGTAATCCTCCCAAGCGAAATATTCGACTGCGTGGAAATAATCCTCGTCGGCGCAGAAGTCGCCTGTGAGGCTGGAATTGCTGTGATTCGCGCAGCAGGGGTAAGCACGGCACCCTGCGGGGCTAAAATCCTCGTCGCACCTACTGTAACCGGCACGGCCAGGCGCGCAGCTGTTACTTGTCCCATTGGACGAGTTGTTACTGTAGTAGGACCACGAGGAAAAGCGGTGGGTGTCCCAGTGCTGTAAACCAACGTACGTGATGGTACAACTTGCGCAAGCGTTACTGTTGTATTAAGAGCTTGAATACCAGGAACTGCAGTTTTAAACTGATGCAACTGGAAATTTACAAATACAAGATTAGAATATTCAAAATAACGCATAAAAATATTAACCTACTTGATTCTGACCAATAATAGCCGACGGCAGAATAGTGTTTTGTTTAATAGTGGATACAATTTGTCCCACTTGTGGTTTTCCTACAACTGCGGTCGCCTTACCAGCGGTGATGGACGCAGCGCGACCTGCAGTCAACACGGTAGGCACACCTTTAACTTGAGATCCGTTTGCACTGCTTGTACTGATCCATGTTGTTCCAGGACTTTGCGTGCGCGGGTTGCGCACTAAATTGGTGGCTTGACCTGGTGCCGCCGCAGTCACCAGCAGAGGACCGCGGATAGCACCTGCTACATTACTGCGCGGTGCAGATAAATTCGCAACTACTGACGCTCCCCGCGGCAAGTGGGATGATGTTTGTGCTCCAACTGGAAACGTGAGCTGACGCTGCACTTGTGCTGTATTTATAATTCCTGCAGAAATATTTTTATATAGCTGAGTAGGTTTATTATATTATTATCCTGAAAATACCTTGCTTGATTATGGTGCCCTGTGGCACAAGGTTTGTAATGATGGTGGTACCCCCGGTGGTGGCGGACGCCGCCGGCGGCTGCGGCATAAGCCGAAAGCTACGAAGTGCTGCTCCACCTCCAGGTAACAACAGTGGTGTTGCGGTTGTCTTGCTATCGGTTGATGTCTTGGGCGCACTGAGTTTTGCCGCCAGGTCCAACGGGTAGCTCTTACCTTCGGTCTTCTCCTCTTCGTTGCTACTCATCGTGAATACAGCGGATTCTTATTGCAATGTGCGTGAGTAAAAGCATCTGGTTTCAAACGAGATGTGAGTTCGCTGGCTAGGTCTGTATGTTCTTCAAAGGTGTAGACTTGTTATAAGCATGGACGCTACACAAATGCTCCACAAGAATGCACCCAATGATTAAACACTGAACAATAAAACCTTAGTAGGCACTTTCTTCATCCAACTTCAAAAATTTGTCTACAATCGCCAGTTAGCATCGAAGGCCACCGAACATTTGCAACACAGTGCGTCGTCGACCACTTTTATTGGTTTGCGCATTTCTCACCAGCGTCTGGTGATTCTTTGCAATGTTGTCACGTTTGCGCAGTTTGTTTCTCCGCAATCTGCATTTGCTGCAAAAAGAACAAAAAAGAATCTTATGTTTGATGCCATTTCGTAAAAAAATAAAGAAAAGGAGAATATTAAACTATTATTTTATCTAACTTCATAACCGCGCGAGTAGTTTCTCCGCGGTTGTCTTCCTGCATGTTTATTCCCCTCTCGCAAATTCAACGCCGGTGAATTGGTGGGTATTCTGTACCAACTTTAAATTGTAAACCCTAGAACCAAACCTACAAAATGTGTCGTTTCAAAATAAACAGATATGTTATTAGTTTATCTTGAAACGAGTTATTTTAACAATAAAGTCTCAAAATGTCAGAGGACCGCTTGGTAACCGAAGTTCCAAGCAGTTTAAAACAACTCGCGAGATTGGTGGTACGAGGCTTCTATTCCATTGATGATACTCTCATTGTCGATATGCTTGTAAGAAACCCCTGCATGAAAGAAGGTGATCTATGCGAATTACTAAAATTTGATCAAAAGATGCTCCGCGCCCGAATAGCGACTTTAAAAAACGACAAGTTCCTGCAAGTCCGTCTCAAAATGGAAACCGGAAGCGATGGCAAAGCGCAAAAAGTAAACTATTACTTCATCAATTACAAAACATTTGTGAATGTAGTAAAATACAAATTAGATTTGATGCGCAAACGTTTAGAAACCGAGGAACGTGATGCCACAAGTCGCGCCAGTTTTAAATGTCCCAGTTGTTATAAAACTTTCACAGATCTAGAAGCAGATCAATTGTTTGACTTCATGACGTCCGAATTCCGCTGCACATATTGCCGAGAAGTTGTAGAAGAAGATGGATCAGCCATGCCCAAGAAAGACTCCAGATTACTGCTGGCAAAGTTTAATGAGCAGTTAGAACCCTTATACATCTTACTCAGGGAGGTGGAGGGCATTAAACTAGCCCCAGAAGTATTGGAACCTGAACCAGTTGATATCAACACAATCAGAGGCCTGGACAAGAAACCAATGCCTTCTTCCGAAACCTGGAGTGGAGAAGCCACTAGAAACGCAGGCTTTGCCGTGGAGGAAGCTCGCGTTGACGTTACAATCGGCGATGATTCAGCAGCGTCAAATGTCGTCAGCCGCAAAGAACAACCAATTTGGATGTCCGAATCCACAGTAATTACCAACGCCGAAGCGGATGCAGCGCGTTCAATTGGTGGTGAAGGCAGTTCGGAAGAGACCGAGACCAGCAATGCTAAATCAGATGACATCATGAGCGTATTATTAGCGCATGAAAAGAAAGCAAACAGCAGCAATACATCAAACGCACTCAAAGGACTCGGAAACCGCGATGATTCCGATTCCAGCGACGAAGAAATGACTGAGGTGAAGACTGGCGACATGGAGGAAGAAGTTGAAACGATGGACAGCGAAGAGGAAGACGATAGTAACGTCCCACACGTGAAAGTCGGCTCTCAGACTTACGCTGTCACCGAGATCAACGACGCCATTATTGCACAGATGACGCAGAGTGAGAAAGAGATTTACGTGCAAGTCTTTCAAGATTACTACTCACACATGAGTTATTAATATTAATATTACGTTAATTAATTAAGAAAGAATCAATCCAATAAATGAATCAGTTGGATTGTTTGTTGTCAGCACAACTTGATTTTATTCCAAAATAATTCACTTGTAACTCAACACAGTTCATTTCTGTCGAAGTAGTAGTAGTAGTCTCACTTTACTTTAAATTATTAAAACCGCCTGCCACGATTCCCACCCCCGCGGGGTGCCGGACCCCTCGGACGGGGCATATTCCCCCGTGGCCCCATACCACCACGCATATTACCATTAACTCTGGGCCTGTTCATCATATTCATTCCCATGTTCATACCTCGAAAATCGGGCGGGGGTAGCGGCCTGCCCGGAAAGCCAGGTGGTTGGAAGTTGCCATTACCAAGGAAAGGTGGTGGGGGTAACCCTATGCCGTTGCGTTGATTAAAGAACCCGTTACCATTCCGCTGGAGAAATTCACGACGGTCTGGATAGTCGTAGTCCATGTCGGGTCGATCATCATAATCACGCATGTGATAATTATTATCAAAAGGACCACCACGAGGTGGAGGTGGTCGGAAATCCAACTCGCGTCCTCGGTCGTGGTCTCTGTCTCTGTCTCTATCGCGATCACCGCCTATATTATAAACGCCACGCATGTCATCATCCAAATCTGGCGGACGTTCCCAAATGGGTGCTGGTGGCGGGTCGGATTTCCTGCTGCGTTGGGATGATTTATCGTCGTCCTCGTCATCTTCATCCAAGTAAGCTTCGTTGAGGTAATCATCGTCGTTGTGCGGCATCACGTCGTGTAACTCTTCAATCTGACCGGAATCTATGAACCGTTGTAAAACCTCTGGACCATCGGCGATTGCTTGCTCCAATTTTGAACCAGCTAAAAAAATAAACCATAATTTAAACACAAAAACATAATTAGTTGTGATTTCCACTCACGTTGAACTGGAATCAATTTTCCGTAGACAATAATCGCATTTGGTGTGATTTTCTGTAGGGGGACAACACCCGGAGTGTTTTCTACAATTTGCGTGATGATATCAGTGACTGTAGTGGCGGGTTCTTCCTCCGCACCTGTTTCATTCCACTGAGCTTGGAAGTTTCTGGGAATAGGTTTACTGTAGGGCACCTTTTTCGACTTCGAGCGGTCCTCGTTCGCGTTCGTCACCGCATCCAAATCCAAACCGGGTATCTCAGTAGTGTGATCACTCTCAGTAACAATCAAAGGTTCCACTTTATCTTCAGGACCCATTCCGGGTATCATCGACGGCTCATCAATATCCACATCTTCTGAACCAGCAACTCCAGGCGGTAATGTGTTCAAATTATATTTATCACGCATTTGATCACCTGGTCTATTCCGCGTCCAGAACTTAGACGTGTGATCATTGGAGCCTGAACAAAGGATATGACCAAGAGGATGCCACGCCAAAGTCCATACGATGCTATCGTGAGCTTGCTCGATAGCACCCACTTCTTTATCCGCGCTAAATTAAAAAAAAATTAGTTAGAAAAGTGAGGATTGATGTGTTTTAACTTACCCAACATGCCAGAACATGATGGCACCATCAGAACCCCCACTACAGAATAGTCCCTCGTGATGTGGATGCCACGCAACACTGGAGGCTTCCTTTTTATGCCCACGAAAGGTCTGGACTTCCTGGCCGAGATTACGAAGATCAAATAACTTCAATAAATGATCACGTGATGCTGTGATAAGCCAATTACCATTATCGTTCCATTTAAGATCCATCACTGTTGACTTGTGCGCGTGTCTATACAAAAACCACAATCAAACAATGTAAAATAATCAAATATTCACACTTACAATGTAGCTAAAGATTGTCCACTCTTGGGATCCCATAATTTGATAGGTTGTTGATTATCCTTGCTGCCGGAAATGATGAGACCCTTCTGGGGATGCCAATGCACGCATTTAACATCCGCGCCATGTCCTAAAATAAAACCGCCATGATTCACCAGTTGTCAAACAAATACAATCATCGCGTTTATTTTACCTCTCAGCACTTTCTCCTCCTGATAGCGGAAGAAGTCCCAGATGCGCAGCGTGCCGTCGTCCGAACAGGTCACGAACTTACTGTCCGTCGGGCTGAAGCTAAATGCAACAACAACAACAATAGAAAACTAGTATCACAAGAAGGGTTGTTGATGTAGTTTGCCGGTTTTATTCAAAAATTTCCAAGAAAACGAAAGAGAAAAACAAATGGATAAGAGTAGTTCATGAACGGTGTTTCTCTCAAATAAGTTAACGGCAATTTATTCGCAAGAGTTTATTCAGTCTAGTAGCAACCTCCTATGATATGAAATCAATCGGTTTACATCTTAATTATCACATCTTTTATCACAGCACGATCAAATTTTTTTGTTTGGTCAGCGAAACATCTCTTAATTATTATTCTGAAGCCTTTATTTTTATTATCGCTGATGTTTCGTACCGTTCACGTCCGCCTCGAGCACGATCGTTATCGTCGTCGACAAGGATAGGTAGGTGCCATTTATTTGCATTCTTATTCTTATTAACGTTATTATTCTATGTACAGAACGGAGAGCAAAACGGAGTTCAATGTGTAGATACCTGATTCCGCGCAGCGCTTCTTTGTGTGCCTGGAACATCTTCACGTTGTTCATGTTTGACTGCCAGTATTTCACGTAGCCAGCGTGATCGCCCGTCACCATCCAGCTGTCGTTATGCGACCACACCATCGTCCTCACCGGACTATCATGGGCCTAGAGAAATTTACACCAAAAATAAAGTAATCTGATAAAGTTACACGTCGTTTTGAATATTTAAGTCGCTTCAAAACGAGGTATACTCTAGTTTTAAACAAAAAATGTTATAAATTTTACCTGTAAAATTGTTTCGAAATTAAACGTGAGACCATTCCAAAGCGTAAATTCTCCTGAGCTTGCACCAGTGACCAACCGGCGACCTTCCGGTGTCCAAGCCATACAAAATATAGGACAACGCATTTTATTCGTCGCCGTCTTAACAAACCGCGTCGTAACGCAGTTTATGGGATTATCAGGATAACTTGGCGGCGGCATCAAGTCAGGATAATACATAACATCTGGTTGTAAAGCCCGCCGATCTCTGGAATCTCGCTGCCATACTCTAGTCTCCAATGCTTTGATAATTGACGAATTGTAATCGACAGTTTTACGCATCACGCTCTTTCTGAGCCGCTTGCCATCAAAGTCTTCCAGAGTCATATTGCCCAGCGGCCCTGGCAGTGGCCGCTGGACATTCAAAAAAGGCCGAAAATGATGCCGAGGACCATTGTGATTCGTCAGCGTTCTGTAGTTGTTGTGTGGCTGATGTGGCGGACCCATGGGATTGCCCATGCCCATACCCATGCCCGGTGGTGGCATTGATAGATTCGGGGGCGGCTCGCTCAGATTTGGCGGCGGAAGGTGCATGTTGGGCGGCGGCGCTGACAAATTCATATTGAAATCGGAAATACCTGCATGCAAGTCATGTTAAGCATGTGTGCACCATAAAAAAAACATCGCGCTGTATACTTACGCTTACACTAATTATTCTAATCTAAGATATGGAATGCACAGAAGGCATGATGAATACGGATAGCCGCTAAGGACAGTCGCGATCGCGGCGATACTTCGCTGAAGGCGAGATAAATATTTACTGCAAATACCTTCTGCGACTGGACAAAATGGCGCCGAAATTTTAACTGACTTTTGCTTTGCTCTCGGTATCTAGGGGAATTTATCATTGGCGTTTGACAGGTTATCGTGGCAGCACTGTTTAACGATGCAATAATTTGAATTTTATTATTTTCTATTGAATAAACAAAGCGAACGGGAATTATTTATTAAACAATTTAGTTTTGAATTAAACTTTGTATTTAACTATTAAATACTATTTGATAAATTATTATTATTTAAAATTGTTTATATTCCAATCTAAACTGTCACTTAATTAACGACCTTTGTAAAACTTTATAAACAAAGTATGTATTTATTTGTCGAATAGTCTTTAATTAACTTGTTTGGTATTTGATGGACATTATTATCTCTATTAGCAATATTAATTAAGAACACTTCAAATTGCTTCAAACATATCAATAGTGACATATGTGAGCAGAACTTAGTTGAATAAAACTAGAAATAACAGTATCACCTCAATAATAAGCAATTAAACTATCGCTAAACATTAGTCTACGTCGTGTGAATGTAATAAGTGTAATAATGTAGTGATTAAGTGTTTAGAGCTAGCGACGGAAGTAAAAATTTATAGGAATGAACTCAAAATGTAGATCGCTTAACCTCAAACAATAGACGCTTTGCATTCTTTCGATTCTTGTCAACGCAAAAAATAATTCATTTCTACGATGAAATAGTTGGTTTGCGTTCGTTCCCAGTTCGCAATAATGTGGCCGATTCTCCTGGACATGACCAAGGAAGAATCCATGCAACATTTGAGATGTTTGGGTAAATAATTCAATAGATATCAGGAACTTTCTATCTCAATCTGGAAACTAACATAATTTGCATAGAAATCGACGCATTTTCCGGCTTGCTGAATGCGCTGCGGGCCCAAGGAGGTCTGGATCCGGTGAAGCTGAACCTACTCAGGGAGACAAGCAGTTTGCTGCACATATCACAGGAGAGACACAAGGCTGAAATCCGGCGAGTTGTCAATGATGAGAGACTCAACACCATTGCATACCAGTAAGTCTTATTAGAATGTTAAATCAGTAATGTAAAACATAAAATCTGTACAGTGTGAATGGCGAGCGACATTGCGGCGAGGAATGGGCTGATGAAGGGCAGAGACTCATTCCGTTATTACCCAGAGTCGCGCCACAAACAGCGTATTCCGCAATCGCCGATGAAGTAGCAGATGTCACCAGTAAACTCAACAAGCAATTACCGCTGCCTGCCTCAACAGAGCGAAAACGTCTGGCGGTACCATCGCCAACAATCGCTGCGAGTGCTTCCTCCAGTGGATCAGTTGCTCCGAATATTTATCGTGGTGTTGAAGTAGATAGAAAGAGGAAACATTCGTTAAGTTTGGAAAATTGCATGTTGGCTCAGCATCTGATGGCCCCGCCGAAGATTAGCCAAATTCAACAAATTTACAGGTAATAACAACAAAAAAACACACAAATTCAACAAATTACATTCTTTGTATTTATTTCTTAGACAAAGAAGTAAAAGTAGACTTAAAGAACAACTGGTTCGGCTGAAATCTCAGGAACAACCAGAAACACCACCTAATCGGCTACATAAAACTGTGCCAACACCAACGCCGAAAATCAATATCCTACAAAACATCACAACATCCTTACCACATAGATCAGTGTCCACACCTACAACTACAACTAATCCAGATAAGAGATTTGAGAAAGAATTTCTTGAATCAACTCCTTCCACAGCTGTGGTAACAAGTACATCGAAAACAATCACAACCACAGACGGACAGAAACTAATCGTTGTTTCTACGCATGCAAATCACAATCTCTCACCAACGCCGAGTATCCTTCAACGAACACTCACCACCATTCCCTTTAAGAGGCTTGGCGTTAATCCAAAGTTTAGAATTGTGCCTAAGGCCACTAATGTGGTGACGAATGTTCTGCCCAACTGCACGCCATCGAATGCCAAGAAAATAATTCCTATGTCAAAGGTGCAAGTGCTCAACACCAAGACAGGCTTTAAAGTTTTACCATTAAATACAAAAATTGCAGTTAAAGAGGTAAAAAATCAGGTGGAAATCACCCATGAGGTTAATGGTGTTACTAACGTGGATGATAACGTAGAAAAATCACATTGTGATAATGGTATTGATAATTCCACAGAAGAAAACATTGAGTTTGAGGCAGATGGAGATGTTTTAGCTCAAAATGAGACTGTAGAAAGCGCAGAAAACCATTTTAATGATATTCCTGCTGAAGAAATGGAAATTATCGAGGATATTACCCACACTGAGGTGGATTGTGTACAGGAGCAGGTAATAGAAGACATCCCTCTGGAACAAACCGAGATTTTTGAAGAATTCCCAGAGAAAACCGAGATGGATTCATCGGTGTTTATTTATGGTAAGTATATTACGCATATTTAAAGTAATAATTTAATTAGGTTTTAAATTAGGTGAAAATGACAATGAAAGCGAAGAAGTGATAATCGACGGGATGGCCAGCGAAGGCGAATCGCTGGAAGTATTAAACGCAGTGCACGCACTCGATGAAAGTTTCCCGAACACGAAGAACGTGCGCAGCTAAAGTCGATTCCAACTAGGTTTGCATGTGCTAAACTAATGAAATAATCGAATAAGTAATTTTCTACTAATAAATAATTCAACTATTCTGGGTGCATTGATGGGCGCATAACTAATTATTTATTTAACAATTGTATGCTGGCACGAATTAACACTACTAAGCTATGATGAATGTGAATGTTTAAAAATGTAAAAGACATAACCTGTACAAACAACATAATGATCTGCGCTCTTTGTATGTATCTAGTAAACACGTAGCTAACTTATTTTTAATCGACAAACCACGCAGAATTGGGTGATGAACAAAAATTTATTGTATATGTCGTAGCTAACGGGGAGAAATCTCAACAACTCATCAATTTGCACTTGTTAAGTTTTACCACCCATAGGAAAAATGGAAATAACAATCGATGTCTTCATCTCGGCTAAGTTCATTGTTGTAAATATATTTTTTATATAATTAGTCGGTTTTTCATCGTCTCGAAGTGACAGCAGATGTGAAATATTTATTATTTTAATTTTTAATACTATATTAGTATTGCTCAAATGGCCAATCGTAATTATAAATATAATATTACAAAAACAAACATTTTCCTTCACTCCAAATGTGTATTTTAAAGCTGGAAAACCGTGCGCAACAAATTATATCATTTCACATTCGCAATATCGCAGATTGTAGGAATCTTTAAACCTTTGAGGTACAAAAATAGAATTAGCGTGTATTAATCTGGTACTTATCTTGTGACTTCATGAATGGCCTTAGCCAGGTATTCAACGTTCTTGCTTGTCACGCCCGCCATTGAAATACGTCCGTCTTTGGTCAGGTAAATGCTATATTCCTTTGTGAGTCGCTCGACTTCTTCGGGTTTCAGGCCGGTGTAACAAAACATACCAATTTGATCGGTAATGTGATTCCATTTTTTCTTAGAGCCGTTGTCTTCCAAATGCTGACGCAATTGTTTACGCACATCAATAATACGATCAGCCATGCCTTTAACTTCCTTCTCCCTATAATAAAACATTGAAAATCTGCGTAAATAATTAAATATTTAAGTATTACCATTGTGACTTGAGTTTCTCATCACACAACACTTCGGTAGCAATACGCTGGCCATGAATAGGCGGGTTAGAATACATCGGACGGACTAAAATCTTCAACTGGGACAGAACCTTTGCAGCACTATCCTTGGAATCAGTAATAACCGACAACGCTCCAATTCTCTCGCCGTACAATCCCATATTCTTAGCGAAACTTTGTGATAGAATAATCTCATTACCATCCTTAACAAACTTGCGCACTGAATACGCATCTCTGTCAAAGTCTCCAGATGCGAATCCTTGATAGGCCATATCCATATAAACAAGGAACTGTTTATCCTTTGACAATTCAGATAAATGATCCCATTGCTCCTTGGAAGGATCAACACCAGTCGGATTATGCGCACATGCATGCATCAACACCACAGACCTCTTTGGTAGTGCCTACACAAACAAAAAAACCAATTTACCTCACATATTTCATGCACAAAACAAAACAATATACAATAACATACAGACAAATCTTTGCAGCAGCCCTCAAAGTCAAAACTAATACACTCTGGGTCATAATACTTGTACATTTTAACATCCATGCCACTGTGTTTGAAGATGGGAACATGATTGCCCCAGGTGGGTTTGGGCAGATGCACACATTTCTCACCCTCATGGAAAGCAGCGATAAATGCGGCGCCTATGCGCAGGGAACCAGTGCCGGAGATGGTCTGAATCGTTGCATATCTGCCCTCGGACAATACTGGGTTATCAGCGCCCAGCGCGAGCTCGGCTGCTTTCTGGCAGAATTCAGCAGGTCCTGCAATTGGACTGTACTCATGGTTCATCATCTTCTCCATGATGAGTTTCTCAGCGGTCTGGACCACTGGCAGGACGTATGGTTTGCCTTCATCATCGCGATACGCGCCTGCACCAACGTTTACTTTCTTTGGATTGCTGTCCTTCTTGTAGGCCTCGGTTAAACCCAGGATGGCATCTGGGGGGCCCATTTCCAAATTTGTCCAGAAACATTTGCTAGTTTATACAAAATTATACAAGAAAAAGTTAGTTATTTGTATAAAATTCAGCTGAGGAATGAAGTTAATCGACTTTTAAAAGTAGTGCACTCATATGGCAACGTAACATAAATATTACATCATTTAGTGTATCGTACAGTGTGTACACAGATAATATAACAATAAATAGGTTAAATAGGTAGGTAATTAATTATTTTCAGTATAACTGTACTTATACATAAATAATTAATTAATTAACCAATCAATTTCTATGATGTGCTTACTTGGCGACTTGTCGCAACAACGTGCTCTTGATCAGAGTGTGTAGGTGGTTCCTTAGTGCCATTGCCATGATTACACCTTACACTAAACAGTTAGTACCGTGTAATAATTAAACTACTCGCTGCTTCAAACACCGGCAAATGAATGCTCCACTTTACAATCCCACGTTTCCACTTATTCGACTACAACCTCAACGACCTTCACAAGCAATTCTCATCTCTATGGTAAACAGGCAGGCTGTGTTGCCGATTGCAAAATTCGTGTGCACTGCTGACGCCAACAAGTTTATTTATTTGTTTGTCCCCGCCTTTTGCGTATGACCAAAACGTGAAGGAAACGTACAGGCGATAACGAAAGTGCGTTGACAATCTTTTTTATCACTGACCTTTTCCCGATAACATTCGAAGGGATAAACATCACTTAAAATAGAGAATAGTAATCCTAAATTATCAATCAATTACACTGAGATTCTAATTCTGTAATAATAATTTGGAATGCGAATTGATCAAACGGCTAATTAAATTTATGAGCAAATTAATAAACGTTGATTATTAGCCGCTTGTAACTGGAAATTTTGATTACGTTGAAAATAATTTCAGATTGACGTCTGTCTTGATGTCACCAACCAAATATCCATATCCAGTAATAAAACAATTGATAAACAAAGTATTAGGGACTCTGCTGAACCATTTCCGATACCTTAAACATAAAAATTTAGTAATTTTCTTATTTATTACAAATAAAACTTTGATATTTACGAATTGCAATCCAATAACACCTCTATAGCGGAGTTTTTCCAAGGATGCTAATAAATCCTGCTTAGTATTGCGTCGAAGAAGCTCAGCAAGCTTTTCATCACGAACTGCAGCGGGCACGTATTGCAAAAACAACAATGCAAACGCATACTTCTTTCGAATCATGCATATTTTCAACCCTTTGCTTAGATCAAGCTGGTTCAACACAGGTGAAGACTACACAAACAAAAACAATTTTTAAAAATAACTCAAAATGAAAAAAAATGACAATACCTGAACAAAATGCACCAAATCCATCAAAGCTGTATCAAAATCTTGTTCAGTAGTTTCCAGAGAAGCAAAAGTATTGTCAACAACAGCCTGCCATGCATTAAAATACACCACACTGCAGAGCATAATATTCTCCTTCATAAACATTGTCAGACATTTCTTCAGTTCGTTGATCTATTCATTTATCAATATATTAATCAAAATTCAATCTGCAAATAAAAATCCTTACCATATTCAACTTTATCATGCCCGGAATGACTTTCTCCCATACACTTAAATCGTAAATCTTGTAAATATCGCAAACGGCAGTCATTACTTTAATACTAATCGAATCGGAGAGTTTCTTGCCAAGTTTATACAACAGCCGACTCTTGCTAATATTAGAAAACTGTTCAATATCCACCATTATCCCAAGAGAACGCAGATCGTGCACAACGAAGAATTTATCAATTGTTTGCCTAGAATAATTATTAAATACACCCAAAATTAACTAAACTTTAAATTGGGGGTATTTTACTTACAAAATAGATTCATATGGACAATCAAAGCGTTCGTTTAACTCCTCTGGCGAGGCAATCATACAAAGAGTCTTCAGAACGCGACCTTGGACGAGAAACTCTGCTGTGTTTTCAAACATCTGCTGGAGATGATCGCACCAGAAGCTTACATCATCACCAGTGCAAAGATATGCAGCTCTAAAAGTAAATTAAACTTCAAAAATGTATTTTTATGCATATGTGATAGATATACCTTAAGATACATTCAAAATTTTGTTCGCAAGCATCGTTCATATCCGGCATTAAGCAAATACTTTGATCTACATCTTCTAATAGTGTGTTTGGACTGTTGAGCCACATATTAAGCAATTCAATCCGTTTTGAACGCATGTCGATCTGGAACAATGCTCCGATCTCATCTGTAGCTTTATTAATATCTGAAAATAGTGATTTTTAATATTTAATTTGATTTAATTTGTTAATTTAGTGAATAACTTACTTGGACATTGCGATAAACATGCATTACTTCGATTTATAATCCTTTCATCCTTGTATAACGCATTTATCAAATCACTAGGACTATCCAACAACGCTAAATATTTTTCTGCGTCAAGATTATGTACGTGCAAAATATGTTTAGATGAATATGTATAAAATCCCTTTTGAATCTACACAAAAACAATCAAAATTATCACAAATAACATGTAAATAAATAAAAACTAACCTGATAATAATTCGAACTGTTCACTCCAGAATCCTTGCATATTTTCGCGTATTTATAAGCCAACTTAGAAGCGTTGACCCTATCAGCACCCTCTGGGGGTTTAGATATCAAATGGAAGGCCATGGACGCTGCCAATTCAGGATCAGTAATGTGCGCCAAACACTTGTCGATTTCAACAAAGATATCTTCAAACATTGGCTGCAAATTATAATTTCCAGGGGCGATTTGATCATTACTAACCAACTCCACACATTTTACAACAATCGAACAAATTTCATTACGATTGAGATGCTTTAAGACTTCATCAGCCAACTTAAACCACTTCTCATAATTGCTGAGATTAATTTCATTCCTTAATATTTTCCATAAATCTGGTGTAAACAACATCGGTGAAAAAGGAAACCTCCACTCTGAAATAGCATCAAGTGGTTTATGTAGAAACCTGGCACACCATTCATCAGTTTCCACCGCGCTTGGTTTACTTGTACGCTGATAATCTTTTAAAAATAGCAATGCAACACGAAAATGATAATGTCGTGCATCATTCAAAATGGCCGCAATGCTTAAAATTGCTATAAAGACTTCATAATGATAGAAATTTGTTGTGTTCCACAGAGTATCAACGCATTTAAGTACAGCATCACGATTATTAATCAATGGCACAACTTTCAAACACTTTGATGTTAAATCTTCTTCATCATTTTGAATAAAAAGCGTGCGATTACCAATTGGATCCACGCGCACTTCATACTTAGGCTGCCATGTTGCAATAAGATGATTTAAATATTGTATGTAGTAATCTTGTGCATTCAGCTTGAAATCCTTACAAAAGCTTGTGATTTGTTCCAATGTGATCTCATTTTGTGTAATTAATGGTTCCAACAGAGCATTTTTCGCCAAAGTCAAGAAAAACGTTTTTAATGGTAGTGTACACGCTGTCAAAGCTTTCCTCCATTTAATCCCCAGCATATATTGCGCATAATAATCAGTTGTTTTATAGAAATTAGTCAAACGCATGCCTAACTTGACAATTGCCTCAAATTTCGTAAAATTCATTCTGTAAAGTTTCATCGCATCGTTTATAATCTTAAACGCTTTATCCTTTGGATACGATAACAACAAAGAAAACGTCAGACTTTCATTTATCTCCGGTGCGGAAAATACAGTAGTTAAAAATTTCCCTTTAAATTTTCCAATTGTGCCTTGCAGAACAGGCTCAGTAAACAAACCCAATTGTCCTTGAAGAGTAATCAACATGTGCAACAGCGTCCAATGTTGATTTTCTCTGATAATCGCTGGTTCCATGTTCTGTAAACGCTGCATGAGTATTCTACAAAACACACCTTTGGACATTTCAGCTCCAGTATCCTCAAAATCTGAAGTATCGCTTCCTTTTTGACACGGAAACGAATACGTTAAATAATCCATACCGGGCGACTTTTGAAACTTGATATATTCGCAATACATGCTGAATGTACTCTGTACAGTGTTCATTGTGCAGATATTTGATGAATTCTCATCAGTTTTCTTCAAATTTACGGTATTATTCGCCCAACGAAACACTCTGGCTACTTTTAAATCCCCGTCGGATAATAAATAAGAGCGTGCGCAGATATTTCGCCCGATTTTTAAACAATTCGACAATAATTCTTCATCTACTGGTTTACCCATATCGTCATTCTGCACGGTATCATTGAAAAAAGTACCGTGCATATCCTCACGATCAATTCCAATTTGACGCAAGATTAAAACAGTCGTCAAAGACAGCGTTTCAACATCCGTGGAGTTTTCATAGATTTGCAACGCACATTTGTATATAAAACTAATATCATTCGCAAGTAGACAAACCTCAAAGATGATTTTTGTGTGTGGCAGACGAAAAACTCGTGCAAATCTTTTGCTCTGCTTTAGGAACACATCAAAATCTTCAGTGTCAAGACTTAATTCACGTATAACTGAATTAAGAACTTCCTGCCGACCTGTTTTCGAGTGACACTTGTTGAATATATCCATGCTTAAAAGATGTGAAGGTAAAACATCGATTATTCTGTATGCATCAAGCATTTCTTCGTATAAATAAGCAGAATCAGACTTTTCGGCGATGTATGTTAATGATTCGATAAAAGTGCGGCGTAAAACTGCGTCATGTAGAATATTGTCATCGGAATAAGTGTGGCACAAATCAGGAAGATATCGTTTTCGTTCTTCGATACTATGAGTATTTACCAAGTCAAAAACGTTGTTTAAGTCATCAGAATCGATAAAATGGCAGAGAAGTAATAAATTCGCAGTGTTTTTACTCTCTGGTGTACTGCACAACGTGTAGACATCTTGAATCATCGTTGGTAGATTACAATAAATAATTCTTTGTATCGCAAACGTCTAAAACACATTTTCATTTGTTTATGCGTTAATAAATTTAACATGAAAATAACTTACATCTCCTGCAATGGACTTCAATGTTTCATTCCGTAGTCCATACTCGGAACGATACAAAACAATATAAATCGGTTCGTTTTTCGCCTCGCACTGCACCTCAGTGACAAGAGGATGATTCCAGTCCAAAGCTTCATTCATCATTTGTCTAATATCACCACACCAAGGTTTTGGAGCAGCGCGTAGAATACGCAGCAGTAGTTGAAGCTGTGTTGTGGTTGAGCTAATACATTTCCATACTTGAGGGACATCTGACATCCAATAATCGTCAGAACCCTTTAACAATTTGTCGATTTCCTGCGCGAGAACTGCATCCGCGTCGAAATTATTACGCACCATGAATTTAATGAGGAAATTCTTGAGGAACTTCTCAACACATTTAATGCGCATACTCAACATCGAACGCAGCATTGCGCCAGGACCCTAAATATTATAAATATAATAAAATTTGTTTCGGTTTGTAGAAACTTACCGCTAAACAATCTTGCAACGGCAAAAATATGTCATAATTATTCTTCAGCTCAAGAATAGTATTCAAACACTTGGAAATATTAATTAAATGTTCGATAAGATCCATAGCCTTGACGTCTTCCTCCTTGGTGGACATCTGCATCCTTAATGCAGTTTCGCCGTTCAAAATCCTCAGCATTTCATCAACAAATGTGATTGTCCTCTCGGGGAAACACTCCTCTTCCCTGCGATTGCGTTCAATCGCATGTACTTTCGCAATAATAGCTTCAGCACAAATATTTAACGCATCAGGACAGTTGACAAGCGTAAGAGGAATCATCGTGTACGCAAACGAAGTAAATTCATCCAGATTATACGTGCTCAAATTGCCCAGAATGCTGGTGATGTTCTCACAAGTAAAATCATTATAATCTAAACGTGAAAAAATGATGATAGCCGATTCTATCTTACGCTTACGCAGTGCCCCACACAAATACTCGAAATAATTGCTTCTAATAAAATGATGATAACCATTAACAGTCATTTGAACATTTTCACACCGTGCTAGAGTCTTATACGTATCAAAACTAGTCACCATACTGTTAAGAATCAACTGTAGAGGACGATCGTTGATCTCATTATAGTTTAAAGCGGCGAGAAATGATAAAATGCGTTCGATTCCTTCGATTGTTTCGCAAACAGCAACTGCACTCTGGCAAGATTTGACTTTGAAGTGTACATCAGGAATATTGCCCATTAAAGACAACATTTCCGAGATATCTACGTCAGTACAAGCGCATTTATCTACTATATTCGCCACTTTAGCTTTGTCGATGTCTAAGCGACTCAGGTTGTACTGCTGTGCGAAAATTTCGGCTTCTTTGTACAACATTTTGCGGATTAAACGTTGATATCTATCTTCTGGTTTAGTTTCTCTTATTATATTCAAACGAATGCAATTCTCATACCTTGCAAGATAGATCTGATTGTCATCTTCATGTTGGTTCATGACAAGATGGATGAAATTTTCAATATCCGTGTTGAAAACATGTTGCTGCTCTGATAAATACTCCGCCATTTTGATTTTGGGTTCAGATTCCACAGTAACATAATACAGATAAGACTTTTTAACGTGATTATAAAACACCATGTCTTGAATCCTTTCATCTGTTGGCATATCTGCTATTAACAAAACACTGCAACAAATGCGACACAAGGTTCCATCTGACTTTAAACCTAGAAATATGCTTTCGGAAGCTGGCCAGACACTCTTGAGGCTAATATTGTTACATGCAATCTCATGAGTCATGTTGAAGAAGAGATCATAGACAATTAATTTGCTTCCTGCAGCTAATAGAAGTCCATTTGAGTAGGCAGCTGTTGTGATATTATGTGAAATATCAACAAGAAGATCTGAGTGTAATGATTTGGTGTCTTCATTCAAATATACTCTGTAAATTTAATTGTTTTAATGGTTGTATGTTAGATTTTTAGTTAGTACCTGTAAAATTGTCCCTTTTTGGTCAGGACTAAAAATATTTGACTGCCAACCACTTCCTGATACATCCCAATGATGAACTTATCTCCATACCAGACATTTTCATTAACACAACTATAAAATGTTTAAATTTTACATAAAAACTTAACAAAATAATATAAAACACTCTGGATGATTCGTTAACATACCATGAAGCAATTATTTCTTTAAGATGGACATTAATAAGATGTACTTCCCCATTGCCCAATCCCACCAGCAATAAATCATCAACAAGTGTGAATGCATCAATGGTATTACTGAATTTATGGGTGAAATCAACTGTGCCTGATTCTATATCAGAGATTATCCAAAAATGATGATCAATTGCAATGTATAACACATTTTCATGTGCAAGACTGTTTACTCTTGGATTGTCTCCCACTGCCTGTTATGTTGAAGAGTAGATTTATATGAAATAATAGATCATAACATTTATAACTTACATCCTCCTGCAGGGACAACAACGGGACTGATTCATATAGATCATTGCCAATATCACGAATGCCGCAACTTTCATCGGCGGGATTACAAGTACTCCAACCGAAATCGTTCATGATGCACAGATCAGCTTCTCTTTTGTAGATCTAAAAACACAATGATTGATTATAAATTGGCTAAGTTTATGGATTCGTAACACGCATGCAGTTATCACATACATAATGAATCATAAATGAGTATTTTAATCTTACATTACTTTAGCGTTTTCTCAAGAATCTGCTGGAAATGCCTAGGAAAACACTGAAACTCTTCCGAGAAATTAAAGAATGACGGTTGGCGCTAGTTGTGCCTACTTGAAGTCACCACTGGAACCTCTGCTGTCAGATGTCAACTGACAACAATAAAATGTCCATGACTTTGACAAGTCTTGTATGCGGACGCAAGTTCACCAATATTTTTTGTGCAGTCATGTGAAAAACTCTTTTTCCACGCTTTTCCACACTTCCCACAACAATGGCTTTCCTATGTCCAGTGAGAATACGCCGCGGCAAGAAGAAAAAACGTACGTTGAATACTCTTTTCCCATTCATGTCAATTTAGGTCACTACAACATTTTTTAATTCTACAGCAACTTCAGAGGATATTGACAAGGAAATACTCAAAAATGGTCCCGGATTAGCGCCTGGCATGGGGCGCATAACCGGCTCAGCGAGTATAGAAACCCTGGTCCGCGTTGGCATTGAAAAGAGCATGGATTATCACCAGATAGCAAAATGGTAGTATTGCATGACTTCACCCCATGTGTGGATGATGAACTGGAGGTAAAACGCGGCCAAATCGTTAATATTTTATACCGGGAAAACGATTGGGTCTATGTGATTGGCCTGGATACAAGGCAGGAAGGTTTCATCCCACATTCATACTGCACACCATACAACAGTCATCTTGCTCAACTTGCCATCAAAAAGAAACTGCCAAGAGAGTCTCAAATCAGTGTTGCCGAACACACTGACCAAGAATGGTAAATAAATCAATCCATTATATATAATTACAAATAAATAAATCAAATATTTCCAGTGATCTAACAGTGCCTGATATAAGCAGTGACTGTGATTCCCTGGGTAAGAAACAAGGCGCCGCAGGTAATTCCCCGATCAGTTTACGTTCCACAATGGACATATCCATGTCCCCCTTTGCAAAAGACCCCTCAGGACGCTACATTGTCCTTTACACATTCATCGCGCGCGATGAGAACGACGTATCTGTCGAACGCGGTGAATTTGTCACCGTATTAAACCGGGAAGATCCAGATTGGTTCTGGATTGTCCGGAGCGACGGTCAGGAGGGTTTCATTCCGTCCGGATTTGTCTACCCTGCTGATAATGTCATCCAGGGTAATCTCAACAATGACAATACAAACACCAGCGGGAATTTCGTCGCGAATGGTGGCCAGTGTCAAAGCGCCGATGATTTACGCTATCATGGCACTGAACTCGTCATGCTTTATGATTACAAAGCGCAAGCGCCTGATGATCTGTCAGTGCGTCGTGGTGATTGGATCTATGCAGATCTAAGCAATCAGACTGTCGATGGGTGGTTGTGGGCGTATGCACCCAAGACTCGTAAGTATGGTTTCATTCCCAAGGCATACGCAAGACCACCGGCCATGACTAGCCTATAGTATTTTGATGCATATTTATATATTTGTTTTTTTATACTCTTCTGTCTCCTCGAGGACATAAAATCTCATTAATTAATTACATTAATAACAACGTAAAATAAGTAAAGTAAGTACATAGTTAAAATATATTTTGACATGATGATGATGACTAGAAAAATATATTAATATTCACCTAGTAGAGGTCACCTAGACATCGGTGCCGTCACTTTTCTTGTTAAACCGATCGAATTTAAACGAATTATCACGTTTGGCAAGCGGTGAACGTAGGAAGAATTTGGATTCCTTTTTGTTGATACCTTTGGGTGATGCTGGTGTGCGTAACACCCTTGGCGAAGTTTCAATGTGTTTGAATTTAATAGACGCGTGTTTAGTACGGGAAGTTACAATGGGTTCAGAGAGACCTCGCGGGACACTTTTGCCTGAATTGCATTCTATATTCGGGTAGGCAATGGGCGTGTGCGGGGCTGACTGCGACACACAGACTTTCGGAATACTTGTGACGGTCGCATCACGTTCGATTGACTTGTGTTGCTTTGTAGAACCGGAAAGCGAGTCGATTTGACTGCCAAATGCGCTTATCTGTCGCATGTTGGGCTGGGACCTTGCGTGCATATTGCGATGATGACCACGGGTTGTATTACGACGTACGGGATTCGCTGGCGTGCGATGTGTCAACCGCATTGAACTATGCTTCATTAATTTCTTGGATGGATTGTCGTTTTTGTTCTGCGCACGGGCTCGCCCTTGCAATGAACTTCCTAAAGCGTAAATAGTATAAATATTAATTTTGGTGTGTTAAATAAGGTAATAATGTGATTTACATACTTGTATTTCCAGTGTGTTTCCGTCTGGTTTGTGCCATTGCATAGACAACTGCCGCTAGACTATTATATTGACTCGGCTGACGTTGGAAACATTGCGGGCCGGATGCGTTCTTACCCAGAACGAAATAAGTCTCCATTTGCCCTTTACCTTTGACTTCAATCATCCCACGACATTTTACATCATATCCCCTGATGCCCAACAACTGAAAATGATGTTGATAATAACTGGAATGTTTGTAGAGCAGGTATTGTACATACTTGAGCTGTATATTTAGGAACTTGGATCTGACCAATAACACCAGTTGAATCCATTCTCGAGGCCTCGTTGACGGTGTCACCCCAAATGTCAAAGACAGGTTTGCGTGCGCCAATAACACCGCAGACCAGTGGTCCACAAGTTACTCCGATACGCAGGCCGAAATTGTTGAATGAATGCTTATTGACCTCATCCAGGCGTTGTTTCATTGCTAGAGCAAAATCTACAAGTGCACATAAATGTTCCAAGCTTTCAGTGTTCATACAATCCTTGTGCGTAGGGTTTAGACCAGAAGCAGCCATGTACGTTGCTGTAGCGCTAACGGTTTTAATTTTTTCTATGGCACTGAAACGTTCTTCATCCAATAATTCATCAAAATCAGCTGGAACACATCACAATCATTAAATTGTATATTTTGTGGACAAACAAGCACTCACCAATGATCTCATTGAGCAAACGTATGCATTCCATGCCTTTATTGATATCCTCCGAGTAAAACTCCGTAAAATTCGGTATACTAGCAAAGAGGACGCCAACCTCTTGTCGATATTGCGAATATAACTCCTAAAACACACAATTATTAAACCAAACAACACGTATTTTAACATATCATTTAAATTTACATCAGCATTCCTTTCATTTGACAAAAATGCTGCGCAACATGATCCGGCAGGATATTCTTCAATAACTGTGTGTTATTATGCCTTGTCTCCTGCATATCCGCCAGTTCCTTTTCCGCCTGCAACTTCCACAAGAAGTCCAGCCTCGAAGTCACCTCCACCAGCCGCGCATGATAGGCCACAATCACAAAGAACACAGTCAACAAAATAATCATCTGCGCACTCAGCGGAATAAACTCCATGCCACTGCTGCGAATACATTTATCCTCCTTGAAGACATCATTAAAAAACACCATGATAAGCACTGCGTACACCGTCACCAACACTACCGCCAGAAACGTCTTAATGAGATAATATAATTTAAGAGCGGTAGCTAATGCTATCAGGGACAACACCCACGTAAACACGACATATCCTGCATGCATACACAAATAAAAATCATCCTTTCTACGTGGGGAATCAACTTGCGGTTGGAGATCAGACTTATTCCCTATCAGATTCTTTGATTCATTGTCCACAACGTATAGTTGAAGAGATTTCGCGATGTCACTATTGTTACCATCACTCCGGGTTATTTTATCTGTTGATGATGTTATCACCGCCACGGAAGTACAATTATTATCCACACAATCATCGTCGTAAAAGTTAGACGTGTTGTGGTTTTGAAAGACATTATTCACGATTAGAGTGAAGTTAATATTAATATTTGGCATGGGATTTATATTATTTCGTCGAAACATTGCAGTCTCTGTGACGGTGGCTACGGTTTGAGCCTTTTTAAAGCAGGTAAACGCTGGTTTTCCAAACATTAAACTCGCTGAAGATGCACACGCCATTAGCACGATAACACCACAAATAAACGCGGTACGCGATCGTCGATTATGCACTAATGTCGAGGAGATTTTCTGCAGGGCTGTTGGAAACTGCTGAAACTCCTCCGCCATTACCAGCACGGATGTTGATATGAGTAAAATTGTTGCTACTGATAGAAATGCAATCATTCCAACTGAATGGCTACAAACATACAAACATGTTTTAATCATAATATTATCTTAAATATTCTTTAAACTTACTGTTTGGTAATTGCAAGTTGACAGAGCACAATAAAAATCCATATTACAAAGCAACAAAACATGTTGGACTTGAACATGTCTTCTCGTAATTGGCTAAACTAAAAAAAACACAGAAATATTAAAATATAGAAAATAAGATTATAATTAACTTACTTTTCTTTCCATGTCTTTGTCTTTAAACCGCAAGGACCATGGATTTACATTAGCTGATCGCATGCGTTTATTGGTGGCGATTTCAATGCTTTGGTCAATAATGTCGTCTACTTGTTCAATGGTACTCAACGCCATTGACGTACTCTTCTCTGCATAGAGATGTTTGTTCGATATGTTCAACGAGTCGATATCTTCATCCAAATCACCCGATAAATTATGCCGCAACTAAATTTTAAAATATTTTGATTATTAAAAACAGGAAGGAGAAGAAAAAGCAGAATACATTTTCAAATGGCAGTTCCGGTTTCCAATCAGTGGTGTTTTCCTCATCAACTGTTGATTGCTGAATACCACTATCACTTCTCTCTCTTCCGATGGTCATTGTGTACGGGGGACTTGTTGGTGTTATCGTGGGACTCCTCGGAGAACTAATAGACATTTCATGGTCATCATCAGGCCACAATTTATTGGAAAATATACTAAAACAAGTAAATATTATACTAGGGGTTTACTAAAATAATTTATTAAGTACCTAGGCCTTGATTGTAACCTTCTCCGCGTTTTCTTCGGCTCAATTTGCTTAATCAAGTAGGTTTTGACATCGTGCACCCGTAGATAAGCATCGCGTTCCTGTCCATTACCATCTTCAACTTCATACGCGCCATTTAAGCATTGGAAAGTTGATTCTGATATATGCACCCTTCTATAAAACATATCAACCATAAAAATTCCTCATCCTCCAGATGTTTAATATTACCCTGGTACACCCCCTGATTCCATATGGTTCGCCAAGCGGACATCGTAAGACCAAATGTCGAATTGCCACTTGCGCAAACCAAGGACACCGCATAACACCGACCCGGAATGTATGCCAATACGCATATTCAAATCGACCTGCAAAAGGAGATTGTTTACTCATTAATCGCCGCGCCCGATAAGATAAATCATCCGCGCGCGTCACACGCCAGATGATTAATCGTTTAATAACAATCCACGTGAGAAAAAAACGCACTCCCAGTGCTTCCTTGATAATAAAGATATAGGGTTGTAAAAAGGGTCATTAAAGCTGAGGAAACACGCAATTATTGAACACACCACATAACTATACGGTTTGTTTTTCATAACGCTTCTCTCTTGGCACATAAATGTGTCGTAAAGTGCCAAGGAGCATGATGAATGAAAATTGTGCTGTTTCATTCAAATTTACGCAATTTTTATCTTGTTTTGCACAAAATCTTCATAAAAAATAACTTGAAAGGTGATATATTATAATTTTTAAATAAAGTGATCGCAGTCACGCAATAAAAACATGATCAACGCGACTAGTTGTGTAATACTCGTTTATTTAGATTAAAATGAACTTTATTTGATAAACATCGTTGATTACATGCTTTTTATTTAATTCTACGTGATACAATCGTGAAAAACCTTACAAAACTCATTCACCATCGCATCTATACGCTCCTTAAACACAGGATCAAGCAGATAATTCTGTTTCAATTCATATTCACTGATAACTGCCGATTTTCCCTGGTTAAATACACGTTGTTTCTCTTCAATCAATGCTCGTTGATGATACAATAAAGCATTAACAACCGCGCGTCCATTAAATACAAATCGCGAATGTAAAAATGTATTCAACTCAAAAGGCATCTGTAATTGATTGTTCTGCAGAACCAAGCTCAAACATTCGTAATAATAAATTAACATATCTTCGGTATAAAACCTCCAGAAAGACGAAAGAGTTGAAGAGAATAAAAAGGACAATACTTCTTCACACGCTGATCCACACACAACTTCATCACCCAGTATTATTTTACAAGGTGTTTCGTTAAATATCGATTGTTCTGTGTCAAACTTTTCATTGGGAAAATAAATAAATTCGTGATTAAAACACGCATGTTGAACACAACCAAAGTGTTTTGGTACGTTCAACTTATGGCTTACTAATTTCCAATTAACTTTGCGTCCAAGCAACTTAAACAAACTCTCAAGTGCAGTGGGATCGATGTTTTCCTGGGAACATTTTCACTTTTATTTTGGTGTAAATAACTTAACGCATGAAAATTTGCTAAAGCTTTCAATATTACTTTAACATCTGTTAAACCAAAAGGTTCACGAAGATTTAGTCGTTTATGAGTGTCCTCTAAACATTCCATGATCATTAAATCATTTTTTAGATAAAAATAACACTTTTGTAGATCTCCACACGCAGCAATAGGAAAAAATTCATAAAGTACATTTGGTTGCCTAACCGTAAACTTAACCTCTTTAAAAACTCCATCAAAAGTCAATTTTACGCAAAGTACGCCATCTTTAAACTTAAAATCACACAATACTGCACCGGGAAAACATTGATGCATAAATCGATGCACCACATCTGTGGTAACCCACTGATTGCTTTCAAATTGAACGAAATCATGGAATAATCCATCAAAAATTAATTTCTCTTCTTGATCCATTGTTGTAATTGCCAGCAGGAAGTCGTAATCGTTTTGGGCCATTAAGTGATCCAACGCGATGTTTAATCGCTGAGCTTTGCGTAATTTGTTCGCAGACGAAAAAGCCGCGTAGATTATTTTCGTAATCAATGCTGATGTTGCATGCCGCTTGATGCTGGCCTCAAAATCAATTCTTGAAAACTCACGAATTATATCCACATTGAATTTTAAACATTCCGTCACAAGTTCATCGTAATATAAATTACAAAATTCAGCGAAATGATTGAACCCAAGGTTGTGTATTAGCAACGTGCATAAATCATGCGCAGGTTCCGCCCTTCTTATTAATTGATAATCAATTATTTTACACTGATTTTTGTTAAATAATAAGTTATTTATCCAGAGATCTCCATGGCAGACAATTTTGAATTGATTTTGTTTATCTTCAGTGAATAATTCAATCATTTTTTGCACTTTTTCCTTAAATTTCCATGGTAAATCCTGGTCGTAATTAGAATGTGCTAAATATTTCATTACTCCTTTGGTGATGGCTTCAATGTAAACAGTCTTTGTGAGCATAGCTTCAGTTACCATTTCTTCTTCTGGTGGAGTTTGCCTCTCGACGAATATCACCAACGCGTGAAGTTTAGCTAAAGCTGCAGCGGCGCTCTTAAAATACTCATGTTTAAAATCTTCACGCGTGAGTGGTTGAAATGGATCTAACAACTCCATCACAATGAAATTATCCGTAGATAAATAATATTTTGGCACGCAGAATGAAATTTCCACAGCTGCTGTAGTGGTTTCCGTGGAATTTAACCATTTGTAGAAATTAATTTCTTTTCTCATCACTAAATTGATAAAATCCGGACGATTTGGCGTTGTGAGTATTTTCTTGACGAAATAGCGCAGTACTTCTCCATTTTGTAATGTGATTTCCAACGTAAAATACTCCCCAAGATGGCCGTTTGGTGTCTGTGGTATTTCGAAAGTTTTAGAAACATTAAAATGTTTGATTTTCTCATATTTTGATTTTTTGTGCACTTCTACGATTTGCTGGCACTGCGCGTCGGTGATGAAATCCATTTCGCGATGTTTTAAAAGTGCACTTTACGCGCACAACACCCACGGTAAAAATAAGCTGGCAATCGCAACGCGTTGTGAAATGCGACTGATTTAATTTCCACTTAGAGTGAAAGACGCGCGAACCGCGTGCGTGTATGTCAAAGTCACACACAATTGACACAGTTTCACAACTCGTAATGAATTTAATTAAATTGTATTTATTTAAAACACGATGTGAATCGGTGCAAGCCACTTTGACCCTGCTGACTAATCATTGAGATTAGATATGAAACAAAATCTAAGTTTAAATTTTTAAATTATTTCAAAATAACTATATGCATAATACCGGTGATACACATGACTTAAATATAATTAACTAGCTTTAACCCGCGGCTTCGCTCGCGAATATCTAAAATAATGAAGTTGCTTCCGTACGCGTCTGTAGTCACAGAAGAAGTAACAATGAAGTAGAATGGCGGGAAGTTTAAAATGGCTGAAAGTATAGTCTATGGAAGTATAGTGTACAGTCTCCATAGTGTAGTCAATTGGATTTGATGTTGACGTAGCTGTCGGTAATACAGTGTGATAATACAGTGTGATGGTACTATAGTACTTAGGTTTGAGCTTCATTGCTGGAATGCTAGATGGCGTTAAAGTAGTCAAATAGCCAGATGCAGAGGTATTATTGGCTAAACTATTTCTTTATTTTATTTAAAAATATTTTTTTTATTAAATAAAAAGTAGCCTATAACCATTCGGGGACCACTAAGAATATGTGTACAAATTTTCATGATGATCGGTTAAGTAGTTTTTGCGTGAAAGTGTAACAAACATCAGGACATTAGTAGGGATTTATTTATTTATTAAACAAATACACTAATGCTTCAAATAATACTCTCGAACATCATCAATAGCACCAGCTAATCTCTCCCTAAATAATTCATCATTCTGCCAATGATACTTCACATGCTGTGACCGATCTTCAAACAAATCTCTCCTGGACTTCACCGGATCTGCAAACAGGACCTGCAGCGATTCCGACGTCAACATAATAGTCTGAAAGTGAGTCATTGTTTGATACAACGCAAATTGTTCATCAATCACCGCTGATTTCAAGAAACTCTCATACGGCATGAAATCATCCACGCTGCGTCCATGCGCAACAAAAACCTTCTCAAACTCCTGGTAATAAAACTTCAGCATATCCTGCCAGTGTCGTTTCCGGTCCGCGCGGTACATATTAAAATGCAGAAACTGCGTGAGATCATGCGTGCATGGGCAGTACCTATACGATTGAAAATCGATAATTTTTCCATTTCCGGATGTAAACATCATATTACTCGCCCACAGGTCACCATGACAAATCGTATTACGATATTTCTCCGATGGTTTAACAAGGGGAATAAATTTATCAATCGCTTGACAAGCATATTGCTTCAATACTTCTACATCTGGACTTAGATTTTTAGATTTATCTTGACTGGCGTAAAACAAATCAATCCCCATGCTTATTCCCTTCTTGCCAGCTTTGAGTAGATTCTTACTCATCTCTTTTTGATTGTAGAATGTTTCTTGGAACTCAATTGGATACATATCAGGTAGTTTTTTACCTGTTTTATCCTCTAGTAATAAACCACAAGCGTGTAACTTCGCCAAGGCTCGCAGACCAATTTTCACAGTTTCCAGTGGCATTGTCTCGCGTATCTTACCCATTTCGTAGTTGAATTCGGTGACCAAATCATCAAACACTAAACCCTCTCGATTGGCGAGATAACACGTGGGTACACAATCACGAACCTCATCCAATCCCAGTGATAACATATGCGGGACAATCGTCGAAAAGAACTGACACTCTTTAAAGCCGCAATTTGTTTGTTCGTGGAAGTCTTTCAACGCGTCTGTTTTCGGTAACATTTTCGCAAACAGCTTCATTCGTAGTAATTCATTCTTTTTGGAGCAATGGTGACTTTCACTGTTAATTTAATCTTATGGTAATTACCAAGATAACCAGAAATGTTGACGATTTCTTTGGAGCAATAACCAACCAAGTCATATTCTGGTATTTTCCCGTAAACATCTGTTAATTTTTTATTAATAATCAAATAAATGTCTTCGATAGGCAAGGGATGATAAGTCACATTCTCTAGAAATTCTGAGAAAATAACAGCTATGTTTTTCTTGTATGGAGGATCAATCTGGAAGAGTTTTCTGATGAATTCTGGACGTCCAGACCCCACGACAACTTTCACCATGGTTTCAAAGTCTGCTTGCATTGCTTTGGCGTTTTCAAAACTCTGCTCGGAAGTTTGCCTGTACTTCAACCAAATAAACTTTGCAACCTTCATGTAAACCTTGCAGGTATCTTCATATTCATCCAAAGGTAGAATCCTGTCAATATCTAGACCTAGAGAAGTCAATTCTGTCTTTAGGGATTGATAATAATGGTTGTAGAATTTATTCAATGATCTTTTACGTTGTGAGGATACTGTAGCCATGTGAAGCAACATTGTAACATCATGTGCTGGTGGTGCATATCGACACAACTGGAAGTCAATCACTTTAGCTAGAATTTCTCCAGATTCTGAGTTTTGTTTAAATAAAAGGTTAAAACCCCATAAATCACCCTGGCAAAGCACTTTACGCCAAGGGTTATCATCATTGAGGACATCCAGCACCGAATCACAAGATGCAATTATCTTCGCCGGTAATTCTACGTCATCAGGATATAAAAGTCTCGCTAGTTCCAGACATCCTTGTTTAGTCGCCTGGAAATATTTATGTCCCGAACATGTTTTGTCCGATTTTATAAACCAAGGGTGCAGGGATTCCGCGCTGCTTTCTTTCTGAATATCATGATGACCAAGTGTCTCCCATGCGATGCTAATGGTGTGATACTTTGCTAACGCTTTCAAACCAGCTAGGATTTCGTCATCTGTTAGTTTATGACTTTTTGACGCCATAAATCCTTGTGTTTGTAGATTCTCAAACACCATCACCTTCTCGCCAGTTGGTGTACTCTTCGTCAATAGTAATTTGGGCACTATTGATGTATCCAATTGATATGTAGACAATTCCTCTGCTGCTTTCTCAACTAATTCATAGGTAAACAACTCTTTTTCATACAATGGCAGATCGTCAAAACATTTGAGCATTCCTTTATTATCCGCGACGACTTTAACAAACAAAGTGTAGTTTTCCCCATTGTTTGTTACAAGCGTAAGACGTAGATGATCTCCTAGATATCCCATAATTTCCTTTGAGAAAGGTTCAAGAAGGAAGCTATCAAGACGGACATCTTTGGGAAGGTTCAGTTTGGCGAACAACGCCTCGCAGTCTGTTCGATTCAGCACCATATTGTTGTGTTGTAGATGATTCAGTAACGCACTGATGAATTCATTTCTCGCGCGCCTTTTATACAAAACCCGCGAGTAGTGAATGAAACCACACAGTGATTTATTGATAGACACACTGTCTCGAGCATAAATTAATTATATTTACACATTTCGAGATTAAAATTATATAAGGATCATTAATTTTGTCGCATATACTATTATTATATTATTATACCAGGCCAGTTAGTACCAGTTAGGCTAGGTAGCAACCGAAAATGTTTGCATTGATTTAGGGAATGATGAGCGCTTATCTAACCCGCCGGAAAAGTGTTTGCCTTGTTTTAGCTGCGTAATTTACGTAAATAAACCACGCGCAAAAAGTGAACACGTACGTAAACAAAATGTAAAACTCACTTTTGTTTTGTGTCTGGTGTCACGGATTGCTCGTATCATGTGGAGGCCCATTTCGACGCAGCAGAGCGCGTGATCAGGGCAGGCAATCGGTAGTCCTGACACGCAGTAGTAACAATCGCCGAGGAGTTTGATCCGAAGGCAGTTATTTTCCTACACAACACAACACGCAAAATTGTCGTGAGAATAATCTGGGATTAATAACCTTAGATGATACGAGTAGTTGACTTACTGCTGCTAATTTGTCAAACCGAGCAAATAAATCGTTTAAAATCCGCACGAGTTCCTGTGCACTGCATTGACTTGCCAGAGCTGTAAAAATATAACAAAATAATAATTTAAGTTAATTATATACAGGGTGTTTATTTACCTGTGAATCCTTTTATGTCTGCAAATAATATACTGACATTTTCATATCGATGGATATAAATCTTATGAAATTGATGCGGTTGAAAGGATCCACCACGTTCTTCCTCACGTGCAATGTCTCTAATCATTTCCTTCGCCACAAAATCAGGCAACACAGAAAGCAGTAGTTTCTCCTGCTTTTCATTCTCAGATTGTGTGCGGAATCTTGTATCCATCGAGCGATGCGTTTCCAAAAACGCCTTGCGTTGACTTCTATCTGTTAAATATTTTGTATACATACCCGCGAAATTTACTGCTAGATACAAGAGGGCGTTAGCGACAATACGCCGGATTTGACATTCACTTGTGTAATCATTCTGGAATTATTTATTTGTAATTACACTGATTTGCGGTGGAGATTACTCTTGCATACCACATTGTCAGAGACCACTGAATTGACAATAGTAATGCTAATGTGCACGACTGAAGACAAACACCCTGCCATCATGCACCATCTGAGCGGAAGTGGCAACATGGCGTACGGAACAAAAATGGCAAACAGGATGTACCACACAACGTCTTCCATCTTGGAAAAACCAAGACCTTTTGCAACAAACGCTGAAAATAAAAAAAATAATTTTTATTCATTTTATGAATTATTAAATTAAATCCCTACTAATATTATAAATGCGAAAGTCCTGATGTTTGTTACACTTTCACGCAAAAACTACTTAACCGATCATCATGAAAATTTGTACACATATTCTTAGTGGTCCCCGAATGGTTATAGGCTACTTTTTATTTAATAAAAAAAAATTATTTTTAAATAAAATAAAGAAATAGTTTAGCCAATAATACCTCTGCATCTGGCTATTTGACTACTTTAACGCCATCTAGTATTCCAGCAATGAAGCTCAAACCTAAGTACTATAGTACCATCACACTGTATTATCACACTGTATTACCGACAGCTACGTCAACATCAAATCCAATTGACTACACTATGGAGACTGTACACTATACTTCCATAGACTATACTTTCAGCCATTTTAAACTTCCCGCCATTCAACTTCATTGTTACTTCTTCTGTGACTACAGACGCGTACGGAAGCAACTTCATTATTTTAGATATTCGCGAATGAAGCCGCGGGTTAAAACTAGTTATTAAATAATTACCTTGGACGTTTAATAATAACCAAGTACATATCGCTGCCCAATGAAGATAGTTATTAGCGAAGCACCTCCACCATCCGAGGAGACAAACAATGATATTCGTAAGCATGGTGCATACGCTCCAGATTAACGCATCATTGTTCTGACTCTCGATGAATTCCGATGCGTTCTGTGTCGCCCAGACCGAGATTAACGCCACTTTGAGCATCAGATCCACCATGTTGACAATAATTAACGACTTCTGTCGTTGCCGGTGCGAATATCGCAAGTAGGCGAGCTCCAAGTGTTTGCTTTGAAAACTATTGGTGAGACTGGGCCAATAGATGCCTTTGTACATAAGACCTTTCTTGAAAACGGTCGCGAGATCCGCTTTCATCTCCGAATAATTATCATCGTCCACCGGAAATATGGACGGATGGTGTTTGCGGAAGTTCAAACTCGGATAGACATCCGTATCACTCGGTGACGGAATGCCATTGTCGAGTGGGAAGTCTATAGTGCAAGAATCTGGAGTTTCAACCTGTTGAGAAAAGTGAGTCAAACGCATACAAATCTTCACACAAATCTTCAACTTACGGGGCTTTGAATTGTTTCTAAGAGTTGCACGCGCTTGCGATGCATTTCGAGTGCTGTCATGGCAACATCAGCGAAATTTCGGCGTCGCTTTGCCTCGATTAGCTTCTGCACCGCGCGTGTCCACAGAATTTTACTGTTTGTTGGTCCAATTCTAAAGCAATTCATATTTTTATTTAATCAATGTTGCTGCAGACACATTTATCGATAATAAGGACACAAGATAATAAAGTTAAGATGGCGCATCGTAATCCGATTTTTATCTGCACATTTACGAGCACGGGCTTTATGAGCGCCTGTCGTTTGTAGGCATTTAATAAAATTATAAAAAAAAAGTTTATGTACGTCGTAATAATCTGTTTAGTGGGTGGTTTTAGACTGAAAATTAAAATTAACACTCAATTAACATATATGCATATAAACTGACTTAAAATGCCCGGCGCCTCCACCAAAATTTAGTAAATTAATAAAATTTCTTAATTTTTTTAATGAAAACTTTAAAACGTTTTTAACGACTTTTTTCTGACTTTTTAATACAATTTACCGGAAAAGTTGTCCTTTTGTTTATCATAGTTTTCCCTGGTTGTTTTGTTCGTTTTCCATCTTTCCTATCGCATTTTCGACCATTTACTCTATGAAATTAAATAATTTTAAAAACTTATCTTATAGAGAATTTTCAAAACTTTCAGAATATTTAAACCGCTCATCGCTACGATTTTTATTTTGCGAGATATTCGCAATTGAAAAAGTTATCAAAAATTGAAAAATTTCTCTTTTAGCGTTTTAGTCGCATTTTTCAACCTTTTACTCTGGGAAATATAACTATTTTAAATTCATATCTAATAGAGAATTATACAATCTTTCATATTCTACAATCCGCTAGCCGCTATCATTTTTAGTTTAGAAGATATTCACAATCAAAATATCAAAAAATATAAAAATGCATTTGTTATCATAGTTTTCCACGGTTGTGTTGTTCCTGACAATGAAACATCTTCAGTATTTAATTTCTGAATATTCACGGTGTTCTATTATTCTTTGTCTAGTTTTCTAAAAATACATCACTATCGACACGAATGCGTGTTGTTTTTTGCATGCGTGTGTGTGTGTGTGTGTTGTGTGCGTGTTGCTATCGGCACATTTCGTCGTTGTTTTCATTCCACTCGCTGGTTTTTCCATCTTTCCTATCTCTATCGGTGTTCCCCCGCAGCCGTTGGCACCGTCGCCGGCGCCGCCGCCACCAATGTCCCACCCCCCATCCCCCTGCATCAACGCACGTCGTTTTAACGAGCGTTTTAGTGCGCCCGCTGGCGCGTTTTATCAGCTCGCCAGATGGTCGCTATTTTCTCGCCTAGGGTTATCTAACGCTTTTTCAAGTGATGTAAATATCGCGCACCGCCATTGTTTGATATATTGTGCGCCATCTAGTGTAAAGAATCAGTTTAGCAGGTAATATCTGAACGCTTACAACTAATCTGTTTATCGCCCACCTTTTATAATGTAATCTATTCATTTATTTGATGACAAAAAGCTTTCGTTGATAACCTGATATGGAAATATCATCGATTATTTTGATTCTACCGAAATAATATTCGAGTAAATCACAAAAATATTCTTTAATAATAAAATAAAATAAAATGTGAATTTTTTGCTCTCTGCGAATGTAATCAGACATTTCGCCTGTAATCATGTGCTCTGGCGGGCGGATAGCGTCGGAATAAAATCTAAAGGGCACCAAATCGCAATCGGTGCGTAAGAAAATTGCCCCACTTTAGTGCTACAAGCGGCAGTGGCCTAAAATGCCTATAATAGCTCTAAGAATATTCACGGATTTGCACTGAATGTTCCCACCTCGCCAAAACCACCAAAACACCACCCCCACGGTTATAAATAGATTTTTTTGTGGTGACATAAAATTTAATCACATTACTGCACTCCGCAAGTTTAAATTACATAAATTGATGCAACCAACGCATTTTTAAATCCTTTTTAGTAAATTTGAAAACGCTGCGCAAGCTATGTTTTGCTTCAGTGTTATGACCAGCCCGCAGAGCAAATTATATTTTATAGCACAAAACAAAGGAGAAAAATGGACAAGAGTTGTAAGTTAATGTGGAAAAAGCTACAAAAAAAGAGTGAACAATCGTAAACTATATTTTATCGGGCTGTTGTCATCTTGGTTGTTATTCTTTTGTGTTCGGATGTGTGTGTGTGTTGCGTTACGCAAGCCGCAGGCGGGTTCGTTTTGAGGAGTCGTTTCCTCGGGCTTTTATTACGCTTCAAATTTGCAAACAAATGTACTTGTTGACAATGATGCGCGAGGAGGGTTTCGGTTCACTGATCGGTTCGTTGCCCCATCGGTTAAACCTGTGGAGGAAAATAATTGGAAACTGGGCCAAAACTAGAGCAAAGCAAAGGAAGAAAACATTCAAGCACGTGGATATCGTTTGGATTGGTATAAATAAAATTCAATTGGTACACGTGTGACGGGGCATCATTTGAATGGGAGGCGGTGGTGTAACTATGGGGCGGTAAGGTTGAATATTTTATGTTGTAGAGAATTTTACAAGGATTTAGAATATTCAATCCGTTCATGTTTATCTTTTTTAGTTTACGAGATATTCGCGATTGAATAAAATGGGCAAAAATTGCAAAATGTCACTTTTTAGCACTTTTAGTCGCGTTTTTCGACCTTTTACTGTAGGAAATATAATTATTTTATATTTTTATCTGATAGAGAATCTTCCAATCTATCATAATCAACAATTCGTTGGTAGCTATCCCTTTTAGTTTAAGAGATATGAAAAAAAGTATCAAGCACCCCCCCTTGGCAATTTTTTCTTAAGACTTAAAATTTCATCTCTCAGATTTCCACTTTAACTATCCTATCTGATAGAGATTGGTCCGTAGATTAAGACGCTGCGATCAGATCTTAATTATCTCTCTTAGTTTGCGAGATATTCGCGATTGAATAAAATGGGCAAAAATTGCAAAATGTCACTTTTTAGCACTTTTAGTCGCGTTTTTCGACCTTTTACTGTAGGAAATATAATTATTTTATATTTTTATCTGATAGAAAATCTTCCAATCTTTCATAATCAACAATCCGCTGGTTGCTATCACTTTTAGTTTAGAAGATATTCACAATCAAAATAACAAAAAATATAAAAATTCATTTCTGCACAACATCATAACATATTCAATTCAAATTTTGTTGCATTTTGCATTTGTACATTCTGCACGTGAATATTCAGTGTGTAAATCAATTAATAACCGCGAGCTAGCGGATTAATAATAAACGCGGCACGCAAAACGCATACGAAATTGAATTATTGCGCGGTCGGTCATGCCCGACACTCTTCAAAAGACTTGCAAACATTGATTTACGATTTAAACGGGAATAAATTACGCTTTGACAATTAAATTAACTTCGATGCATTAAAATAAAATACATAAAAGGCAAAATTTTAAAAATACCGACAAATAACAATGTTGCGCACACACAACTTGTATGAGTTCAATAGACGTTCAACAATAAAGGAGAGGAAAAGCCGCACAAAAGAACAGCGCGGTTGGAAATTGAAAAAGAAAAACGCACGATGCCAACCGGGATAAGCTCGTAATTTATCATCAAAGTAAACATCGCATTGCAGCCCGCTTCCCGCTACGTGACTTCTTGCGCACGACGCGATAAAGTATTTTCTATTACACTCGATCATAATATTGCTGTAGTTGCAGCCACCGGAAAATAACGCAAGTTTATTTCATTCAATAAATACGAATAACATGAGTCACGTTCTATTCAGAGACATTCTGTCAACTGCAAACTAAACTTTCGATTTTTATTCATTTATTAAAAGTTTTTTATTGCTAGACTTCTAATAATTTGCATATTCTGCAAAAAAAAACCGTTAATACGTCTGACTCTCTGTAGACTCAGTTGGGATAAAAATATTACCACACGAAAAGGGGTGTAAAACGTGCGAGACGAGGCTAATAAAGCACCGCAGTTGTGGTGGAGGCGGCTGGGAGAACAAGGTGTGTGCGTACGTGTCGACATCATGAGAGAGCGACGAGAATCTAATTCTAGTCTGCCTCCCCCGGCGCGCGCCAAAGGATCGACGAAATCTCGCCCTCATTTCAATTCCGCAGCTATATATCGATCAGGCTTAGTTGGGCTCGGAAGGTGTGAGCACAGGTGGAATCTCGTTCGCACTCGATTTACTCCTATCCGGCAAACAAAACATAAGAACTGCGTGTCATGTGGGTTGCCGCTCTCCACGTGTCTATGTGTCTATGTTTCGGGAAGGTAATTAATGAATAATTGCTGAAATTAGTGCGTGTTACGCACTTTTAATTACTCTAATGTCATCCCTGCTGTCGACGCACCGGCTGGCCTCCATTAAATATAATTAAATAATAAATTCGAACATCTATATATATATAAAAATGAATTGCTGTTCGTTAGTCTCGCTAAAACTCGAGAACGGCTGAACGGATTTATCTTATCTTGGTCTTGAATTATTCGTGGAGGTCTAGGGAAGGTTTAAAAGGTGAGAAAAATTCGAATAATTGCCGGTAAAATCCTCAAAACAACTCTTTTCAATAGAATAAAATTTGACGTTGAGATTCAATCATAGTTATAGTTAAATAGTTGAATTCGAGATGGCGCGCTGAAGTGCATTATTGACAAAACTTTATATGCATAATTTCTTTAAATTAAAATTGCTAATCTTATTGATAGAATTGACTCTTACTACGAGTATGTCTAGAACAAGAGAGTAAAAACGAATTACATTTTTATTTAACACAGCCGGAACGAAGTCGCGGGCAGCAGCTAGTTGAATATAATTAAATAATAAATTCGAACATTTTGGATAAATCATGATGAGAAAATCAAAGCTGCTGATACAAATTGCATCTGCAGCAAAAAATTAATGCAAAACAGCAGTATCTTGTTGTTTGTAGTTTTTTGTTGAGTGTGTAGTGAATATTAAACATTTTTGCGAGCGTGGAATTTAATTATACGCTCCACAGCGCCCAATTTTCAATATTTTGCTTTCCGTGTGCGCTGCAAATCGCACGATTGATTTTTCATTGCGTCCACCCAAAAAAACCAAACAAAATTTCATCTAATTTAAACCTTCCTCTCAAAAACAACACAAAACAATTAAGTTTTGATTAAAACAACACAAAATATCTAAAAAACCTTACCGTGGCAAAGGTCGATCAACATTCACTTCCAAAATCACTTCTCTTGTTGTTTCCACCGTGGTGGAAGTCGCTGTAGTCCCACTATCAGCATCATCCTCATCATCCGTACACCTGAATGTCGAATCTGTGCGTTCACCACTCGGAGAATCCTCCAAACCGAAATCCTCAGCCGTAGCAATCGGCGGCGATTTATCCTCACACATATTTTTATTTAAACTTCTTTTTAGACAATATCTCGGTGTTTATTACCCGCTCGGCATCAACTGCACATCACTCCTGATCATCTGATGCATTAGTTCTGTAAAATACGAATAAGCAATCAAAATCAATAACAAAACTAACTTGGTCATCTTGTCTGCTGGTGTTTGGTTTAATTTGACCTCGTGTGTGTGTAATCGCAACGATGACGTCGACAAGTTTGTTAAATGTTTAATAACAGACTGATTAATGTCAGCGCCACAGCTAATCATACACGCTGCCCGCAGAAAAGCACATCTATTAATATTTTCGCAAAGTTGGTGCTAAAATGTCGAAAGTTGGCAAAGTTATTTGCAAGTTCTTTCAACTCTCAACCCCAACACTCAATGCGATGGTGTGTGTACTTGTAATTTCGTTTGCGAAACTTTTACTCGTACACTTTGTGATCGTGTAAAGTTTGGCGGGGCCAATTTACGTCCAGGCTTTTGACTTTATGCCTTTTATACAACTTTTCAAATAATAAAAAAGATTCATTATAGGAATTTTGAGTTTTTGACAATAAAACCTACCGGTATACCGATACTAATACCGGTATTTCACATCGTTAATCTTTAATCAATTTCTGTTGTTATTTTAGCATTGAAATGTATTCGATTAAAGTTTCATTTGCAGAATTTGATTAAATGCTACTTGAGGAGTAGAGTTGTGCGCGTCTGCTGCGGATTGTAATTCGTTTAAAGTCGCTCCGCATTTTTCATTAAATAATTTAATTTAACTCAGCTTCGTTCGGCGTCGATTGGATTCGGTTGCTTGGAGTAATTTAACTTTAATAATGCACACACTCGACTTTGTTTCAACTGGAAAAAATGATTAAACTTGATTCGGAATTTAATTCCAAGAAAAAAACACAATTGTACGCACCTTAAATCAAAATTTAATTAACTCTTGCATTGGCAATGCATGTTTTTTCATTGTGGATTAATATTTCGTAGTGCCGGGGGTGGCAGACAGAAAAATCGACTGACATCGCACACCGCAAAAAGCAATTTAGTTCTTTCACCATTTCTCGCCGCAGTCGGGCATTTAACACATTATAAGCCCGAAAGAAAACTTAACGCCAACTTTACGTGGCGGGGTGTCGCCGATTCGGTCTCGACATGTAATTGTCGATACGTGAAATCAATGTGCACTCACTTCAGTGGCAAACAAAGTTTAATAACCGGCAACAAAGAATAACGAAATATAAAAACGTCGCAGCCATTATATTGGTGTTCGGTGGGTTGCATACAATCACAAAACTCGATTTGTTTTGCGTCATTGTTCACCTTTTTTCTTTTTTTGTCGTCGCGAAAAAAGGTCGAAAAAGGTTTTGGAACTTTGCTGAAAGCCTGCCAAAAGTGGTATTTGATTAAAAGCCCCTTTTTACGCGTCGACACTGTTGATTCACCTCTCATTCGGAAACTTCTCCACTTGAATATTCAATCATTATAAATTAAAAAGCTTTCTTCTCGATGGCTCGCATGCAATTACGCTAATTAACCCAGGATGACCGCCGCGAGTGATTAATTTAATATGTAATATGCTTCTACCCTTCCGGCGTGTTTTGGTGCACTGCCAGTTATAGAACGCTCTCTCGGGGTGCGTTTTTAATATTCATTCGCATGAATATGTGTTTATCCAATTCTCCAACGGCTTCTCGCAAACGAAATAATTAAATTCCTGCACTTTTTTTTATTTGTGCGCCAAACACAACGAAACAAAACATCGGAATGGTTTTAATTCCAACGCGCTTAATTAAGACACATTGGTGTCTGGATGGCTGCGCAAAAAGATGCTAATTAATAATCTTGTTCAACTGTGTAACTTACACATTTCTTGTCGAGCAGGGCGAAAAGTTTTGCGCTGTTTGCCGATAAATTAATTAATGTTGGCCACACAATGTAGCGCAGAGAACAAAGCGCATGCTGAGAGTGTTAAACAACTTCATTTGTTGAATGTACAAGTTACAGGGTAAGCAATACCGGTATTTATACCGAAATACCGGTATTAAACACAAAATTCTCAATTTTTACAATTTATTACGTGAATTATTACAAAAATACAGTGAAATAATTAACCGCAGACGCGATAAATGTTTCCTGCTCGACACGTAATTAAAATTGTAATTGTTGCTTAGATTGCTTACTTGAAATTCTTTGTCTTTGAGCCTCCTCCATAGTGTTACATTAATTTCATCTTCTGTTTGCTCCTTTTTCCTTTCGCAACGCTGATGTTTTTTGTCGCGCGCCGTCGCGATCGTAATCGTCGTCTTTGTTGTTGCTCTTTGTTTCACACGCGTCGCAAAGGGTTGCGGAGTAATTTCGATTGTAATTATAATTGCTTGGGGCGCTTCAGCATTGGCACACGCTCAAAACTCGGCACAACTCTATTGCAGCACAAATATTGTCCCGCAATGCAGCAAACAAATCAAAAATTCAACGAAACTTCTTCTTTAAATGTACTAAACTTGTCTCCTGCAACTTATCACATAAATATACACATATTTTATCAACACTATTATTTATTTATATAAAAATTGTTTATTTTTTCGCAACGATTAACGTCTTGCTGTGACTTTTCGAAGATTCTTTTGATTGTTAAATGTTCGGAACGCACTTTAGCTTATCGTGTGGAACTGAGAACCGCCGGCGCTCACCGCAATCGTTTTGCGACTGTGCGTCAACAGCACGGTGGCGGCGATTAAAAGGACAACGCGAAGGCGGTCGCCGCCGCCACCGCGAGTACTTAGCAAACTACGCAAATTGAACCAAACTCAACCCGCCATGAATTAATCGCAAACAAATAATTTATTCAAACTGGAAAACAAAGTCTTATTAGTTTTAAAACTATTTTCGCACTTTTACAGACACAATATTTACTTAAATTTAATTTTGTGTAAATAAATATCAGAGGCGGGAAATATAACTGACAATTGACATCGTAAGGTAGGCAACTTTCTATACACGCAAAGTTAGACCTCTAATAGTGCATCTCCCTACTCCTGCTTTCATTGGTCTCATTTTACAGTGTGGAGTGAAAGTGGCTCGTAGTTGAACGTCTGACATTTCCATATTATTAATTTTTGTTTGGCCATTATCTTAATTTATCTCAGTTGTTATTCGCGTTATGTCGTTTAATATCTTTGGTTTTGCTTTACGTTGTTTAGCGTTCAATTAAACGCAGTGCGTGCGATTCTAGCTGGAGTGTGTCAAGAATGGCTTTTGAACAGTTCTGCCTAAAGTGGAACAATTTCCAGAGCAACATTCTCACAGCGTTTGAGAGCCTGCAATCGACTGAAGATCTCGCCGACGTGACGCTTGCATGCGAAGGCACTACTATCAAGGCACACAAGTTTATTTTGTCAGCCTGCAGTCCATATTTTAGAACCATATTCAAAGTACAGGTTTATTTTGTTACATTTAACCATAAATATCTAATCATTTTGTTTGTCTGCAGGAGAATCCATGCTCACATCCAGTTGTGATATTAAAAGATGTCCATTATAGTGATCTAATAGCTTTGTTGAATTTTATGTATCATGGAGAAGTTATGGTGTCAAAGGAACAACTGCAGACATTTCTCAAAACAGCTGAGGTCCTGCAGGTGTCAGGACTGAAAAGTCTGCCTGATTTATGTCAGAAGATGAAGACTAAGAGGATTATACAAGAAATTGAACCAGAATGTGCCAAGAAACAGCGAATTGAGCGAAAACAGGACAAGATTGAAGATAGGCAACCAAACGAACAGGAAAACAAAACTACAACACCAATCCTACCCGTTGATAGCATAAAAATCGAAGCAGAAGACGCGCCTAGCGACACAGAGTCCTTTCCAGAAAAACAAGACTCTCCAGGAAAGGATAAATCTCTGCTGGAAGCAGCTTTAGAGGTAAAGGATGCTCCAGCAAGCATTCTAGAAAGATCTCTAACTTCACAAGCAAATTCAGGTACATTTCATTCATTCGCAGCTTAAAATCAACCTCAAACATAATAATTTTCAGTAAAAACAAATCTCGCTGAAATAAAATGCGAGTCCATACCTCGCAAACCACCAGAAGAGTCCAACAAACGTGAAATCGACGACAGCGACCACATGACAAACAGCAATGACAGCATCGGTAATGGCGGCGTATCCGGTACACCAGCGCCCTCTATTACTGAACCACCGGTGCATCACTCATCGCAATGCGGCACATGTCCGCATTGCAAACTGCCCTTCACCAACCAATCCTCACTCAAGTATCATGTGCGTTTGGTGCACTCCGAACTGCTGAATCTCTACTGTTGCCATCTTTGCCCGCTGACTTTCGGCTTCCGCTACGGCTACAAAAAGCACATGGCGGATGTGCACAGCGTGCGTACATAATTTTATCTAGAACCAACTTGTTACAGTAAAACTGAAATTCTATTTATATATTTTTTTACGCATGTGACGCGCGATATAATCGCAATGGCGGAGAATGCAATGTTTTATTGAGATAATAAACAAAATTTTATACTTTTATAAAACGCTTCAACATTAGTGGAGGTTTATAAAAAAATAGATATACTATCCAGAAAAACTAAGACGCGTGATCTAACTTTGTACAGTATTTACAATTCGGGGTGCGATATTAAATTATTTATTAGTTTATCAAAAGTAAAAGAGCCTACAATATTCTGACCTACGTTAACGCCATCTTCATTCTAACATAACAATCAAACTTTGATTCTTGCATAATTCGATTTCAAATTAAATATTTAGTCATTTGTTTTCAACGTTGTGCCCTATTCTACGAATTACTCACAGCCTTTTGATTCCGGCACGCGTTATTTTCTATTCACGCGAAAACTAGCTATCGACCAATGGGTCAGCGATGATTAGTTCGTCATTTTCTGAAGCGCTAATCGTAATCATCATTTTTTCTTCATTGCTGGAGCTGTCAGAAGTCACGGACTGCGTTGACGTTGCAGTTTCCTGTAAAAAATAAGTTTTTTCAAATTTTAATTAAAATTTAATTCTAATCATAAAATTATGATTTTCTAAGCCCAGCAAAGCTTTAAATAAAAATATTCAACAATAATATTAATATCCTTACCTCTGGATAATTAATTTGCGTGATGGAATATTTGACGTTAGATGTCGCGTCAGCAGCAATCCACACCTGCTGTTTGTTATCTTCCGATTGACTCCATTGTGAATCATCTCCGGGTTCTTCTTTCGGATCAATGGAACTCGTGCTGGAGTGCTGCGTATTTGGTAAAACAAATAATGTAAAACATGCACAGCCAAAGCAATCAACAGCTATTCGTGTGCACTTACAGTGATTCGTTGTTTCAGATGCGTCTTGATGTGTTTCGAGAGATGATCCGATCGCATAAACTTTTTACTGCATTCGGAGCATTGGAAGCGCTTTTCGCCAGTGTGTGTCCGTCGATGCCGCTGAAGTTCATCGGAACGTGTAAATCTCTTCCCGCAGAATAACCAGGAGCACACGAAAGGTCTCTCGCCAGTGTGCCATCGTAAATGCGCGCGCAGATGCGAAGTCTTGCCATAGACTTTGTTACAGCCAGGTATGTGACAAATGTGTTGCTTTTTTCGGTCGTGATGTCGCTCACCCTCTGTACAATTGGGACATGTGCAGGCAACACGTCTTACACGCTGCTTTTGTAACGGATCTACTGCTGATTCGTTGTATTGTTGCTGCTGGTGTTGCGTTGTGGGTGTTGTGGTGGTTTCTTCTGGCGCAGACGCAAAAGTTACAACATTTGAAGCTGCTACTGATGTAGTGGCAGCAGCAGCGGGTTGCGCTGTAGCCGCTGCAGCAATACTCTGCAACACCTGCCATTTGCTAGGATCAGTAGGATCTTGTTGAATGTGTGGACCAACGGAGATTTGTGGAGCTGCAGCAGTAGGTTGTGTTATAACTTGTACATTTCCTAATCCTGAAATTCAAATTAGTTACGTTTAAACAGCGGAAAACTTTTGAACTAATTTTCTGTCAAACTGACAGTTGCGCATGCGCACATTACAATACCTGGTATATTTTGAATAGTTGGTATGGCTTGCACATTCGGCATTTGTATAATATTCGAAAGATTCGTGCCGCGTACTTGCTGCAAATTCGAAGCTGGAATAACCGTGTATTGTTGACCATTCGCCCCTGTGAAAGTCAACGGCTGCGCGTTTTCCGCCGCCGCCGCTTGCACAGTAACAGCTTGCGAGGTTGGTACCTGCTGCGCTTGCGGCTGCTGCTGTGGCGCTGTAGTCGCAATCTGCACTTGTTGCAGTTGACCGTTAGGGGTTAAAATGTTCGCCAACTGTGGCATAAGTTGCTGCGCCTGAATAATATTCGGCATCGCGGCCGTAGCCGCCAACTGTACAGGAAAGTGAATCGTTTGGTAAATCGTCTGCCCATTCCCGGAGGAGATCGGCACTTGAACAGGAATCGTCTGCTGCATCGGAAACTGCACCACCTGAGGCAAAGATGGCCGCACGGCAACACTCTGCCCGTTCGCAAGCTGAACAGTTTGGATATTAGGTATGTTAGTTGGTAGAACACCAGGAGCACGTATCAATTGTCCATTATGTGAAATGTATTGCTGCGGCTGTTGTCCAATGGGGATAAAAAGCGCTTCCTGTCCATCAACGGTTACAGTCTGCATGGGTTGCATTACATTATAAGCGATATTTTGACCGCCGGCGGTGACAATCTGCGCGCCTGCGGGCGCTTGCAGAAGTTGTTGCTGGAGCTGCTGTTGTAAGTGTTGCGGCAGGACGCTAACAACCTGCTGCCCGCCAAGACTAACATTTTTTACAGGCGTCGGAGGTGTCGACATGATGGGTGCCGTCATTTCAGTGGACGTTGGTCCAATACGGCAGCAGGTAGCTTGGAGCAACGCTAATGGCGACGGTTTTACGTCCTAAAGTAAGAAACAAGCAAAAAAGAAGATTTAGATAGGCAACCCGACATACACAAAAAATTCAAAATGGTGGCGCATTTTAAAAGAATAAAATCATGTTAGGTTCAAGTATGAATTTAAAATGTAAGGTAGGCAACATAATACACACACTGTTTTAGTTATTCGTGCAGCAGCGATGTGCAGTTGTTTCGGTTGCTAGCGCTAATTAAGGATAGAACGCTCGAGGCAAAGTTCAACCTCCCGGATACACCGCAAGCATTGGAGTGAGCGAGCACGCGAACGCGCGCCACGACACGAAATCCCGTTGAGCAACACCCACAGGCACGGGACGAACGCGCGACGCCGCCGCTCCACCCGCCCTAACGGCGCATCGCGCACACTTCCGCACAAAACGGCTGGCGCTAAAAATCCCGCCGACGCGCCCTCGACGGACGCCTTGCCCACACACAACCGACATATCCTTGCAATTATCACTAAACTAGCACCGAAAAACACATCACACTGCACTCACCTGCTCAGTGTCAGCCGGTATCTGCTCGGTCTTCACTTCGATCAGTTCAGTCGCCATCCTTGCAGCGTACGACGACTCGTTGCATGGCTGGCGCTTAGCGTTCGAGACTCACACGATGCAGCCGCAATCGATATGGGATTCGTCCGCGACCACTGCACACGGACACTGATTAATCCCTGTCCACCGATCGGTAAGTTGTATGGACGCACGTGGGCAATTAGCGGGCACAACGCGCGTTAGAAACGTCTTCAAGTGTGTTTCGTGTCTTGCTGTCTCGCTGGGCGGTGATGATACGCGCGCTGGATGTAGGAGCGACTCCCAAACTGCGCTAGCTGGTGTGTGGTGTACTGGCGACAGAGGCTGGGCGCGAACCGACGCGCAAACCACGCCACAGGCCCATGAAGGGGGCACCCCTCTTAGCGCCGCGCCCCGCTGCGAGCGAAACTAGTCTCTATCGCCGCTTCCCAGAAGGTTGGGCCGAGGCACGGCAGCTGCCTGCTCATTGTGACGTCATGCCGCGCAGGCAGGCATGTCTACCGACCGGCCAGCGATCCGCTCTAACTGAAAACCGTCGATTCTATGACAGAACTTGCTGCATTCCACATTCAGCGCGTCGCGAACAACGAACTAGTCGTAATAATTACAAAGGGGCGTATGGATACAGCCCCATTTACGCGTTGAGTATTGCAGATGTTTTATTCTGCTGGTTATGAACACATTGTATGTGAGCGTCGGTGTGTCTAGGGTGGCGTGCTACGCTGCTACGCACCCTGATCGGAGGCAGAGGCAGGATAACGCGGGGGTGGCGAGCTGGTTACGCCCACCGCCTTGATAGCAAACGCGTGATACGAACAGAACACTGCAGGCCAGTGCGCGACATACACTCGTCCTTTCGTTCGGTTGATCTAGTTTACGTTTTGCACAAAGTGCACGCGGACAAATGCTTTATTAAAGTTAACCTGGGAGTTTATTTCGCTAGTTGTTATCGATTCGACGATGACAAAAGAGCTACGTATATTTTTATCCTCCGTGACGATAGGCAAACAGTTATACGCGTAAAATTTACATTTTTAGAAGAAAAAGGGATTGGTATATAATATTTAGATAGGCAACCAAGTATACACATAAAAATAGGAATGGATGTGTATGTTATTCTTTGTTATAAGAAAAACAGCACTTACAACGTCGAATTAAATTTTTATTTCGAAATAAATGCGATGAAAAACAAAGGCAACCGCAAAACATAATAAAACATTTGCAAAAATACACATTTGGTGCGTTGCCTTAAATTAATCATACGTTTAAGTCATACATATTCTTTTTGGTAACTATCGCGATAGTTTTGCGGAAAATATAAACCGGCTTGTTCGCAAATGGCACGCTTTGTACATTCAAAGTCAATTCACTAGCAGCGTTATAGCCTAACATCAATCTTCTTTGACGGGATTCTTGCGCGGACTGTTTTCTCGACTCTCGCGTTCGATTCGTTTGTATTTATCGCACACGACACATCCAAACATGAAAATGATCGTAATGCCCAGCTGAATGATCAACCAGACAATAATATTGATAGCTTGCGTGCGCTCAAACAACTCCCTGCCGTGTTTGATACAAAGCAGCGCTTCAGACACCATAATACATCCATAAACCCAACATTGCGTTCCAACGCGCTTGCATGATGTATCCGTGATATAACTGTAATACTGGCGTACAGATGGCGCGACAATCACGCCAACGAGGATGAGCCGCCCGATGACGAAGGGATGTGACGCCGGCATTTCGAAAATATGCTTGAGGAAGAACGTATTCAACTCGGTAGTCTGCCAGAAAATAACCAACTGGCACAGCGCAACAATACGCATGTACGAGCATTTCGGATCCAGCCATCTTACCGACGTAAAACTCTCCGGGGTGAATTGCAACATGGCGCGTTTTATCTTTCCTGTGGTGGTGTGTATGTCACGAATGCTCACCCAGCGATATTCACGCATTTCTAATATCTTGCAGATTTTCAACCCGCACCAGATGCCAAAACCATTGCATAGAACAACATCTAGCAGTAAAGCATCCCACCAGCATTCTTTAAAGTTAGGCAAAAGATGCGCGAACGCAATCTCTGTAATCTCCCACATGAAACTAATCGACCATAAAATACCCATATGTCGAATTAAAATAGCTTTGAATATCCATCCAAGGTAATGCCCAACGGCAAACACATCCATGTGTGACCAGACGCGTTCAAAAGTCACATCGGAACAATTCACAGCATATTCCTTCTCTTGATCAATATGAAAATTCGCCAGATTCGGATCCAGCCATAGAATTATATGCCGTACGGTTTGATAGTCCTGGAAGAGGAAGAATAACATCGCCAGGAGGTACAACACGCTGAGGCCGAAGACAATTCGCCAAACAGCAGGATGCGGGCGAATAAACGGTCCATTTGGGAACGCCAGCAGCGAAATGAGCAGGAAAAAGAAGACGCAACACAGCATGCCAGCCCAGATGTTGTTCTCGATATTGGTGGTGTCCCTTAAACAGAACGTATAACATGAGATGCTGAACGCAATCAGCAGGCAGAAATCGATCTGCTTGATGATCTGCGGGCAAAAGTCCATCAGCTTGTATGCCATTGTAATTTTCGGCGTACACTAATTACGGACTGCCCTTTGCTGATCATAATCTTGTGGATATTGTGTACTAGACTGAGTAAATACGGATAGTTTTGTTGAATTTTGACAAATTGTCAGACAACAATCAAAATCGAACTAAATTTAATTCTAGAATGACAGGACAAAGTTCATGATAAGAATAGCGTATCCAGGATTAACCCAGCAGGTAATCCGAGTGCAGGGAACATTTGCATAGTCATCAGTTATGCAATAAAGCAAAGTTAAATTTAAGTTCGACGCCCGCGTTTGTTTTTTGAGGTTAGCGATGGTTTTATGCTCACCTAACAAATGCGGTCTGGATAACGATGGAGATTGAAATCGCCAGTAATGTAATGGTATGCGGTTTGTAGAAGAAGTCCAAGGAGATTTCATCCACTGCTTTTTCATTGATGGTGGCGAAACCATCTTCGGGGCGCTGCGCTTGCTTTTGGCGCACTTTCTCAACCATTCTGATTGATTATGAAATACTATTATCAAGTGTTTGTCAAAGACCAGTAGTTCACGGTGTTAGCACATTATCACTAAACTATCTAGCACTAGTTATGATTAAGCTTAAATTTTAACAAGCGCTTGAGTAAAATATCCACTGATTGTTTAATGCTCAGATCATTTTCGTCATGGATCATTATGCGTACTGCGAAACCTGCGAGCCCAGCTCGGAGGCTGACTAGACAAAACTACTGCTATTGCAGCTACTGTGTGCTACTGATTGTGTGTCATGTAAGTGTGTTTTTCCACCCCAGAACAATACGAACACATGAGATTGTGTGCCAGTGTGCGCACATGGTGTAAATGAAAGTGTCAACAAGGCAGTTGCCAAAGTTCAAAATTTTACACCATGATAACACACAAATTCCATTAATTATCGTACAAAAAATTATCTCCAACCATAAATTATCATATTTTACAGTTAAAAACATGAAAGAATTCTAGAATATGTTCGATTATATGCGTATTATTCAAATATGACAGTCATCGCAGCTGCGCATGCGCAGCTAAAACATATTTGACATATTTTTGACAACACTGTAATTTCTCCTGCTGATCGTCGATTGTTTTCACGTCATTCTTCCGCTTAAATAATTAATTCCTCTTCAATCACCCTCAATAATTACAATTTACAGTGTGACACGTCAGTCTCTGCAAAATGTCGTCGAGTAAAACGAATAAACGCTACAGATGGTGCTTGGATTCATCAAGGTATTACAAGTTAATTTAGGTTATATTAATTTTCTTTATTATATTTTGTGTGATTTAGATCGAATCGTGCGTTGGCTACCGGAGATAATTCCTTAGCCATCCCACCTGCATTTACAGCCGGGTCAGTAACAGTGATTGAAACTACTAAGAAAACCGATACTAGTCATCTCATCAAGAAAAATCCTGGGAGCTTGCCTTGGCACCTCTTAAACAAGTCCCGATGAACTTGTTCATCATGTACATGGCAGGAAACTCAATTTCTATCTTTCCCATCATGATGGTGGGCATGCTATTTATGAGACCTCTCCAGGCTCTCTTCTCAATTAACAGCACCTTCAAGCTGGTTGAAGATACCGGCGCAGCCGCGCAGAAACTCGTTTATTTGCTGGGTAATTTCGTGAATATTGGACTGGCTTTATATAAGTGCCAAAGCATGGGACTGCTGCCGACACATTCGAGCGATTGGCTCGCGTTTGTCGAGCCGCAGGCAAGGCAGGAGTATTTAGGAGGCGGCGTCATGTTGACATAATTTATTTCTAGTGTACAATTCCTAGGGGTGTATGTATGTAAGTTAGTCTTTTTTATGACGGTCGGCGAAGTCTTTTAACTTCTTGAGTATTGCCGAAGGGTCGTCGACTTTTGGTACCTAAAAATTGTGCAAAACAAAACAGAACTCTATGAGTTTACAAGTCAGTTGGTAACAAAGTAAAGTCAAAGAAAAAGAAATAAAAGTTAAAAATAACGCAATGTATTTAAACAATCTTATCTCGCTTTATCATTGTTTACATGCACTACATAAGTACATAAAATTGTGTTTATTTTTATCTACTTACTTCATAGTTTTGACAAACATACAACCCTGCATACACGCCGACAAGGAAACTGATCTAGAAATCAAAATGGCGTCAAAATAACGATTCACTGTCATGAAATATTCACAACTTACCAAACCACGAAACATTTTGTTTGTTGTTAATTAACGAGCGAAGCGCGTCGTTAGGAAAACGTGATTGCCCCCTGCGCTTTTGACCGAATGAAAGAAATGTCAGAATCAGCAGGGTAACGAAAGTAAAACATAAAAGCAGCATCGGAAGGGGAGCCAGTGCTACCAACTGCTGTATGTATGTCACTAAATGTACTTGTTGCGCTCCATGCACTTGTCGCCGGTAATGTTTGTGCGTAAATGTCCCCGTCTCGTCGAATTTCACACACGATTCCAATGTTTATCAGCTGATTGCACGTCGCACTCAAGTTTTTTTGCCTCCGCCGCCGGCCGTTTTGTGTTGCGAGTGTTGCGCCCAAGTCTGTCCTCGTCGTCCAGCTGCATCGCATCCGTAAAACCGCACACGTGTATTTTAATTTAGTTTATTCTTAGTTTTATACATTTTATTGCAACGTGTACGGTGAAAGATGGAAAGTTCACTCACAGGCGCAGGTAAACTATTAATTTACAACGTAATAACGGTTATTTTTATGGGTTAAGCATTTGGGGTCAAGTTACAGAGAAAAAAAGTTTATTTTCGTTGTGTATTTATAATTATTGTTTTGCAGAGCTGTCCGATAGCATAGTCAAGATTGATAAGGTGGATTCAACGCCAGGCTCAGATAAATCCGACTTCTTTGAAGAATTAGACATTGATTCATCCACAGATTCAAATGGCAAGCATGAAGTTGAAACTGAAGGTGAACTTGACCAACCGGCTTCGACATCCGCCATTGATGACTTTGATAATGCTCTGCCAGAGACTGTTCTTCTTTTAAAACATCCAGAAACCGGCGCAAAGGTCTATGTTGTGGGTACAGCACATTTTAGCCAGGAATCCAAGGAAGATGTAGCGAAAGTTATTCAAACTGTGCAGCCGCACGTTGTGATATTAGAACTGTGCGATGCACGCATTGGTATCATCGCCCTCGATGAGGAAACTCTGCTCAGGGAAGCCGCGAATGTCAGCTTTGAATCTATCATGAGCACAATCAAGAAGAACGGCGTATACTACGGCATTACATACGTGCTTCTACTTAATGTCTATGCACATTTTACTAAGGAGATTGGGATGGCACCAGGGGGAGAATTTCGCGTTGCTTTCAAAGAAGCACGAGCTATTCCTGGATGTGTTATTAAACTGGGAGATAGGCCGATTAAAACGACTATTCTTCGCGCATTAGCGAATTTATCATGGTGGCAGACTTGCAAGCTAGCCTGTCATCTTTTATTTGATAAAGAACCAATCAGGTAAAGTAAAAATTATTTAATTAACAAAAAATCTAATAAAACACAACTTTTTACAGTAAAGAAGACGTGGAGAAATGCAAACGCCGTGACATGTTGGAACAAATGCTCTCAGAAATGTCCGGAGAGTTCCCAACCATCGCTAAAGTCTTCGTTGATGAACGTGACATTGTTCTCACCTATGCTATACAACAAGCATGTAAATCACCACATGCACCGCCTAGAGGTAAAAAAATTGCTAATAAAATCATCATTAAATTATTATTAATTTTGTGTTGATGTTTCAAGGTGATGAACCAATGAGAATCGTATCAGTTGTCGGCCTGGGTCATGCCCTGGGCATCGCCCGCCTCTTCCCCGTTGATCAATCAGCAAATGTTGCTCAGGTTCTGGTGGTACCACCCCAGACGCTCACATCGAAGGTGATTAAAATCGCGTTTAAACTCTCGCTCCTTTCGTTCGGCGGTTTTCTCCTCTATAGATACCTGCCGGTGCCAAATGCCGTCCGCTCAACTGCTCATCATGCGTTCGCTAAAATCGTCGACAACATTAAAGCTCGATGAGAATCTAAAACATAATCAAACGGGGCAGCCACAATCGTACTACTACTGCATACTATATATCACTATTTAGTGCCTATTGGATTGAAAATTTCGACGCGAACTTCCTAGTCGTGGCTGTGTTAACAAAAAAAAAGACGGTGGAATTTAGGTTTTAATTCTCAGACGAGCACTGCTGTTTTTTCTTCTTTCTTTCTTATTTTGCGTTTATCGTTACGACATTCCACAAATAAAAACAAAAATATTCATGTTTATATATTATTATTAATTCTGCTTACATGTGTAGGAATAATTAATAATTAATCTCTTTGTGGAAGACGTTTCGGCAGGATTGGTATTACTAGTTTTTGTTTTGTCTTAAGTACGCGTGTTTTAAGTCGGCACGTTTGCTGCGCATCGGATGCCCAGATTACTGGAGGTGGTGTCCTTGGAGTTTTGCGACCTAGCAGCACATCGGTATCGCCAGCAGTAGCTCTCATGACAGAGGTATGATCCTCCTTTCTTTACTTTTAAATCCTTTAAACAAAAATTAACAAATAATTGTTTTATTTTATTAATTATTTGTATTTTTACCTCAGAACCAAGCCAATTGTCTTGTGTCCACTCCCAGACATTGCCAGCCATGTTATAAAGGCCGAATTTATTCGCCGGGAAGGAATCAACTGGACTTGTAGCTTCAAAACCATCCTCTGCGGTGTTTTCCAGCGGGAAATTACCCTGCCAGATGTTGGCCCTGTAAAATTCTTCAATAATTTACTTGAGAATCTTATTTTTATCAATATTTTGCTTACCAATGTTGTCCTTTTGCATTTAACAAATTCCCCCATGGATACAACTTTTGTTTCAACCCAGCTCTGCAACTATATTCCCATTCAGCTTCAGTAGGCAGGCGTTTTCCTTTGAATTTACAAAAAGCCACTGCATCATTCCATGACACATGTATAACAGGATGGTCCATTCTGTCTACAAAATGTAATAATGAATTTCATGCAATAATCAAGTGATTTTCTTACTTTTTAGATCACTTTGTGGACCTTCTGGATGCTGCCAATCAACTTTATCCATTTTAATCCACCATGGTGCTTGCACAGCTCTATAATCTTCATATTTCCACTGCTCATCTTTTGGTATATGCTGTTCAAAGATGAAACTATCTCCAAACACTTCTGCTTCCGATTTATGCCCAGTTTGCTGCACAAATTGTGCAAACTCCTCATTAGATACTTCATATTTATCTAGATAAAACGCTCCAATAGTAACATTCCTCACGGGACCTTCAAAATCCGATTCAAAGACGGGCTTATCAGTACCCATCTCAAATGTTCCACTTGGTATCAACACCATTTTGTTTGTGTCCAGCAACTGGTGTGCTTGTGCCTCATTCAATTCTCTTGTGTAGAGATTTTTTCGGTGTCTTCTCCGGATAAACATTTTGATTCTCTGTTTAAATCACAACCGCAGTTTGCATATGCGTTATTAACAGTAATGAAAAACAAGAGTAATATGTGGTGCAAATTTAAGTACAAATACATTGTGAATGCGGCATTAAACTAAAATTGCAGAACAATATAGGAACTGGTAAGCGAAAAAGCAGCTGTTGCGGTTGATTAACGATGTGTTACATGCTTGAACGACTAATTATTTGGATTTGTATTTTCAGTTTTAAACAACGTTTGAATGCGCGTGTAAGGTTATCTATGTGCATTTGTTGTGACTGTTTGACCTTCAAATGTATGCAGCCAGTTAACCAGCCAATTATGTAGTGCGCGTGCGCGATTTGTGAATGTCAATTTTCACTTTTTCAGTTGTTTTAGCAAGTAACGGTCGTGTGCTAATTCAGCAGTTTATTAACGTGATTAATCCGATTTGTGCCGAAAATACATCAAATCCAAACCAGAAATAGTCGAGTACCCACCATGTGGTAAGTGTATTCACCTACTATCAACCATGTAGTTGTATTTGAATGTTTTTGCGCAAAAATCTAATCCACCCGTCTAATCGCACTTCGCCTAACCAGAACCGGTCTGTCGCCATGTTGGTTTTTTGTTCGCATTTTATTAAAAAATATAAAACATACAACGAACTTGGCTAAGTAATTCATCTTAATACATTAAACTTATCGCTAAGTAATTTTGCACAGCTCGGTTTACTTTGTCTTTGTCGCTGGCTTCTTTTTGCCCTCTGTCGTTGCATCTTGCGCGTCGTCTTTAGCAGGCCCCGCAACGGCAGTGGCATGCGGGCTCGACACAGCTAATCCACCTTCGCCAGCCAAGGCTGTACCACGTGGGCCTGCAGCTGCGACACCGCCATCACCCGCTAACGCAATAGCGCCTGGTTGCGCTTCAGCGACGCTCGATTCGGCTGGTTTCTCAGTTTCATCTTCAACTTCATCTGAAATTACGTATATTTATATACAGGGTATTTTATTTATTTTATTTTATTTTAATTTACATACCTTCGACTTCGTTGGGTTCTTGATACTTTGCGTCGATTATAATCGCGGAATCCTCTGCAGCGTCATTGTATTTGTAATAATCGAAATTACCAACTGGGTTGGTATCAAAAACAGGTTGAACTTGATCCTGTGCAAGTGGGATTTGATGTTCATCAAAGGGAATTGTTTTTTCATAATAGCGAGATTGTAGACCATCCTTTGCTAGTAAAACAGATTGTAGATTTTTATCTACCTCTTGATTATGTAGGGTGATTGGTAAACCATCAGGTTGTTGCGGGAAGTTGTGACCCTTCAAATGTGCAGGTACTACATGTTGACGCACAACTTGCGGTTGATTACGAATGATAATATTAGCCAATGAAGAGCTAATTGGTTTAAATTGTTGATGATCACGTTGTGGTTGTTGTTGCGGGTAGAATTGTTGCGGACGTTGGAGATATGGATTTGCAAAGCGTTCTGGGACCAAATTGGGGTGTTGATAACCAAAATTAGGGTAGTTAGAGAATAGGGGTTGGCCGTTGAGTATGAAAAACCGCTGTCCAGGGCGTAAATTCAACAAATTTGGGTTTAATAACCCTGGTTGAGGTGATTGTGGAGTTGCTCCTGAGGGTTGAGCAGGTTTAGCGGTTGTATCTTCTTCGGTGTCGTCCAATTCGATTTTTTGCGGTTTTTGTTTCTTTGGGACATTTGCCGCAGCAGCTCCACCTTGCATTGGAATATCCTTCGGGATTTCCTCAGCGTCTTTATCAATAGGTGGGATGACGGGTTGTTTTGGGAACCCTGCACCACCCGGGCCCACAAAAACGGGCGTCTGTGGTATTTGTGGGTTTTGCGGTGTGAGCGGCGGATAAACCGGCTGAGAGTTGAAGATATTCGGATCAACAGGTTGGTTTGGTTGTTGTGGGAATTGCGGAATAAGGAAATTCCCCGGTGGATTACCCGGATTTACAAGGAAAGGTTGACCCGTCCCCGAATAATAAACAATCTGTGGTTGACCGGGGTAACCTTGCGGTTGTTGTGGTTGGATTTGCGGATAATATCCGCCAAAACCCAGTTGTGGACTAGCATAAGGACCAAATCCGGAAATATCATCCTGATAACCCGGATAACCAGGTTGCGGTTGTGGTAAAATAGTACCAGCTGTATTAAAAGCAGGAAATTGTCTTCCGCCATCACCACTACCACCTTGTGGTAATGGTGGTTGTGGGTTCGTGGGTTTCTTATTTACATCGCTATTGTTTTGCGCGAGCGCTGACGTCACTGCCAGGCAGACGATCGCGAGAACCGGCAGCTTCGTCATCTGCAACAAACAAAATCTTCAATTAACATCTCACAAGAAGAGTGAGAAGCGGTCAACATCCAGTTTTAGTGTTTACCAGAACAGTCTCGCCCGGTTGGTGGAAACAACCGTTAAGTTATTAAGTAGTTTAAACGTGAAGAATAGACATATCCGCACGCGATTCTATTAAATAACTATGAAGGAAAGTAAGCGATTGCGACAGGTGATTGTGATTTCTCGAAAGAAAGAACAATAACTTCGAGGCATGAAACGGCATGTCGCATGTCGCGGCATAATAAATAACTGGTACTTAAATTATCGAAGACAATCAGAACATGAAAAACGAAAATTTCACTTTCGTTGCGCTGATCAAATAATAAATAAACGCTTTATCAGACATGCAAATAATTTCATAGCAAGGACGACACGCCGCAATTAAATGCGTGCGCGTATTTGTCTAATGAATGTTTCATGTTGTGTGTTTTCTTCCTCGTTCACCTCGTCCAACTTTGACTAATATCAGCAATTTTCGATGCGATGTCACAGCGCAATCGCTATTAGTTTTGTTACTACGGACGCTTGATGTCTTTTGATGGTATATTTTACGAGGGCACGCAGCAATTGCAGCGATTAAACTATTAATAACGAGCTGTTATGTAACGGTGAACAATAGTCGAAGTACTAATTTTGATTAGGCCGAAGACTTGACTTATACTGTGTACATTTGTTATTTTTTTCTGTTTTTCTTATTGAAAAGCGTGTGAAAATTTTAAGTTACTTTGTTGTGTAACAATAATTAATTGTGTATTTTCCATACAATACGAAGAAAAAAGATGAAAATTTATTATTGTGGCGTCATAAGTTTAAAATTATCGGTTTTATTGGTGAACATAAAAACTAGGCAGTAATTTTGATTATAATTATATTGTTTATTACCTTTGTGGTTTTTTGTGAGGGACTTGTTGATCTTCTTAGCGCCGACACTCAACACCAACTGATGTGGATGCGCTAGTTGGCGAAAACTTTATACTTTATAGAAATCCTTAGCTTGTGGTCGTGTTGGGTCGCGAAAGGATTGTAGCTTCTTCGTCGGCGCAACGACCTTTCTTATAGACTCGGCCAGGTGGGGACGACAAACGTACAGACGGTGTCGTCAATAAATATAGAAATATTTCTTGGTCCAATTCGCAGATTTAACTCAATTTAAATTCAAAAATTTTTAACATCCTGTATATATATTTAAAAAATATATAACAGCATAGTATACCTTTTGGCAACATTAGAGATCATTTACCAGTTCACCTAAATCCATATCGATTGAAATTTTAGTATAGTACAGTTAGATTTTTTATTTTTATGTGCTGAGTTATTGTCACTTTATTTTTGGCTCGAGCGTAGGCAAGAAAACATTACTTGTTTTGATCACTGGTGCATTTTTGTGCGCACCTCATTATAAATTCATCTTTGTTACAAACATGAGCATGTATCAATTCGTTACTCATATGGTGCACATTGTTTTGTTTTGATGGTTGCATTTGAAAGTGATGGATAGCCGAGGGACGGTGGCTTTCAACAATTCCCGAAACTTTCGACGCATAATTTTATTGTACTTTGCTGTCTCTTGTCACAGCCACAGTCACATTAAACGTGATTTATCACTCTTACGATTTGGGCGCGTTGTGATGCGTGACTTGTGTGTCGAGAGTATAATATAATCATAACTAATATTATTGTATGTTTGTAACGCTTCTATGCAAAAAATCCTCATCCAATTTTGATAAATTTTGCTACAGAGATATTTTGTATCTAGGAGAATGATATAAGCTACTTTTTGTCTCAAAAATATAATTTAAAAGGTGTGAAAATAGTTTGTGTTTAAAAAATTTGATGAAAAAGTCTTCGGTGGCTGCCCACCGATATACTAATTAGAATATTACAATATTCAAAGACATGTCTAGCAATAAAAACATTATCAACGCGAGAATAAATCGAATTAACTTGATTGCACTTCGATAAACCCGGTTGCAAGTATGTATCAACCTAAGTAAGAAACTTGTTTATCTATAGTTGTTTTCTTTTTCTCTTGATTTTGCCGATGCTGAGCTTGTTTTTATTCCGACAGTCTTCTCATGCATCATCCTTTCACATTGTGTCAGTGGCTGTTACAATCTGGTTTGATTATAGATGTAGAATCATCTCAGACGACTCAGACGAGTTTTTTTTCTTCACTTTTATGTCTTCATGCGATGATACTACCTTTTGTGTAAAATGTAAAATGTGCTAAAAGTAACTCCTGACTTGCTAACGTGACAAAATGTCAGCGATTCAATTGTGCGCATTGTTTTAGCGCTTTCGTCTCTTGGTCTGGTTCAAGGCTAACTTTTTGCTTAATTAGATTTCTAGTTTTACGGAATTATTTTCATTTTTCGTTTATTGACCACTACTCTGTTATTATGTGCAATATAAAATTTTACGTCGAGCACAATATCATCCTACTCTGTTATTAATTGGCAATAATTCGTAGTTGATCGATTGCTTCGTTTTTTTATTCGTTTATTGTTTTGTTTCTATTTCTGCGGAAAGTGATTATTATTTCAAGCGAGAACTTCAACTGGCATTGTTGTTGGCAATACGAGTCAAGGCGATTTCTTTTTCAAGGCTGCGTTTATTTACTTTATTCACGAAACTATCGAAAATAAATTTAAACAGTTTATTTTTATACGATAAATAGTAAATAGAATATAAATAAATATTATGTGAGCATTATAGTTAAACTTGATGATATTTGCTGATGATTTTATTGAGATAATCTGTGGAATGAGATGGTTTCTTGTCTTTTGTCGCTGAGGGTTTGGGCATGACAAAACCTTCCGCGTAAATCGGTACCAGTGCTTGATCAGGGGAAACTCCTGCGATGGCGGTGCCAACAGGACGCGCTATTGCAAGACCACCAGGACCTACGACGGCTGTTGCTACAGGTTTACTAGAAGCAACTCCTCCTATTCCTGGTGATGATTAAAAAATGTTTGTTTTTAGTTTTAAAATATTGGTTGAGGGATTTTATAATACCTGCAACAGCTAGACCAACAGGTTTAGCTTCCGCAACAGATGTTTCCGGTTGTTGGGGTGTCTCCTCATCTTCCTCAACTTGTTGCTGCTGTTGTTCCTGTTCTTGTTTCTTTTTATTTTCCTCTTCGAGTTTTTTCTTCGCTTCTTCTTCAGCTTTACGTTTAGCATCAGCATCCGCCTTCTTTTTGGCTTCCTCAGCCTTTTTCTTAGCTTCCTCCGCGGCTTTTTTCTTGGCTTCTTCTTCTTTTTTCTTCATCTCCTCTTGACTTGTTTGTACTTGTTTCTTTTTATTCTCTTCTTCTTTTTTCTTGTCTTTGTCTTTATCCTTATCTTTGTTTTCTTTTTTCGGAGGAGTCGTGGGTTTCTTCCGGGCGAACCATCCGCTTAATCCTGCTCTTGTATGTGCGTCTGAATCGTCTTCATCACCTTCGTAGATCTTTGCTAAATTATGTGCGGATTGATTTAACGAGTCCATGTATTCTTTGTACGCAGCTTCTTCTTCTTGATTTAATCCTTTGTTTTTGCTGCTTCTTGAAGGCGGATTATATTCAACGCACTGCGATGGATATTTTTAATGTTTTGTCCATAATCGGATTCTCTACGCACAGGCAAGACGGGATTCTCTACAGCTTCAACTGCTTCTTCTTCTTCTCCTTCGGGTTCGATTGCTGGAAATTGTCCTTGTAAAACTTCGGTACTCACAGTACCATCGAGATTTTCAGTGATTTGCAGTGTTTGTCCTTTCGCACCGCCGTAGAACGGAAGAAGAGTGATTTTCACAGGTGTTTTTGCATCTCTGGAAATGATAATACATAATTCTCTTTAAAAATCACTTAGAATATGTTTGGATGAGGGTGGAAAATGAAAATTCATTCATTTATTAATTTAATACGTATATTTGGTACAATTTAGTCTTGATTGGGTCAATAGTCTTCGTACAGGATTTCCAGATCGCTTTGAGCATGTGCAACACCTCCGGGGCCCGCAATCGCGACCGCCTCGGGTTCGAACAAAATTTCAAACCGATGACCGCGTTTAAGAATCGCGCGCGCTTGCGGATTCGCGATGGCGCTTCCGGAACTACCCGCTATCGACTTGGCTACCGGTTTGAGGACCAAATTAGTAACGAGTTCGCCTCCATTGCCGGCGTCGATGAGCACGCGCACCGGCTGGAGAAAATGCGGTAATTTATTATGCAGGTGCGCGCTAAGGTCGGGTTTTGATTTCTGATCGTGTTTTGTGAATTTAACATTGTCGTACTTTGATGTTGTTGTCGTCGTCGGCTTGATTGTGGTTGTGGTGGTAGTGGTTTGATGTTGTTTTATGTGACCGTCGGCGACGGCGCTCATGAAGCTGTCGATGAGATAGTTTTCCGGGTCCTCGTAATTCCATGCGCGCTGCATTTGCTGCATGCGCAATCGCTTCCTGTCGAACAACGGGTAATTGTAATATGTTCGGACTAGATGCGGATATCCGTTCGCGAGGTAGCTGAAAGTAAAAGTTTAAACGATTTATGAAGAACATGTAAAAACAATGATTGCATTGTTTTTTAGATTAACACAATTACGTGCGTTTTGTTAGAAAAATTGTTGATGGAAGTGATGAAGTTTTATTTTGATTAAGAATGATTACATTAAAGTTTAAATTAGGACTTGATTGATGCGCAAATTTAAAATATTAGTGTATAACATGTTGCCTATCGTTACACTAGGAAATTAAATATAAATAATACTGCAAATTTTATTTAACTAATGGCAAAGTTCAACAGTTTTCCATCTCAACCTTTATTGTAGTAAATAACGGGACCGGTGGCTACTACCTTACCCACCCTACTGCTCATATTCGCCAGGGATGATTTTAAAGTCCCATTATTTACCAAATCACTTAAATTTACATTCTGATCAACCGCGATTACTTTCGTTCCGGAGCCTGCTATCGCCAGACTATCCGGATGCGTGAATGCGTAGCCATTAGGGCCTACAATAGCTGTTCCACCACTTCCGGCTGTAGCGATTCCTCCGGGACCTGCTATGGCAACGCCTCCTCTACGCACTTTCAACTTGTGTATAAAAATGCCACTTCCCGTGTTGTCTTTACTAAACAATTTTCGTCTGTTTTGTCCGTTGAATGGTCGATTCCCAAAGATTCCTTTGTTATTTTCTAAAACCGCCAGACTTTCTCCACTCTCACTTATAGAGACATCTTCTGAGGTATCCTGAGAAGATTCACCTGGAGTACTGACAATTTCCGATTTATTTTTGGCCATTGGATGGTTATTAAACCAAGTATGTGGCCGGAAAATATTCGGACGCTTTGTATTCCTACGGTTTTCTGCATTATGACGGTTTTCTTTATGTTTTTCAAAGAGTTGTTTGATAATGGTACGGTTTTCCTCTTTTGTTGGTATCTCCATTGGCTGGTTCTCAATTATAACTTTATGGGACTTGGTTGCTGGTGGTAATGTCGATGTTGTTGTACTCGTAATTTCCATAGTTAATATCGGATCTTCGTTTAATAACGACGCTGATTTTAACATTTCCGAATCATTTGAATCTCGCGCCAAAGCTTTGAGTTTTTCCAAAATTTTGGGAGATCTTTTGATATCCTCAGCAGTACATTTTTCTTTCCGGGTTGATGGCGCAACATTATACCAGTTAGGATTGTAATATACCATTGGTGTGTTTAAACTTTGTAAATATTCTGGGGTAGAAGCGCGTAAAACGGTAAAACTTCCGGGATATATTGAACATATTGCCCGGAATATGGGTCATATCCCAGGAAACTTTCAGGAGTGTTGTAACTTTGATAATGTGGGGGATATCCACGGTATTCTGGATATGGATAGTTCATCATGATATGTTTCACATGGTCAACACTCATTTGTGCTTGATAATCTTCCATTTTCTTCACATCTTCTGCAGGTTGATCTGCTTCTTCAATATCAAATCCTTTCAAAACCCTCTCTTTATAGTTATAATCAGCAGTGAAATATCCGGGTACAAAATGACTGCGTTTCGGTGTTTCCGGTTTTAAATATCCATGCCGCCGATTCACCTGGTCGATTTTCGCAAGTATCTCCTGCGTGTGTGCGGTGATATTATCCAGGCGTAGTCTCCGCGGCGCATTTATTCTACAAATATAATAAGAGTCAATATTGCCACACTGTATATTTAAAATTTGAGTGTGTGGGCGTGTAAAAGGGTTGTTAGAGACGTGGAAACATGAGAAAAGGGGAAACATGAAACTTAAACTTACCTAGAAAGAGCAAGGTCCCCATATGCCAGAGCTAGCGTGTGTTGTATACGTCTAGAGGAAAACTAGACCGCTATAGGTACATTGGATACTTTCCAAACATTCACGCATTTCAAAAACACCAATCTTCCATTACTGTACGAACGTTTAAAGCTGCGCGCACTCATGTAAAATGTGTTTAAAAATAAAATAAAAAAAGGTAATGAAAAATTGTGTCATGCAAAAGGCGGTGCGAACAATATACTTGGGAAGTACCGTTGGTTAATAACTCGAGGCATTATAAACACAGTAACATATTTAATTAATGATCATGTCGAAGGTATTATAAACACACATGTTAATGGTGTTACTTACAGCAACGTTAGTGATGTACAAGCAAGTAATCGCATTATTAGCCAATTACTGAGTGGCGCTGCGCGGCAATAAAAATGGCAAAAATTATAACCGGTACTCACTGCACGGACGGCTCCGGGAAGAACGCTTCTTCGCTGTGGGCAGGCTGTTGTGGCTGGTGCTGGAGTTGCGGCCGCGCCTCGGTTTCGGTCGCGCTGTGGGTCACCAGTATCGCCATCGCCATCATCTGACGAATACAACGAATAAATAAGCATTATGTGCGACTGCCACAACAACAGCGATGACTATTTGTTCAAAATATCGTTATTAATAACAGGCCATTGGTGAAGGTGAAGGCGAATGTACAGTTTTATCGACGCGACAAGATTGATGCTCAGTTAATTGCTTTTAAAAACCTCTATCATTCTTTTGCCATGATTTATTAATTATAATGATTATTTATTTCTATTGCTGGACTTAGCAGTATTTAAAATTGTTTTAAGTTACTTTTAGACCAAAATTTATCAAAATTGGTTAATATTAAAAATAATTAATTATAATTCATGATAACGGAGGAGGTTTAAAGCATTTCTTTGAAAATATTTAAATATCTTTAAATTCACACATAAAAAATTGAATTTTTGCCTCGATGTATAATTAATTACAATTATACATGACTTGTATACCTGGCTATTTACAAAAAAGAATCAATTCCCGATACAAGATAATTTAATAACCGCCTGTTGGCGATTTTTAATAAGGCTATTCAATTATTAACCAATTTATCATCACGTTAGATTTAATCGACTTTTTTTCACCGGCTTCTTTGAATTGCTCCGCTATTGTTTCTCCCAGTTTGATGTAAGATTCAATGGTATAGATTAAAGCTGCATCATTGCACGTTGATTACTGCCGTATCGAAATCGTGCTTACACGCATTTTCGAGGTGATTAATCGAGCCGAATAATGTTTTTTGTCGGCTACATGGCGCAACGCACGGTGAACACGAAACCAGTCATTAAAACGAAAATGAAACCGAAATACGATATTAAGATGCCATGATTGTTGATGCGCTTGCAACACACTAATAATTACAAGTTTAATGCGTTTTTCTATTCATAAAAGTGAAGTATTTTTACTTTATTGATTGGTAATTCTATGCTGCATGTTGGCAAACAAAATTTTAACATAGCTGTCTCTTGGTGACAAATTTATAAGCGCCATAAACTTCTCTAACAAGTTGCGCGTTCAATACAAATTGCCCGAGTGCGTCGCATGTAATCGATTAGTTGCGATTCGATTGGAATCGATTCGATACGCGACTTCCTGCTCTTGACGTCGCGGTCGCGTCCTTAGAATTCGCTCCACCGATAAAACTTTTATCGCTCCGGCTTGAATGATATCCTCATTGAAAACGAAATGCTTCAGAATCTTGCGCATCGTTCCTGAATTATACATCTTATTTATATTTATATCCCTTCGCTCGTAATATGAATTATTCAGGCTGGTATTCCGCGTTTTTTTGTAGCTGACCTTTATCGCACTGTGCCAAGTTTAATTGTTAATTATTATATTAATAAATTGCGCGTGGATGTTGACCGTTTGGGCCTCGCCCTCCGCGCGAATTCCGCGCGAATTCATCTTTCATGGCGCAGCGTGGCGTCAAATTTGAATAAACGCTGTCCACTTCTCGCGAGCCACGAGCCTCGCGGGCATGTATGAATTATAGCAATCATAAAAGCGGCGCGAAACAACTTTAAAAGTTTAATTGCCGTGCGCTGGTGCCGCCGTGCGACGCGAGCCCAGCATTGTTATCACAATGAGAGCCGCGAGGCGGACGCGTTCCACCTGATGACAAAATTAATAGCCGCACGTGCAAAAAATTACACATTTGAGATGAAACGCGATATCTATTAATAGCGCACTTGTTTCTGCATGTAATCATCTCGCTCATCGGGGTCGCTTTCTTGGTGGTCTGCATCATCAACCAATCAATTAATAAAAGCAAAAAGAAACAAATTATAAGCGGTATGATTACGATTACGACTGTCTGTAAAAATTATTTTTTACTTTGACTAGCAATTGAACTGGTTACAGTCCGGGTTTGAAGAATGTTTGCCATGGAGTAAACTCAGTCTATTTGCATAGATTTAAGGCAAATTTGTTCGCCGGTAACGACCTAACGGTCAACCATTTCGATTTTGTTGCCCAGAATGGTCGTCTTTGTTCACCCGTCGCCGTAGATGGCTGCCGCCGAAATTGTCTATTGATCAAGTCACTTAGCTGCCCAAAATACACACATCAATAATCGTTAGCGATGTTAACATCGAGGTTTATCGATAATAATCCGTGACATAATACTTGTAGGGCATTAAACTTAAAATTAAAAATTTCGGCGGCTTTTCACACTTGTATAATACTGCAAATCGTGATTAGAATTAAACTAAACGACTTGTAGTATTGATTGCAATTCGTTTATTTTTCACTGCTTGTCGTTTGTCTAGTTTGCATTTATTACCAAACGCGAGTGCGTGACAAACCTGCGAAATGTGGATGTCAGATTAAAATAGTTATGCTAATTGGGGATTTTATACAATCCGAACGTGTTTGCCCAACGCGAAATTAATGCAAAAATCGCCTTAACAAGAAGATTGCTACACATTCCCGCGGATAGTTTAACAAACGCTTTGAATAATAATAATAAATTTAGAATATAAAAAGTCACATAACAAAAGGCGAATCTAATCAGGCGATTTTTTTCGTATTTATTTTATAGGATTAATTAAACCCAGAAAAAACTTGCGACTAATTAAACGGAAACTTCTTGTCAGCATGGCATTTTAAAGTTTTTAATTAATTAATTAACTTATTTATTACCTGAAAACCAACAAAGATAATATTTCTGTTATTATTTGTTTTATGTAAACGCACCCAGCGATTTAAGTGTTGATGGGTTTGGGTGTTGGTGTACAAAGGCGTAAAACGTTCCTAAACGATTTTCACTTGGCTATGCAAGAAGAAACTTGAATCGAATACAATAATTATAGGCAGAACGGTTAACAAACGGGACATTGCAATTGCAGAACGTCATAAAAACTTCTCTTAATTATCTTTGCAAATTTTTCACCACAACGCGTGAATGTTCTTTGTATTTACCGTAAATTTTAAGGAATTAAAAGAAAGTCACATCGAGAAAGTTGATCTGCGTGTACTCACCGTAAGTAAATCACACTTTATCCGCCTAATCAACATCATGGCCAGCGTTGTATGCACTTGTGATTAATAATTATTGATTTAGGTAAAGTCGAGTAAGTGTCGAGTGATGTTCGTGCGCACTTGAAATATTGAATGTCTTCGACGCGCGCACCATTCGCGCACTGCCGACTGATTACAGCCGCGAAGCCTTTTTAACACACGCGTCTTCGTCGAGTTCGCGGGCTGGCGAAGACACTGGCTACGCATCACCGGAGCCATCGTCTTCGCCACCACTTGCAGTACCAAGTTGTCGAGATAGTCGAGTTTTCTCTGGTAAGCGTACTTGTTTGTACACACTTTAGTTTGGCTCGGCGCACTGGCGGCCGGTATTCTGAAGTACAAAGTTGCGCCCAGCACACGTCGCTTAGTTTAGTTACTCATTATTTATACAGGTATTTCATTGTGTAAGCGTTTAATGCGTGTCGCGCGTCGAGTACAGTAACAAGTGATGTGCTGCGATTTGCATATGGTCTTAGTGTTACGCCACATGACATAATAAGATCAAAATTTTGATTTCTTTCTTTCTTCAGTAATAATTTTTTTATTGCTTAAAAATTATTGTTTAATGGTTTTTGCTTTTACATTTATAATATTAGTTTGGATTATATGTATTTATAGGGATGAAAATGAAAACAAAACCAAATCTGAACACGAGTAGTCGTTAAATGTTAAACTTGTTACAGGATCAACGGAGGCTTGTCTTGTCTGTCGGCCTGTCGCTCAGGCAGTAAGTACATACAATTCATAAGAATTAAAAGCTCTTCACCTTGCATATCTTTTTTTAACTGGTAACTTGTTGACAGTCTTAAATATAGGTATCAAAGCATGCGTTCACGTCTCTATCGAGAAACGGTTCTTTTTTAATGTTGCATCACGCCGCGTTTGTCCATCAGATAATTCACCTACGCAATTTCGCCCGCTTTTTAAAAACCGATAAAATAGTCAATAAAATCAATCAATGTTTGGACAGTGCGTCGTTAATTTCACTCGCAAAAATGTATTAACTTGTTTACGGCGCTGACATATAATTTAATTACTTGTCGGTTTATTTGCGGCCGTCCGTTCGTTTCGCGTATTTTCTTCGGTTGCTCCTCATGCAATCCAATTACGTCCCGCCGATACTGCGTAGACGGTTAATTGCATGTCGGGCTGGATTTCAATGCCAAGACTGGACCGAAGATATAAAAATGCATTTTAATTGCCGCATCTGGCTTCCATGCATCTATTAAAAGATCAGATGTAGGTGAATTCAGAGGAAAAATTTACGGACCGATTGAAAAGTTGCGTGATTTGTTAATTATTCGTGTTAATTTAACCGGTGTATGCTAAAAAGAATGGTCATTGACATTGCATGTATAACCACCTTGAGAGTGGGTATACACACCGCATTAGTAGTTTGTTTTTATTGACAAAGGCGAAGCCAAAGAACGGCGTTGAGTCAATATATCAACGTGCGCGGCGGAAATATTTTCACGCTGAGTGCAGTTTGCAATAAGCCATAAATACGGATTGAAATGACAGCTAAAGTCACGAAGGGCAATAGGTGTAGGTAATAAAATGCACAACCAACATGGTAATTACGCACTAGGATTAGAGCAACCTGTACGCAGAAATAAAATTTTGCGGTATTTTCGAAAAAATTGCAACAGATTCTCCTCTAAACACCCTTCGACATCTTTTAAAATATTTTGAAGTGTTCACTTCACGCGACATTGCACATAACGCACCAGGTGACCAATTAGACGATCGCGCCTGATGTGCTGATGCTGATGTTGATGGCTCGGGTTCATTACTTTGATTAACGTGATTTCTTCATTAGCGCTCGTACCCCGAAGGTGCCGCACACTGGGCATTGCTTAATGACTCGGAATAAATGCGTTTTATCGCACAATGCACAGCCGCCGCTCGTTCCAAGAGATTAAAAGTGTGATTACGCGATGAATGCGCCGAGATTTAAATTGGATGCTCGTGTGCGTTGTGTGCTGTCGGTCAAGTGCACGATGCGCGCTGCACGTTTTCGACGAAAGTGTTGCACAATTTAGGGGCTTACAGTTGCCGTTGTTGTTGTTGTTGTTGTGCAATATAATCGTTGTTACATTATTCAAGCATAAACTTTGAATTTTTAGACTTTTAAAGCGTTTATCTTGTGTTTGGTCTTGAATTACATGATTTTCTAGTTCTTTGTGAAGTGCGCTTGCGGCTGTCATTAGTTTGTGCATTTCTTGCCTGCTTCCTTGCTATTGTGCGTCTTGCAGAAATGACATTGGCCATGATCCCATCATAATAATGGCACATATTCGCATGCACTTTTTGCCATATGAGAATGGTGGGTACGCTGCAATGGTAATTGGCATAATTGCGTAATTGCCGATATCGAAATCACTTAATGACGCACGCCACTTCGACTGCCTCAGATAATTGGAAATTGTTCTCTTCAAAACCCTGATGCCTTGGGAATTTTTAAATCTCTTTAGGTTTAAGTACTTTTTTTTATCGGCGAAGTTTTTAAATATTTTTAAGTGAAAATTTCTTTAGTTGCATTTCGCGTTTTTTATTTGTACCGTATATTCGCAATTGAAAGAAATCGTCAAAAATTGAATAATTTCAATTTTAGCATTTTCAGTCGAGTTTTTAGACTTTTTACCAAGAAATTCTTTGAAAAGTCTTTGTTAAATAGCTACAGGTGTTTCTTTTTTATTGCAATTTATTGCTAATTTGAATTATTTTGCGTATTTTTATAATTTATTAAATGTTTTCATATTTACACAACGTCGATGGCAACTTTAAGTACTAATAGTTTTGTATTCAGTTCAACAACAATTTATTTGATCAGAAAATGTAATTCTTATAAATTTATCCTGGCGTCCTCCAGCAGAGAATTGTAGAGTTATTAATCAAAATCGGCCATTTATTCCATACGGGTGTTGCATTCTCATTCTCATTCTCATTCTCATTCTATTCCGTGTACGTGTAAATTGTGCGCGTTTCACACGGACACGGTTTAAGTGCAGGTAAATCGCACTGCCACAGGTGCAACCCTTTCTACCACACCCAAACAAATTACCTGTTGTGGGTAAATAGCTTTATGTGGCGTTGCATATTATGGTTCGTATATAAATACTGGATGGCGCTATGGTGCTGTTATTTGCATTAAATTTTTGTTTGTTTGTGTGAGTGATGAGCACCTGTTTCCGTGTAAATTGTATTGCGAATATTTTTTCTTTCTATTTTATTTAATTCAGTACAGGCGGATACAACTCAAATGTTTAGTTTTGTTCTACGCAAAGAATTGCTAAGAACACCACAAAGTTTTGAGTGTCAATATTTTATTTTTCAAAACTTTTAAAATAGTTTTAGCATAGTTGCGACAATAATTCCTAAGGATATTATATAAATTTAATAATTATTTAATACTACAATTAAATACTTGTAAGTTTAATATTTCAAGTAAATCAAAATAAACATTTAATTTCATTTGTTTGTCTGTTTTCAGGTTTATCAACGTTTTCTCACACTGATACTACCCGATCGTCTTATGCGCACTTCGGGCTGCGGGGTGAGACGTCGGAAGTCGCGCAGAATAAAATAACAACTCACACTATCTTTTAACATTCCAAGTGATCTTCGAATGCAATCATGCCATGCAATATGCGATCTTAAAGTAATATAGAATTCGTGCGTTGTTTGCATGCTTTTGTTTTCGGCTTTATCAACATCACCTCAACGCCAAACTTTTTGTGCGCAAGTCCGGCGCAGGAAGCGGCGCAGGGAAACAAGTTAACGTTCTTCCGCATCGCACGCTCAGCAGCATCATTCAGTGCGCGACATTGTCTGCAGTTACACCTCCGCTAATAAAATTGCCAATAATTTATTAAATCAGTCAAAAAGTGTTGCTGCCAAGTCAAAAACATTCCTCGTGGCACTCACAAGTAAGTTTCTTGCATTATTATCATTTGCGCCTTTTTATTAAATCTGTAATTCGTAAAATTTGCACGCTGCATTGTTTTATGCGGCGTTAGACGCGTTTTTGCAATATGGCCGCGATTCAAACGTCGTTTTCACGTTCGCAACCACCAAGTTGCATCATCACGTAAAACACATAATGTCTACAATGTATCTATTCCAATTAGAATGTAGTTTAATAGTGCAGTCGAAATTAGGAATGCGGTGACCGCAGTTTCAACTTCGCGAGGTGTACGCGGCGGCCTTATCAGTTGTTTGTCTGCTTTTCACATGTTTCAAACGTTACAGCACAGCTAACACAAAGAGAGGCCATGTTGTTGTTTTGATTTTAACATTCCAACATTCCAACACAATTCGGCACTGCTGATAACGCACTCTTATTTTTATTTTCAAGCGTTGCATTTATCATTTAGTTATTCTTTAGTATTTGTTACATTTTAATTCTGTTTTATTTTCTGTTTCTTGTGTGCGACGTCGTTGATGGAGCATTCCGATCGGGTTATCAACCGACTTCTTGAAACCGTTCCTGTTTCCCATCGCAGACATGTATATTAAAAAATAACTGTTCTTTCTATTATTTTTCCTTGTGCTTAAAATTTCCTGCTGTTTCTAGATGACATTCCCAGGTCCACCACAAGATGTCCAGGAGTAGTCATGCTTTCCCAGAATGGGAACAGGTTTGAACATTGCTACAAAGTTTTTACATTGTCTCTAATAATTTTGATTTTTTTTGTTACTAATTGTTCTTTCTGCTTGTCTTTCAGGTACATATTCGATATATTTGGACATTTTTGTAACTCGGGCGCGTTCGTTTTCGGTTTATGTACTTTTTGTGTCTACTAATATTCCACTCCTTCATGTTTTAACAAACTACCTCTTAATATCATTATTATTTTATTATTTTTTTATTCTTATAATATTCTTTCATAATTTAAAAAAATCCTTGCCAATTTAGATTAATTTATTATTTATTTATTTTATTCTTAAAAAAAATTAGTTCCGAATATCTACCAAATCATCCTTACCCAGTATTTTTAATCTTCGTTTGATTCACAGGTATAAGTGATAAACGTTATTCGCGAGGGACCTGGAGAGGTTTAACGAAATACTCATCGAGTGCGGGTCGCGACGCGTTTTAATTTAACAATTTTATCGAATCGCGATCAATTAGCTACCGAAGGAGGGTCGTGCCATGTCCCCTTTCACCTGTTAGGGAAAGTACGCGGTGTTTATAAATATTTATCCGAATATTCGACAAATCGAGTGCGGGACGCGATTAAAAAGCCCGAAAGTATCGCGTAATCCGTATTGCTCCATTACAGTGCGCGGTAAAAACGTTCAATTCCATGAGGGTTTGTACGGGGCCTCAACGGACTTCAAGCATCCTACCAGCGGTTTGGACTCAAGATTGTATTATAATATCAACGCCTTAAGTAGTGAGTACACCTGACACCAAACTGGATGTCTTGTATCTTTATGCGCCATAAATGCACGTGATTACAATCGTCGGTATAGCTTCGTCTGTTACCTCAATAAATTATATTATTTTAAATTTCCATCTGTAGTCGCGTTTTTCGACCTTTTACTCTAGGAAATATAATTATTTTATATTTTTATCTGATAGAGAATCTTCCAATCTTTCATAATCAACAATTCGTTGGCATCTATCTCTTTTAGTTTAAGAGATATGAATTTTTGAAAATCGTCGAAAAAAAGTATCAAGCACCCCCCCTTGGCAATTTTTTCTTAAGACTTAAAATTTCATCTCTCAAATTTCCCTTTTAACTATCCTATCTGATAGAGATTAGTCCGTAGATTAAGACGCTGCGATCAGAACTTAATTATCTCTTTTAGTTTACGAGATATTCGCGATTGAATAAAATGGGCAAAAATTGCAAAATGTCACTTTTTAGCACTTTTAGTCGCGTTTTTCGACCTTTTACTGTAGGAAATATAATTATTTTATATTTTTATCTGATAGACAATTTTCCAATCTTTCATAATCAACAATTCGTTGGTAGCTATCTCTTTTAGTTTAAGAGATATGAATTTTTGAAAATCGTCGAAAAAAAGTATCAAGCACCCCCTTGGCAATTTTTTCTTAAGACTTAAAATTTCATCTCTCAAATTTCCCTTTTAACTATCCTATCTGATAGAGATTGGTGCGTAGATTAAGACGCTGCGATCAGAACTTAATTATCTCTTTTAGTTTACGAGATATTCGCGATTGAATAAAATGGGCAAAAATTGCAAAATGTCACTTTTTAGCACTTTTAGTCGCGTTTTTTGACCTTTTACTGTAGGAAATATAATTATTTTATATTTTTATCTGATAGACAATCTTCCAATCTTTCATAATCAACAATTCGTTGGCAGCTATCTCTTTTAGTTTAAGAGATATGAATTTTTGAAAATCGTCGAAAAAAAGTATCAAGCAACCCCCTTGGCAATTTTTTCTTAAGACTTAAAATTTCATCTCTCAAATTTCCCTTTTAAATATCCTATCTGATAGAGAAAAGTCAGTAGATTAAGTCGCTGCGATCAGATCTTATATATCTCTTTTAGTTTACGAGATATTCGTGATTGAATAAAATGGGCAAATATTGCGAATTGTCACTTTTTAGCACTTTTAGTCGTGTTTTTCGACCTTTTACTGTAGGAAATATAATTATTTTATATTTTTATCTGATATAGAATTTTTCAATCTTTCATAATCAACAATTCGTTGGTAGCTATCTCTTTTACTGTAGGAAATATTATCTCCTTGGCCCATTTTTCCTTATGACTTATTTTTTTATGTCTTAGATTTTCAATTGAACTAGCTTATTTTATAGATAATTTTCCGTACATTAAGAATCCTCATTTCGTTCCTCTCTGCAAAAGTTCGGAGAAGTTTCTGCGTGCGACATCACTAACTCTCATTTGTTTATGTTAGAAAAAAGGTGCTGTTGAAATAATGAAATATCTCCAATTGCGTAACATATAATTACGAGTGAACAATGCGCATGTTTGAGCGAATCTCTCAAGTATGCTGATTGAAATCGCTCGTACTTGAATACGAACAGAACAAAATTAAATAAACATTTTAGAATTTAATTACATATTTTACAATATTTATGCTAATTATGTACAGTACGGTACAATCGTTAATAAATTACTTAATTGTCTTCGTAGTCGATGCCGGTCGCGCCGTGGTCGTCGTCGTCTCAACGCTCTTTTTATCGTCTGCTGACGTCTCCTCCGATTCGTACTCATCTTCGTATTCCTCGGAAACTTCATTTTCCGTTTTCTTTTTACTGTTGCTATCCGGTGTAGTGCTAGTTGGTGTGCTGGTCGTCGATGGCAACGTTGTGGTCTGTACCGTGACAAGTTTCTCATCGTCTTTACTTACTTGTCGTGTTGTTAATCTCTGAAAACGAGTGGTCTCTGCTCGATACTGATCTGCTGGTGTGGGTACTTTGCTCTCGTAAGGATACAAATCGATGGATTGCACGTGTGCGTGTACTGATACTCCAGGCGGTACGCTAAAGACCCGATCGCCGAGGTTCGTGACGATGGTTTTCTTACCACCTGCACCTGTAATGGAAATAACGTGAGGTTTTGGTGTGCCGGTCACGCCTAGATTAGAGCTGGACACTCCGGGACTACCTCCGAAAAGTCCGTCATCTAAGTTGTTGATATCCCCGTCATCTCCATCATCAGCGCCTGTGTCAAAATTTGGCGAAGGTCGCGTGGAGCCTGGGGTAGGTCTTGAAGTGGATGAGCCTGGTCGTGACGTGGAGATGGAAGGACCACTACCGAATAAGTCATCGGCATTGTCATCATAATCATCCCCTCCTCCTCCAGCTGCTCCCCCAGGAGGTCCACCTGCACCGCCACCTCCAGTACCGCTTCCTCCTCCTGTAATATCTTCTCCGGAGAATGTACCACTTGTTGTTCCAGCAGTTGATGGTCTTCCAGTACTACCAGGTGGTCTTGCAGTGGTACTGCCACTTCCTGTACCACCACCAAAGAGGTCATCACCTCCCAAATCTCCACCATCATCGTAGTCATACGATGGACGAGTATTTGCAGGTCTTTCGGTAGGTCTGGGTCTTGGTACCGCTCCAGACGGTTTGGGTCTAGGTCTACTGGGTCTACTACCACCAGGCCTATTTGGTCTATTAGGTCTGCTTGGTCTGCCTGATCCATAACCACCATCAGCTTCGTAATCTGTACCGTAATCACTCCCAGGTCCAGTTGGACCCTCTTCAGGCGCGTTAAAAACATCCCCTTGTGAATGTTTATCTATATAATTATAAAAATCTGGTGGAATAATATTGGGGCCTGTGAATGGATACACTGATGGAAGATGTGGTCCATTGACATTCTTCAGTACCCGATAACCAATACCAGGTCCTGCTATGTAATGAACCGAATGTTGAACACCTTTGTCGTCGAGGTAGGTGTAAGACCCGCGTACATTGCCTTCGGAATCGCTGACCTCTGTGCGCCGTTGGTCAGGACCAGCAGCGACGAATCTGTAACTGCCATCGGTACCACGCTGTATGGAAGTTCTCCCACGTGGGATGGGACGACCTCTGCCATTAAAGAACAGCGGACCATAGGCCTTTGGGTTGGAATCTGGGAAGGGTGTCTTCACATGGAAGCCAGTATTCTTTCCTGCGATATATTCCACATTGTGACGTTCACCCACATCGTCTGTGTAGCTATATTGCCCTTTTACATCGCCCAATCTATTGGCACCTAATAACATGCAACATTTGATCAGAATTTATAGGTCATACAAATTGGAAAGAAAGATCTTACTTTCTTTTCTTTGATAAGTCCTGGTCTTGAACCCAAAGTCATAGCTTGGATCTTCATTTGGGTCATAATAAGGATCATCCCTGGATCCAATTGGTCCCCGCCGTACTTGGCTTTGATCAAACTTTCTAGCGATATTACTACCACGTGGCCTATATCCTCGAGGTCCAGCTGTGTATGACGTTACATCCACCCCTCCTGTTTTAGGGTTGCGACCTCCAAATTCACCACGTACAACATTTCTAGAGTTGGCTTTGCTGTGGTGGAAATTGTTTTCATTCTCGTAGCCGAATTCATACGATCCGTCGTTGTGTTGAATATTATAGTCCTCCTGCGCGTCCATAGATGGCGCCAGCAACATCACCATCACCGCAAATAGCGCAAGAAGAACTGCAGGAAGTGCCGGTGATCCCGGGCGTGAAGGCCACTGTAACTTCTATCAAATATCAGCATGAAAAATTAATATTTATGCAGAGTTATGAATGTTTTTGCGTCAAACAATAACAGGAAACAATTACAAATAATAATTGTAATTCGAATTCGATTACAGCAATTGTTTCAGCGGCAAACAATTGTTTCGAAATTAACTTGTGTTTTGTGATATTCTGGGCACAAAGTTAAAGGTCAGAAATATCGAATTTTAATAGAAATATTGCTTTTGTACGCTACTGATAAGTGTATATCTCGTTTATTGCCCAAACTTGGAATAATTTATTATTATCGTCTGGTTTCGATGATAAAACGCAACTCCAATGCGTTGAAAATATTGTTATACTCGCAAAACACTTTAAATCCGTATTTGTTGAATATTTGGCACACAAAAAAAAATACTAACGTGATTCATTGCTGAATTTGGCACTCTTTTGATTTTACACACTCGTACACCGCGAAAAACTATCAACTAATACTGGCATCTTTAATCCCGAATTCGTTTTTATACTCATCTCGCACACCATTGTTCTCCTTCCTTGCATAAACATTTTGCATTCATTTTGGAGGTACTCAAACTCATATATGCATCCTCCATCCTCCATCTTAGGTGTTTTAATTGTGATTCGACGCGGGTATTCCGAGGAGGACGTCTTGCGTGAAGATTTTCAGATGTCCTTTGGAGAACAGAGGCGCTTCACGCTTCGCCTGGTGCGCAATTAGCGGATATACCCAGTCATAACATGCGAGATGGGTATACTGGTTACTGGCAATCATTAGTATTTGTTTTTTTACGAAAATTATTACAATGAGATGTTTTTTTTTTTCAATTTTAAACACTTTGTGTGTATTCGACACCACAGGTGGGTACGGATGTGGTCTGTCTGAAGATTCATGGAAAATGTAAATTAAGCAGGTCCTAAGACATATTTTGGGAGGAATTCGTGCGTGCTGGGCTATTCGTTATATAATTCGTCTTAATTTCTTTATTTGATTCACTGTGGGTTTGCGCGAGGTCGAAAATTCAATTCATTACAAACCTTACATGGTTTTATTTTTATTTTTGACCTTAGAATAAAGAAAATGGATGCATTAAATTTACTTTCAATTCAATTGTTTTATTTTGGACATTAATAACTCCATATGGATTAAAATATGAGTGCAAAATTTCATTATCTCTAGATTAATAATTTTTCTCTAGTTAATCTTTCGTTAATAATAAAAAAATAATGTTTACAGCTTCTGAAATTAAATTTGGGAATAACCTTAATATTGTGTGTAATGATTAGTTATTTTTAATGAATTTAATGATTTAAGCTGCTTAATTCCTGGTTGGAAGGAAAGAATGTTGGCATTTCTGATGACTGCGTCATGTTTTGCATTAGAATCGAGTTTACATTTAACATATTAACTAATTTAACAATTAAGTTCTCATCGCATGTCCGCCTGCCGCTCGCATCTTTCCCATATTGTTCCGGCGCGCTCATTGTTTGCCACCACGTGTGCTGGGGAATTGGAATTATACAATACCGGCAATGAGTTCCGTTTCGTCTCCTAAGGACGATTTATAGTAAAGTGAATTGGCGTAAATTGTACTATGTTATGCTAATGTGCGCGTGAACGTGTTTCATTGAACTTTCGATCTTATCTTCAATGTAAACACATCTTTATTTCGGGTTATCACTAATTAAATTACAAATTATTTATTTATAGGGTTTTAAAACGTGACCTGGTGTATTATTTTTGTATTTGTTTTCGTTATAATCAATTTCTGACTACGGATTTTCGTGATTTGCCTTTTCCTATAAAGAATTCCACCAGGATTCTGAATTATTTATTCGTCCCTTTTCATCCATTTTGGTTTACGAGATATTGGCAATCAAAATATCTAGAAACTTGAAAAGCGTAGCAACGTAGCAATAAACAAACATATCAATAAAATTACGATTGCATTCATAATCTTAGTTACGATTAAGATAATTCCTTTCTAAATTGAATTATATAACACGTTCAGGGTAAAATAAATATTAAACCTATTAGTTTTCTTGTATATTTTATAAGTACACACATAGATAGTATTATATATGCGAAGCAGGAGATCTTGGCTGAATAATTGATTACATTTACATTCGCGAGCAGGTACATGCAGAAATTAATTACGAGCAATTACAATACACATTACCATTGCTAATCGTGAGCAGTGCGCGACGGCTAATTGAAATATCTACATATTTTATACGAATTCAACACACTTTACACACAATATCCACGTGAAGATCATATTTTCGTCGTTTCAAGGTGACTGTCCGCAGTATTCTTGTATCTTATCGGAGACGCAATCGAACACTTGATAGGCGACTTCACATGTTGTCCCAATCACTGAAACAATTCCATAACTCATCATAAGGGTCTTATCTTGTTTTTGTGATAACCCAGCAATCAATGTAATTGATTAATATGTGGTTGCGAAAGCGGAACGCGGAATAATTTCGTTGTCAATTGTATACCTTTGGAATGCGATTTGTTGGATGTGTCAATTGCTTGGTCGCTACGCTCGGTGTTTTTCTCGTTCTGATCGACGACGATGTGCACTTTGTTCAGACACGTGTGCACAGCTTGTACTGTCGCCAAAACGTATGGTTTCTCATCGATTCCCTCGGTGTACAGATGGACCATGCCCTCGACGGTTGGATATCCCAGCGCGTTCAGCTGTAATTTTCAATTAACATAAAGCCGTAGTAATTTCACTAGTTTCTCACAATATTTTTCCAAATTGGAGCGCAGTTTCCGGTCAATTGACTGACCGCACTCAACAATTGTTTCCACGAATGATTATTATTTTATTTTGCTTTGTTTTCGAAAGTTAATGTTCAAATTAATACTTACAGCGTTTTTACGACGAAACACGCATTGCAAAAGACACTGCAATAATAAATTTACGTTTAAATTAATATTATGCATTAGTGTGATTATAGTGTGATTTATTTGAAAATGTTACTTACTCCGGCGATTTTCTGCTCGTCCTCGCTAAAATACGAACGTTTTCTGCGCACTTTCTCGTCGCCATCATTTTCGTTCAAGGGTTTTTCATCATTTTGCGCGAACATGACAGCTTCTTGTACGTTGAGAGCCTCTAGTGCCTCTGAAGATTAAATTTAATAAAATTACATTAAAATTTCGTGCGCAGATTGAGTAATAACCGATCAATCGATCGAAGAGAAACCAAATTATGTAATATTATGAGTTGTGAGTTTTTAGAGTGAGAAATTGCATAATTTTTAATTTAGAACTACTCAATAAATAAATAATCAGAACGTTAAGCATTTAATTGTAATAATTAAATATTTTACCTGCAATGAGCGTCTGTTGAATTTCTTCTTGGCATAACGCGATCACTTTTTCAATATTCTCCGGTGCCTTGTTTGGAACCTTGCAGCGCGTTGCCGTCACATTCTGCAAAAACACATTGTTTACACTTTCCATATTCAATTACTGCGATTAATAATACCTGCGCACTTGAAAGCTGCCCTTGGAGCGCCAGCACGACGATGTAGGCTACACAAACAGCACGCATCTTTAAGATTTCTTTCTTTTTCCTTGAGAAAAATATTCGCGCACAATATCTCAGCCTGTTCACACCCGAAATAACACCCGACACCTCTCGGCGACGCTTTTTACTCACGTACTTCTTTCGATTGCGAATTCAGCTGCAGTGGGGCTGCAGTGAAGTAATTACCGAAAATATACACTTTGAGGTGTGATAATTATGCTTGTAACACGATTTTAATCAATGATCACAATCGAGCGCGCGCGTTACGTAAATTCTTGTTGTTGCACAATTCGGCGCAAAGAGGTGAACAGCGCGAATGCGTCCGATTGCGCTTTTTACTTTTATTTTATATATCGCCCGAGCGGGTCCGGCCGCGTGGCGGTGATTTTACTTTTCCTTTATTGCAAAATTACAATCTACACACAACTCGTCGCTGTTGTCACGGCTCGGACTCTCCACGTCCACTTCTTCAGCTGCGATGAGTACATTATGGATATAATTCGCTACCACTTTCTACATCGCATGCAAGGAAATTACACATTGCGGTATTTCACGCTGTACAATAGCGTAATTACGCTTTGTTGGTGTGGATTATAATTGTCAACATTTTGCGCATGAAATAATTGTTATACTTTCTCGTTACATGCTGCGCATGCGCCATTTTGAATATTGTACGACAGGTTAGGCAACTTTATTTACACCAGCATTATTGAATAACCTAAATAAATAAACAAATGAAATTGTATTTGTATTTATTTTTAGTTTTTGTACTTTGTAATATTATATGAAGAAATATTTCAATGTATTCCTTTCTTTGAATTTCGTCTGTAATAATTTCAGGTTATATCAGTTGTGTCAATGCACTCGTTTCATCTGCCTCGTCGTCATCTTCATCACGCAGCCCGAAACTCAGAACACGTAAAAAGCAACACACATCATTGCTGTTTTTCTGTCTTGCACAACAGTACCACGTCCGTTAAAATCAAGTGTTCGGCATCTAGTGCATTTTTATAATGTAACCGCGCTGGTGGCATCTCTGCAGCAACCAATTGCGTCGCAGGCGCAGGCAAAGAATGCGAGCGCAACAATAAACGATTTGTTGCATTCCGGTTCGGCGTCGGGACGTGGCTGTAACTGTCTCGCTGGTGCAAAGGTCGCGCGACGCTACTAAATACTAATAATAATCGTGGGCGCACACACAAATCAACACACTCCTCAGTTCAGTCACATATCAAAAAGCGGTGCGGCGCGAGGCCGAGTGTGTTTCCATATTCAGTTCATCAGCTGGCGCGTAGTCGTGCGGGTCATGTTTACATTTCGCTGAAGCGCCACACGAATTTTTGCACGCACACATTATATCGCACAATGGGGCTGCAGGCGTGGAAGTCCTCCCGACTGATACATCTCTGGTTCGCCGTCTCGTACTTCACCACGGGGCTCTCGATCAATTTTCTACAATGTATTTTATACCTCACGTTGCACAAGATTGACAAGAGACTATACAGAAAAATCAACTATTATCTTTGCTACTCATTATATTCCCGTAAGTAACCGTAAAATTATAGCAATTCAATAGCAGTACATGTAAATTGTTGTATTTTAATGTGTTTTTAGTACTTGTTTGTTTGGTTGATTGGTGGTCGGGAACAAAACTATACATCTATGCGAAAAGAGATGAATTTGATAAGTATTTTGGCAAGGAACATGCATATTGTGTCATGAATCACACCTATGAGGTGGACTGGATAATGGGATGGATGGTTACAGAGAGGTTAAGAATGTTAGGTGTAGGTAAGACACTATTTCAAGTGTTACATGTGTTAATTTGTTCTTAAATGTTATTTAGAATTGCAAGGCCTATGCCAAGAAGGTGATACAGTATGTGCCAGTGCTGGGCTGGTGTTGGAAGTTTTCTGAGTTTGTCTTTTTGGAGAGGTCATTTGAGAAGGACAGGAAGAATATTATCACACAGGTTGAGGCCCTGGCTGATCATCCTGACCCAATGTGGGTATGTATCTTTAAAATTATGCAAAAATTCCGTATATTAATTACTTATTTGAACATCCTCAGCTACTTCTCTTCCCTGAGGGAACCCGCTTCTCTGCTAAAAAGCAGGAAGCCTCTCGGAAGTTTGCCGCCGAGCGCAACTACAAACAAATGGATTATCATTTGCAGCCGCGTACGCGTGGCTTCATTGCTTCCTGCCCGGCATGAAGGGCAAGGTCCCTGCTGTCTACGATATTCTACTCGCATTTAACGACAATGATGCAGTTAAGCCCACGATCACAAGCATTCTCTTCGGAAAGCCGCTGGTTGGCCACATGTACATGAATCGCATTCCCATGGAGGACGTGCCGAAGTCCGAAGAGGACCAAGACAAGTTTATGCGTGACATGTTCCATCGCAAGGACCGATTACGTGATAGTTTCGTAAAGACAGGCGACTTTTTCGCCACCTCTGGAGAGCCGCGCTGGGAAAAATTCGAGGTCGGTCAAAAGCGCATCTTTCCGCTGTTGAACATGCTCTTCTGGAACACTCTCACGCTCGTCAGCGTCTCCTACGCGATGATCAGTCTGCTGCTGGCTGGGCGCTTGATTTTGTTTTCGTTGTGCGCGGGTATTCTACTAGCATGTAAGTAGTTGCGAAGATGCATCTGGTAGCAGTATGAGTTTGTAATTTATTTGCACGTTATTTTTCAACGCTTTGCAGTTTATTTCCTCCTCATTCGAACGATCAGCATGTCGAAGATCAGCAAGCAGTCTAGTTACGGCTCGAGCGCCAACGGCAACGCCAAGCAAGATTGAGAAACACATATGAAGAGGGACGCGCATGAGTCAAGTGCCAAATCGTTTTAATACTTTGACGCGCCCTCCCCGTAACTCGTTCGGTAAGCAGCAGCAGCGCCGCATCAGTCATTTGTTTAGTTTGTCTCGTTAGAATGATGGGTGCTTCCTGTAGCGCACAATTTTTACGGTTGTCTGGTGGTCTGGTGGAGAACAAACTAAAGAAGTGAACTGTCATTTTGAAGCGGTATTATTTCGATTTTTATCTATACCACTTTCCACAACAAATATACATATATGTATAAGTATGTATATTCATTGTGCTCCCTCTACCCCCAAACAGAGATACACTTTTTCCATATTTTCCGCGATGCGTGTTTACATGTTTTTTCTTATCTTAAATTTACATAATTGTACTAAAAATATTACATGTCCGTACCAGGACATCCCAAAATGGACAAAGAAGCTATTTCTATTGATGTTAATGTATATGTATATGTAATAAAAAGATATTTAATATGTGCTAAGTTTTAGCTGAATTTGGAGGTACGGATTCGGTCGACTCGCGTGTGCTTATTTCCTTCTCCGTCGCGGTGAGTCTCATGAGATTGTAGAAGGCGGCGGCATTATTGGTGGGTTCAGCTGTTGAAATGTGCAATGCAGGTGGTTGCGGTTCTTCTGTGCCAAAACGCAGTTGACGCTCCTCAACGATTCTCTTATCTCCGAGCTGCATATAAATTCGGGCTGGTCCGGTGAATTTTGTAAACCGCCGATGGCGGTTGAGGTTCATATATTGTTCATTGCTCTGTTCGAACTTTGTACGCAATTGTTTATCCAAGTCTTCGTGGCGGGCGCAGAGTTGATCGACTTTAGATCGCCGCCAGATGAAGGCTTCGGTGGGTTCAATTGCCACCATTGTACAAACGTGCTGGTGTTGGTAAAAACCAATCAACCCAAAGATTTCTCCATCAGCTAAATGTGCCACTTCCATGCCAAGCGCCGTATAGGCTGCAATCTTGCCATGCGAGATAATATAGAGGTTTTGGCCAATGTCGTTAACAGAAAAGACAATATCGCCCGGGTGATAGAAGACAGGCTCCAGAGTCATCAGCATCTCACCGATGGTCGCACGTTTAAGATGCTTGCACAACTGCATCGTGCATATTAAATGCGAGCAGTAATTCAAATAAATTTCATGACGAAGGTGTTCGCTCATGATGCTGGTTATATAACTCCGATATTTGCGTCCTTGATATTTATGCCTGATGTACTGCTCAATGCGTAGTTGGAGGTTCAATGGCACTTGATTAGTGCGCATATATTGCTCGCTTTCCCGCAGGAAAGAATTGAATTGCATTGATGTTCGATCGTATTTCACCAAATACATCAATAACATGCCGATGGCAATTGTACGATAAATAAATCCGAGGATTAGCGTCACTATGTGCGGGATTAAGTCGTTTGTTCCTGTGTTCGTTGAGCCGAGAAAAAAGTGACTTAATACTTTGTTCATCGCTACCATGTAATCGTCCAAGGTATTTTCTGCGCTCGTAGAGCGCACGGTCATGATCAAGACGCACGTGCACCAGTGTACGGTTATCACCCCAAAGTATACTAAACAAGTAATGTGTATGTAAATTGTTTGTAGGTGTAGCAGATGTCCGATGTTTAAAGCATAAGTGATTAGGGTACGCGCTCGTACAAACTGCACTAAATGAACGAGCATCCATCCTCGGTGGATGTTACTAACGGTATATAGTAACGTGGCGGTGGGAAAAGCGTTAATTACATCAAATATGAAGTAATGACAAAGATAATTCGTGCAAATTGCATATGAATCTAGCACGATGTAACATTTTCCTTGATGTTCCTGATATCCAGTTAGAAAGTTGACCAAAATGTTCAGCAATAGGACAGCCGAGCAGGTAAGACTTAAATGAATTGCTAGATAGTATTCAAATTCGAATTTTGTATACGCCATAAATAATGGCCGCGAAATGCTGAGGTATACCCATACAAGTAGCATAATCATTTGCCAAGCGAGCGCGAGTACACTAAACGGGTGAATGATGGTGGGGCATTTTGTCGCCGAGGTGCGCATCCAGGCGGCGACCATGGATGTCCGCGAAGGATAATAGTGCCGACATTGGCGATGAGCGTAAGTAGGCAGAGTGAGTTTACGGATGACACGGGCCAGGCGTTGGTAGAGCGGTGCGCTGGGGCTCTGCTGATGCATTCCGTGGTCCATCTCCGAGAGGATGCTGCAGTGATGTTTACCGAGGGATGGCCACGGCACATCTGTGCCCATCAGGGTGGTTTCTGCTTTTCGATAGTTAACCATTGTATTATTGTCAAGTTTGATGCTTTTACGAACACTCAATAGAATTAACAATGTAAGTAATATTATCTCATAGCAACCAATATCAGAATGCTGTGTTTGTAATTGTCAATGTGCAGTGTCTAATGTTCTTTTTTTTAAATTTTAGGGAAGCAGAAACATAGAAAAAAGACAAGTAGACTACGGTAAGAGTGGAGCATTCAGAAATTCTTTAGTAATTGTCAATAAAACACAATGTAAAGTTATAATCTCATTCATAATTTCAAATCCTCTTTGTTGTTTTGAGTATTAAATAATATGGCATATATTATATTTATATATATTTATTGATTTTGTTAATGTTTTTGTGTTTTATAGAATCCACTTGGGTAAAACTTGGTCAAAATGCAAGTAATGGTTTGTATTTTATTGAATGTTTATATGTTAGATGCGTTTGCTAATGCTGATCGTGTGTTGGTTCTCTACGTGACTACGACAAACGCGTTTGCCTTTTTATGTCCTCGGTTGTTGCATCGAACGTATCGCAATACTGATAGTAACCGCGTGTTCTCGCCGTTAACTGTGCACACTCAGTTCCATTCCGGTTGCCGAATGAATCGCGTGTTCATCGCGACTATTTTTGATTCTTTAGATCGTTAATAAGAAAATTCATAGATTTTCAATACCCAATTGCCAGTACACACCGGGGACGTGGTTTTACTACGTAATTGCACGCGTTGAATGTTCAACAATCGCGAATTAATCGTCGGTTTACCGGGGCGCGTGTGAAGTTCCGTCGGTCGTCGCTGAATATGTCGTGTTGGTTTACATGTGCACAGCGTGCGTGTCCATCGATATATAGGAAAAACTTTGATTTATAATTATTTCCTGCAGATAGGACAACGTTGGTGCCCAGAAGAAGTTTGTGAGTGCCCCGATCCATGGAGTTTGCAATACCTATAGCGGAAGTGTTGGAGATGCGCGTACTTTAAGGCAAGTCTTTACTACTACGGGAAATGATAGTCGCAAATTGTTTTCTTGTTTAAAAAATATGTATCTATTGTTTAATGTTGTCAATAAAACACAATGTATAATTATAATCTCATTCATATTTTTTGTGGTATCCTCTTTGTCGTTTTCAGTTTTAAATAATATGGCATATAAGTCTTATGTGTGAGCAGCGGGTATAAGATAAGTAACTGTTGCTTAAATTGTGTTGTTGTTTTTAAAAACATGATAAATGTAGAAACATAAATAGAAGAATCAAATATTAATAATAAAAACACTCGGTGGTCGAGTGGAGACGTGCACCTGCTGGCATGCTAGCAGACACGGATCGAATCTCAGGTATGGAAGGCATTTTTCTCAAATATAAAAATATCAGGTGTAATTTGGGTTGCATATATGAATTGCAACGAAATATAAGAGAAATTGAAATACAAGTGAAGGCAATATGAGAAATAAGAAAGTAAGTGGAGGAGCGGGAACAGAGAAATAGAAGAAGAAGAAAGGAGTAGCAGAGAAGAGTAGAAGGCAGAAGGAAGAGAACAGAGTAGAGAAGAGGAGGAGATAGAAGAAAGAGAACAGGAGTGGATCAGATTTTTAAATTTTTTGGCACGTGTCGTTATAAGACAGTCTACGGTCGATCTCCCAGAGCGCCTCCGGCGCTCTGGTCGATCGCCCACTGCTTCGATGTGTCCATTGCTCCCGGCCCAACCTACAGCTACGATGTCTCTGCGCTTCATCCCCGAAATTATCAGGCATATCAACAATTTTTATGGTGGGGGATCACCCCCAGAGAGGGGAACTCCTTATAAGGACAATCCTTATAAGGTCTTGTAAAAATATTTCTAAGTTTTAAGTCGTCTCAAGAGAGGTGACACTAAGAAATATTCTTACAAGTTCTGACCTGTAGCTGGAATGAAAGAAGGAGTACACAAATCATACAGGTTACCTTAACAATTTTTATAGAGGGGATCATCCCCTGAGAGAGGGAACTCTCTTAGAGACCTGTACCTGAAATGATAGAAGGGGTAAATTCAAAGCATAAGACATACTATTTCTTAACATTTCTTTATTAATAAACACAATGTAATATAATACAAGTTTAGTACCTTAACAATTTCTATGGTGGGATCATCTTCTGAGAGAGGGAACTCTCTTAGAGACCTGTGCCTGTAATGATAGAAGGGGTACGCCTAAATCAAAGAAGTAAATATATCTTACTATTCATTTATTTACAATAGAATACAAGTTTATATTTTACAAGTCAACAGAATACGTGCCGCCATATTGAAGCAGGACTTACGACCTGCATAGCCGCGCACATGCAAACAAGTACTACTTTGTAAAGTTCTACCGGGATAATGAAATTAGCAAATAGCCTATTTTTTATGTGATTGAAAATGAAAACAAATATACAGTAACACAGTAAAGGAAAATTTACAGTGCAAAAAAGGAAAATCCTAAAAACAACAGTTGAAGCAAAATTTTCACGGACACAAAAGAAAACGAAAATACAGGGTGTACCAGAAAGAAAATACCAAGTTCAAAACAATGAACATTCAAAACTCACAAATAAAGACAATCTTCTACGTGCGGTTAGGAAAACTAATATACAGGATGTTACAAAAAGAAAATTTTCGGAACTACAAAGATAATCAATATTCACATTATGACACTGGAAATTAATATGGAAACAACAATATTTTAATATAAATTCAAAGATTTCACCGGGAAATGATCGGGAAATTAAGCAAAAAGGTGCTAGAAAAGAAAACAATTACATTTTAATATATTGTGAATATATATTTATTAATTAATTAAACCGACGGGTGAAGCATCATCATAAATTGATTGAATATCCGGCGGAAAACATCTAAATCAACACCCGGCAAGCGACGGCGCGTAACCACACAGTGGTTAAAGACGATAAAAATAACTATTTCCTTGTAAATATTAAGATATACTAAGGCTGCGAAAACTAAAAACTATTTACCGTTCAGATTTTATTTCAACAATAAATTATTCATTTAATGATGCAATTCGATTCAAATGTTTCGTGATCATCGAAAACATGACCGAACCGACGGCCGACGGCAAAGTGAGCGCGGTCGACAATATGAATATTGTCATTTTAATAATCCTCAGATAATTTTAAAAACCGTGCTTGTAATAATTAAATAAAGCATGCTATTTTCAGAAACGCGACTAAGAAGAATTCGTATAAAAATGCCACCACGTGTTTGTAATCTACAAAATTAATATCCCTCAGATGGAATAACTAATTTAAGTTAAATCCCCTTTCCGCGATAAATTTTATTTATCCACCTACCTGTGCATTGATGAGGAAATTTTCTATCCTGAAATATATTCTATCAACTGAAAACTCGCGAAGGGATTAACGGACACTTATTTCTCACTTAAGAAGACTCTAACGGCCATAAATCATTAAACAAAACAGGCACACATGTCCGTTCCGAATATTTAGCTGATGGCCGAAAGAATACACTACGATTAATCCAATTAAAACCTCAAAACGCATGGCGACTAGAGAGACAAGCTCGCGGACCACGCGGTGAAACGACTGCCGTGCACGCCGCGCGTAGCCAGGTTCAAGGCAGGTACGCAGCGATAACACGCGTCACTCTAACAAAAAAAGTTGTTTATACACAAACGTACTGATAAACACTTAGTTGAGAATACTAAACTAAAAGTTACAATATTGAAATAGCACATATACACGGACTCTACTGTTACTTTCAATATTTATCGGCAACGGATTAAATATTATGAAATTTTGGATAATTCTCTGTCAGATAAAAGTATAAAATAATTAAATTTCCTGGGCTAAAACGTCCAAAAATAATTTATATTTTATGAATACGACTCACTTCTACCGCTACCTTCGTACGGTGCCTTGAACACGAGTCACTTCTACCGCTACCCTCGTACGGTACCATGAACACGAGTCCCTTTTACCGCTACCCTCGTACGGTGCCATGAACACGAGTCACTTCTACCGCTACCTTCGTACGGTGCCCTAAACACGAATCACTTATATCGCCACCCTGCTACAGTACACCGAATGAGACTCCACTAAATACCGAGTACTACGGCGCAAACACACAACTTTCAATATAACTCGCGTGTCAAATTTTTTTCGGAATAAATTTCAATACAGGGAAATAAAGAATTAAATTCGGCATCTGGGAAAATTATTCCACACTTATTGTGACACCGCGTTCGCGTGTTATAAATTTAAAAAAAACTACAATCCTAAGCGCTACGAGTACTAGTGCGTAAACACACAACTTTCAATATAACTCGCGTTACGGAATTTTCTTGCAATAAATTTCAATACAGGGAGATACGGAATTAAATTTCGCATCTAGGAAAATTATTCCGAACTTAGTTTAAGACCGCGTTCGCGTGTTATAATATTAACAAAGTACAATTCCTAGCGCAACGAGTACTATTGCGTATATGCGTATACACACAACTATCATTATAACTCGCGTTACGGAATTTTCTCGCAATAAATTTCGATACAGGGACCTAAAGAATTAAATTCCGCATCTGGGAAAATCAATCCGAACTTAGTTTAAGACCGCGTTAGCGTGTTATAATATTAACAAAGTACAATTCCTAGCGCAACGAGTACTATTGCGTATATGCGTATACACACAACTATCATTATAACTCGCGTTACGGAATTTTCTCGCAATAAATTTTGATACAGGGAAATAAAGAATTAAATTCCGCATCTGGGAAAATTATTCCGAACTAAGTTTGAGACCGCGTTCGCAAGTTATAATAAAAAAAACTACAATTCCTAGCGCAACGAGTTCGAATACAAGCGCGTATACACACAACTATCATTATAACTCGCGTTACGAAATTTTCTCGCAATAAATTTTGATACAGGGAAATAAAGAATTAAATTCCGCACCTGGGAAAATTATTCCGAACAGGGTTTAAGACCGCGTTCGCGAGTTATAATAAAAAAACTACAATTCCTAGCGCAACGAGTACAAGTGCGTATACACACAACTATCATTATAACTCGCGTTACGGAACTTTCTTGCAAGAAATTTTGATACAGGAAGATATAGAATTAAATTCTGCATCTGGAAAAATTATTCCGAACTTATTATGACATCGCGTTCGCGTGTTATATCGAAAAAAAAAAATTCCGTGCGCTGACCGTATGAAGATTGCGGTAGAAGTGACTCGTGTTCAGGGCACCTTACGAGGCTAGCGGTAGAAGTGACTCGATTCAGGGCACCGTACAAGGGTAGCGGTAGAAGTTAGTCGTATTCATTAATTATAAATTGTTTTTGGCCCCTTTCACCTGGAAAATTTAATTATTTTATATTTTTATGATAGAGAATTTTCTAAATTTTCATAATCTTCAATTCGTTGGTCGCCAGCACCAAGTTTAAAAAAAACATGCCGCAGTACCCCGCTTTACCAATTTTTTCTATGAATTATTTTTTCATCTCCTAGATTTCCAATTTAATTAGCTTACCTAATTTTTTTGTATCGCTATTAGTCGTAATTGAAAAATTAATAAAATAGAGCCTGCACCTCCCCCGTTTGCCCATTTTTCTATGGGAATTTTGTTCGAGGCGCATCTAAAGACGACAATGTTGACAAATTGCAACGGGCCCCCGTGCTAAAGAAACTGAGAATAATGTACCTTGATATCTCGGATAAGTTGTAAGCACCTTTACTCCACACCTTCTAAGAACGATGAAACTCGTGTATAATTAGTACCATAATACTAATCTTCGTTAGTAATTAAAATTAAAAAAGAATATCCGACAACCAACAGATAACGGTAATACTTTAAGTGTGCGTATGTTCAATACACATTTAACGAGCACTGCACATCACTCGCGCACAATCAAATTAGTAATACCGCGGAGAAAAAATGGGAAATGCCCCGTATTTTAAACAAAACTTGCGCGTGCACGCACCACGACGACACAAATAAGACTAACAAGCAAGTCAACCGCGTGAGCCGGCATCGAGATAAGAAAAACTTGTTTGTTTATAAACACTGATATTACCTATGTAGTAGTGGTAAAACGGAATATTCCATGTACAAATATACCTGTACCGGACACAAATACAAATCGCATTTTATTTAGTCACATTTATTTCACATTGCTATAAATTAAAACCAATGTGTTCATGTTGAAAGAAAATAGTTGTACACATTCTAATATAAGTTCATGTAAATTCATGCATACATCACTGATGAATCAAAGTTTAGTGAAACTGGTAAATAATTCGATTCGATAATTACAATTACACTTCAAGAAAAAGATAAAATAACAAAGCAGTAATCAATCAATTCGATATTCATTTACCTATATATTTTTCTATAAGTTATCTACAAGTATATATTACTTACATCTAATCAAGTAGGAAGAATATAGATTTGTCAGCAATCATCAACTAGAAAAACTCTTCTCCAAATATTTATCAGTGTATTATTTATAAATGGTGTAAATTCACATCTCCTCTATTTGTTATCGTATTGGTTCCTTTTCAACATTTCAATATTATCAAACACAAGTTCGGCTATCCGTTAATATCAAAGTCACAACACTCGCAATCTTCTCAATATTGATATGTGTAGACTATTATGAGTGTTCGTCTTTGTCTCTTTCAATCTGGTGACTTAAATGTAGTTAGTAAAATTTAGAGCCCTGTATTTCACATTCATATCAACCAAAAATCAATTTATTAATTCGGTGTGAATTTGTTTGGCACCTCTAATTGAATCGGATAAAACGGCAAACAATGCAAACAAGTGTAAAGTATGTATTTGATTAAACATTCACAATCGATTGACTAATCTGGCAAGTTTGTAGAGCAAACTGCAAGATATTGAACAGTAAATAGCAGTGTGTCAGAGTGTGAAAGAAATATCTACATCACTTAAAATAGACTAGAATCACAATTACATTTATACATTTTTTTTAAACATTGCCAGCGTTTAACAACTCTTTTTAAATAGATCTCTATCCACTTTCCACTTTTACACACCTTCTAATACGTACTATAGGCGCCTGATGCACGAGAGATATGTACGAGTATAAATTTAAGATTATTGGTACGTTTCATGGTCGTTTGACAGATAGATTATACTTTAGGAACATATACTTGTGCACCAGGAATGTTTTTACAATTTCAATAGGTCAATTGGTTTCTATATAGTGCCATTATCGATTTATTTAGGTAATATTCATCAAGATGATCAACAAATATCAAGAAAACTGTTTGTTGTTTTTTTAATTGACTTGAAAACGTTTTCAACCAATTGTGCCCACCAGACAGACAGAGAATGTAAAATATATCACAGGTAAACAAAAGTGAATTTATCTATGTATATATGGCACACAAACAAATGGAAAGTTCCGCTAATAAATAAATAAAACCAAATTAAAATAAATATAACTTATAATTTTTTATTTACAACAGTCTAAACGTTTTCTCTAATGTTGGCCTTTTTATATTTACAACACCGGCAGAAAATATAAGTGGCGAAGCTTTCGCTCTCAGCGGGACTAATCTCCTGTCAAATTGGATCGTCGCTCATCTCCTGCACCTGGTTATTAGTTAATTTTGGTATTTGATTACAACTAACAATAACGTCTTCACCTGTTCCGTCGTCCAGTTCGTCCTCGTCGCTAACACCGCCCTTAGACAGATCCTGTTCGTCCTTTTTGGCCGCAGTCGGTTTGCGACAGATGTCGACACTGCCTGCTTCCCCTGAGCTTTCGCCCACACCCTCACCCGCAGCCACAATCAAATTGCTTTGCGATTGAGAAGTAGAGGGCAGCAGGGAATCATCGGCGGCTTTATTCATCTCCGCATCTGAACCCCAACCGCCCTCCAAGCTGCTAGACGCTGCTTTTTCTTTGCCCATAATCAAAAACTTCCAACTTTTTTTCGCGAGACCCATCTTTTTTGTCTTTGGCAAGGTGCTTGCCTTACGTACATCATCAATGGAGGTGTCGTTCGACATGCAGCATGAACTATCCTCCGACTTTTTCTTGGGATGCATCCGCGGTGCGCTGTTATTGTTACGAATGAGGAACAACTTCGGATTGCGAAACTTTGCATCCCTATCCAGGACATGCCCAGCTTGTCAGTAAAGTGCTTAAAACGCGTCATCAGTGACCGCTTGGATTCAGAGGACGAACCGCCGTCGGCAGCCGTCTTGTCGCAGCTATGCCGCGTGAAGCCCTTCAGGGTGAAGCCTTGGCGTTTGCCAGTGTCGCACTTTCCGTTGCCTTCGGAACAAGAAGCAGTAGTAGAACCACCACCACCCCCCGGTTCGTATTTGTTGTGCTCGGTGTGCTTGAGTATGCTCTTCTTCTCATCAGCGGGCAGCTGCTTGACGAAATGCTCCGAATTGCGCTTGTTCAAATTGAGCGTCTCTTTGGAGACAACACAGTCGGACGAGTGCGTCGAGTCGGCGCCGTCTGGGGATGGAGAACGATCAAAGCGCTGCTTAAAACTAATACCGTACTCGTCTAGGAATTGAGGCGGATCAAACGACAATTTTTTGTGATTGCTCAGAGAATTTTGATCGAAGCTCAGCGCGCCCGATTTGAGTTTCCCGCGCTGAATCGCCTTCGCCAGCTCGAAATGTTGACCGCGCTCCCTACTACCCTTACGAGATCCGGGATAACTCTTACGCCCCGTGCTCACATTACCTTCGGTGGAGATTTTAAACTTTAGCGCCTTCTCCGAGACCTCCACCTCGTTGGCTGTCTCCGAATCGCCACTCTCTGGATCCTCCGCAACGTCCGCCAAACTAGTTTCCTCATTGTTCACCACGGCAGCCTCGTCCATTTCGGTATCCTCGTCAGTCGACTTGGACCTAGACAATATCATTCACAAAAAAATATTTTCCCTTATAAAATTCCACTAACCTTGAACGGTTCTGTTGAAAACTCAAACTCTTACGAAGACGAACGTTTGATCCAGATGCAGACTTACTTAAACTGGTCGTGCTACTGTCAATGGAGTTCTGAGATGGCGAGGGCAGTTCCGCGGCTAATTCTGCAACAATACTCTTCCTATGCAGGCGCTCCTCTTTGGTGGCGTCGTTGAGACGTTTATAATAGTCAAGCGCGTCTCGCACCGGCTGCACAATGAGATCCTGTAAAAAAGATCGAAAAAAATCTTCACACAAATGTCAAATTTGTAATAAATAGATCGTCTTTTGTTTAGAAATTTCACAAGCAACTAATCAGAAATTAATGAAGCGGTACCTGTAAGTCAGTAAATAATTCTCCGAGGGCCTCGAAGAGAGGCAAAAGTACAAAGCCGATGAACGAACACTGAGACGACGGTTTCGTAATCTTCTCGCGATCCATAAAGGGCGTGACTGGCAGTCCTTCCAACTTTTCAGCATCAGACTGTTTGAAAAACTCCTGCAGAAGACGATCCAACCATGGTTCGGCCACGTCCATAGGTCGGGCTTCATTCGAAATGTCCGACACTTTTATTAATACCATACAAAGCTATAAGAACATTAATGTTAACCCACAGATTTAAAAATTCTGAAAAAAATCTCATACCAGATTGACATGAGTCTTATTCTGATAGTCAAACTCAGGTGTGACTTCCTTAAACTGCGAGAGTATCTCATTGTGACGTGCCATATCCGTAGCAAGAATACAGCGGATCATCCCTTCGCGGATCTGCTTAAACTGTTCCATGGAAAATGACTTGAATATGTTGCAGTCTTCGTTCTCAAGCACGCGAAAAGCAACACTACAATGATGGTTCTCCAGCGGCGAAATATCATTGTAGCGAATCGCCAATTCAGTTTTCGCGTTAATCTGATAGATATTATTATACCCGGGATGGTCAAGATCGTGGCAGATGCATGATGTGAGTAGTATTAATACTTCAAGGTCGCCAATTTTCGACGGCAGATCAACGGTCCACAAAATGGCGTACATCATTTGCGTGACGCAGAAACAATGGCGAAAGTTATGAAACGGCACGTCATTGTAATTCTTGTAGGTCTCATATAAAAAGTTTCTAAGCGTATTAATGTTAATCGCAAACTTGGCGCAGAGATCATAGTCCAAATACATTTGCTGCAGCATCAACAGCAATTCCTCATCCTCCCACTGGCGGCTGTCAAATGTGGGCATTCGCAGCCAATTGCGAACCGAATCCGATACTTGTGCATCACTGCGAATAATATACAACACCAAGAAAAGTAATTAATTTAAAACGAAAATGATTGTGTTTTGTTGTAGACGCGTACCATATATTTAAAAAGTTTTGCTTCACGCGTTTTTTCAGCGAATCGCTTTTTCTCCGGTACTGCAGCCGCCGGCATTCGTCTGTTGACAGCGGTTCCGGCAATTCTTTGTAAAAGCCTGAAACATAATTATTTTCACCAGAACTCGCATTGTAATTACGAAGGAAACGCGACTCCAGGCGCTAATGACTTTCGTCGCGCAATTACTCAACATTAGTTGATAAAACTTAATCAGCAATTAAAACTTTGCATCTTAAAATGGCGAAAATGAGGTGCGGTCAAGGATTGAAAAGCCAAACACACCCTGTTAATCATACGAAGTATATTCCTCAACGCGCAAGTGCTAAGTAATTATATCCTGCGTGTTTTCTTTGATCATAATAGTCGATTCAAATTAAAGGGCAGCCCGCGGGTGACACGTTTATGTGAGAATACGTCTGCTCTTACCTAGCCAACTCAAGCTTTCAGTCGTCTCCAATTTATGCCGAAACTCGTCTACCTGCCGCTCCAGCTGGCAGACGCTGGGCGGTAGCGGGATATCTGCCTTCAGGAGCCGCTCTATCTCGGAGATGCGTGCCTCCAGCGCCTGCAGGTGTTCACCGGTGTCCTCGCGCAGCATGGCGCAACCATGCGCCGCAACCACTTGCAATGCGTATCTTTCCTCCACAGTATTCGACGGCAGGTCCTGGTTGATGTTCAGCAGCTGACCTTTGCGATTGTACAGCTTCAAAATGTCTCGAGGGCCCGCCTCCGCCGCTGACCTGAACAAATCTGCAAAAAACCACACGCGTATTTAATCATGTGGCTGCGGCGGACGTTTCGAGACCATCCCTTTTCAAGTTTAATGATGTGTGGACGACAAAAACTTATTGGGACATTCCGGACCTTCCTGCCAATTTATTTCGCGAGAGGGTTACACGGTAAAAATCAATTGTATTCATGATGAAATAATAGTTGAAAAGTTGAACACGTTGCACACATTGCGTATGCATTGTTCGCGGCTCGTTTATATCAGCTGTGATCGATTTTGCGCATCGCTGAACCAAATCGACGCCGCTCGCAGGGCGAAATCCCCTTAAGCGCTGATCCCATTGCCAACCACTCGTCCTATTCATGGAGCACATGCAGGGATTTCACGCGTATGCGACGAGCACTTAACAATAGATGCCCCGGTATTATTATTGCATATTCAAGCATCTAGAATCTGTGGAAGGTTTAAAAGAACGACAATCACTAAATGGCTCGCGAATTCACGATAAATTTCTTTTCAAATGTCATTTCCCGGTTTGTTTTCCTTCGTTTAAAGTCCCACTCAAGATATGTATCAGACACGACGTAAATTTGATGTTCTGAGGGGATGAAAAAGCGTCACGTGCGGATTTCTCAAGGATACCATGCAAATATAAATATCAAAACATAAAAACATGATAATATTATAAAAAATATCGCTTTTGTTTTTTAATTTTACAAAAACACAAGAAAATAAAGTTAGAAATCGTTTTACAAAAAGCCATCCAACTAAACCCCGGAAGTTGTTTTTTGCAAACGTGCAATATTTTAAAAATGCAAGATAAAAAAAAAACCACCGAAATGAAATGATAAAAAATATATAAGCCACGCTACCTTTAATTTGTTCAGTTGGGGTGTCTGATCTGAAGAGCGCGGTTTCGTGGCGCGACCCCACGCTGAAGCAGATCTGCACTGTCGTGGGGAGGTCCATGGGCGGACGGCGAAACTCATCGTTCAAGGCCCTTCATCAGCCCGCGACCGCTCATCCTCAACAACATATGCAGCTTCATTTGGATACTGCAAGCGAAAAAAAAAAGAATAAATATTCAACCAACCCAACTAGGACTTGCAACTAGCACATTATTAAATTCCAGCGGCGCTAAATTAGCAATTTTCAATTTGAGCCTTTATTCGCGACCGAAAGCATAAAACCGAGGTGTTCTACTGGACCTCAAATAAAAGTTAATTAAATTTCATAATTAACACACATTATTCTTGCACCATACGCTGGCTGTTGATACGGCTGCATTGTTGTGGTAATTAAACTGGTGTACATGGTGTGTGCACTGTAAATTTTTTCCCAATGCGTGTTGTGGTCCAGGCGAATGCGACCAAATCGAATTGACTCCGACGTTGTTATTTACCGGCCAACAATATGTGTCTCGTTATTCGATTTTCCACGCAAAAAACAACCCCGCCGGCATTCTGCATGTAACAAAGTTTAGTCAAACAAATGAATGCCAGCCAGCGATAACCAATTATTTTCGACTGAAAGATATCAACATCATCCACGCTAGTGCTACGCTAGTAAATCAATGAAATGGAAATTAAAGCGCGCGAGTAAGCAGCGATTATTCTGCGCATGCTGTATCTAATTTTATGTGCAAATTTTGCGCCAGCCATACTAATTAATTCCCATTTTCACTGACCGAGGTAATTGTGCGCGGAATAGTTTAAAATATTTAAAAACTACGAATGCTATTTGAATACAAACAACGCAAAATTCCAGTCTATTCACGGCTTTAACATCAAACAAATCAAATCAATTGCAGACATTCCGCGAATACCTTTAAACCCTTTTCGAAATGTCTTCATGCGCATCTCAAAATGAGATTCCGGAATGAATGAATTATTCATGACGAGCATTGCCGACTTCAACTTTACGCTGCACTTATTTAAAGCTCAAATAGGCGAAAAAACGAGGAAAACAAAAAAGAAACGAATTGTCATTGCAGTAATACGGTGCCCGCACTGAGTTTGCGTTGGGGAAAACTTTCCATTATTCCATTATGTGTTTGTGTGTGTGTGCTGCGTTTCTATCGTTAAAAGTAAGTCGTCCGTGTTTTTAATGTCGCTGCAAATGTTTAGTGTTCAGGAGTGTACTCTGGATAATCACTGCGTGGGCGTATAGTGAATTTCTACGTTTCCAGTAAGTAGGTAAATAAAATCAAGTGCAATGACAATAAAAACAAAGTACAACATGCAGAATAAGAAATTTTGCATTTTTTATTTTTCTTTAGAAAGTATTTTCGATTCTTGTTATTTTAAAATGTTATCTTAAAGAAAATTTTCCGTAGAATGAGAATCATCAATTCATTTATCTCTATCTCTTTTAGTTTAAAAGATAATCGCTTCTGAAAATTAAGTAAAAAATGCAAAAACTCATAGTTTCCTAGAATAATATAAATATGTTTTAATATATCACACCGCTAGTCTTAAATATACTACGTAATAATCTGTAGAGAATAAATCCAAGCACGAACATCTCGTTAATTTCGCATGTTCTAAAATTTGAACAACTATAATTCTGATTTCTAACACAAAACTTTCCGCAATTCTCTAAAGTTGAAATAATTTCACAATGGCCTGTAACAATCGTAATTTATGAAAGTTATTCATGTAGATTAATTATGTTGACAGTATATTACGCAAATAACTAACCGGTGAAACACAACCGCGTTCGTTAAAAAATTCATCTCACATGACTAACTATTATAAACCAAATGAAAACTTGTTTTCCAGGAAAAAAATATAATGAAAAATGCAGAAAAAAAGTTTACCAGGCAAACCGATTTGAGCGTTTCAGCGTTTTCAATTTGCAACATTTACCAACGCCGCCCGGCTCCTCCACCCAATATAGCGGCGCAACAACAACGAACGCAATATTTGAATTCTATTTCGGTTAAAGTTTGTCCTCGCGTTCGCTGCACAGCTCGCATCAATAATGCCGTATTACGTTCGGCGGCGAAAAACGAAAATAAACACGATAAACACCTACTATAAGATGCTTTATAAAGCTAATATTGAAACGCGCTATTTTTAGCCATTAATAACATTTAAAACATGCAATTTTTTTATACATAAAATTTTAAATATTCTAGAAAAACATAATTCATTGTGGCACGTGTCGTCAATTTGATCCCATCATGCCGCATTATATTATTCCATGTTTGTCCCCATTTCAAATGAAAGCCGTCGCTTAACGGCGTCTCATTAACTCGCAACAACCCCATTCCGCAAACGCAGGCCTAGCGCCGGCAGGAATTTAAATGTTTGCGCACCAACAGCTTTCAGAAGATGTGAAAAAGTTCAAATATTTCCACAATGCCGCTGCCACGTTTGCCGGAATTGCGTGCCGTGCATACTTTTCAAATAAAAAAAAAATAGAAAATTGAATCGTTGAATCGTGCTAAACTCGTAGATCAATGCCAGTCATCATAAATTCGAATCTGTTCACTCAAGCGTAATAAACCATAGATTATTTAATTTTTATTTTTATTTTTTCTTCATTATTATTTGAGAATTTCGCTAGTGTAGCTCCAAAATTGTGTTACAAAACAATAAGGTCAACTTTATCCGCAGATTTATAGTATTTAAGAGATTTTAGTTATAATAGAATATCGTAAATACATAAACCAACAAATAGTGACAGCTCTAGGGGCCCAGAGACCCCACGCTGTGTCCAATTCAACCCCGTTCCCGATTTGGAAATGTAGCGATACACATTATGATCGACTACGCTTTTGTTAGAGAGCTCTCGAGGCATTGAATGGGCGGATGGATTACAGTAGACACACACGCTCCGGCAGCCCCAATACGTATTATTAAACGTAAATATTGATTTGGCCCGTAATATTTTCCACCTGCAATTCAGCACCAACTGCCGAAATTGCGAGATATTCTCGGATAACAAAAAAGAGATTGTCTAAAGCTGACCGTATAAGTAATATTTATATAGTAAATTGTTTTTATTGAAACTTACCGACATATTAACAAATCCATCCAATTGGCATAGTTTTATTGATATTTATGCAAAAACGCCAAAATTCTGCAACAAAAATTTACAATAAATTATAGTAAACATGTATTTATTACATTTTCATTAAATTGGAACAAGAATAAAATTATTCCTGGCAATATTTTACATATGCATATGTTATGTGCTATTTGAACTGTGAGTGTAGATAAATTCTATTACAAAATACTTCCGGTAAATGTATGACTATGCACTCAATCAGTGCACTTATTCCGCACTCAAAGTAAGTATTTTGTGTCGGTTTCCCTCTAGCAATTATTGAATAGACATGTTTCATTATTCTGTGGTCGCTCCACAATCTAATAGCGTTTCTAATGACATTATGTTATCCATAGTTACATTATCGGGAAATACAGACGGTGGCAACCTTGACGCTAACCAAATTTAACAATTTACAATCATATTAGAACATTTCACATCTCTCATCAAAATATGAGACTTTCTCACTTAATACTATTACTATAAAGTTCAACTTTGTAATTTCACTCCATTCCCCTATTTAAAATTATAGAATTTATAGGAAACTAAAGTTCTAAGTGAATTTATTTTAAGAAAAATACTTTATAAATAGAATTGATTTACATAAGATGAAAATGAAAGTAATTAAAATGTACTCCTAGTGTTCTGTTTGACAGTTTCGTTCCAACTCAACAAAGGGTGAAGGCGTTGAATTGTCAAATACGGAAAATTGAGTTTTATCTACTCACTGCTCACAATATGCTTGCTGCTACATCGCATAGTTTGCCTCCCTTCAACGCCTTTTATTCCCTTGTTCTCTTTGCTTTCATTCGGTTGCGCAAGGAAGTTACAGTTTCTGGCCCCAAAGCTGCAAACCCTGCTCGATTTGCTTGCGGCAAGCGTGTGTGTTTGTGTTTGTGTGTGATGCGTGTGTAATTCGATTCCGAAAACGTATTTTGCGACATTAATTGACTACCACATCGCTGTGGTCAGTGGGGCGCTTTTATTATTGTCCGTAATTAGTTTGGGAGGTGCAAGAACAAAAGGACAAACCATATGTGATCACTATTTAAATAGGAAATTACATTTATCTACTTAGTTTTTGTACAATAAAAATGTTTTCCACCCTAGATAAGTAATAATCTTTTTTATTTTCCACTAGCTGTTGCCCGCGACTTCGTTCCGGCAGTGTTTAATAAAACTGTAATTCATTTTTACTCTCTTGTTCTAGACATACTCGTAGTAAGAGTCAATTCTATCAATAAGATTAGCAATTTTAATTTAAAGAAATTATGCATATAAAGTTTTGTCAATAATGCACTTCAGCGCGCCATCTCGAATTCAACTATTTAACTATAACTATGATTGAATCTCAATGTCAAATTTTATTCTATAGAAAAGAGCTGTTTTGAGGATTTTCCCGGCAATTATTCGAATTTTTCTCACCTTTTAAACCTTCCCTAGACCTCCACGAATAATTCAAGACCAAGATAAGATAAATCCGTTCAGCCGTTCTCGAGTTTTAGCGAGACTAACGAACAGCAATTCATTTATGTATGTAATATGGGTTGCATACGTTAAAATACATGCTACGCTACTGGATCCAACAAGATTGAGTAACAATAAAAGACTTTGAGGTCGCCAGTAACCCGTTGAAGCACAAATACTAATATTAAACTAAAGTTGATATCCGAAGCGTGTCCAATACGCTTCCCTTTGAGAGCGAATCCATCTAAGGACCGATGGAGAGGAAATTTCGACGACAAGTTTAATTGGGTACCGTAATTACGCAACTGCTTCGTGCTCCCGGCCGCGTTAATGAATAATTATTACTTTGACATCAACGCAAACACAACAGTTACTAATTACTTTCGAAAAGATCGCGCCGCCAACATAAAAATACCGCAATTTAATCAATCATCGCGCACAAAACATTCATGCCTGAGATAAAAACCTGAATATTCGTAATAACGCCGGAAACAAGTAGGAAATTGGTAAATCAACTCGCCATTCTCATCCGGCCGCTTTTTTTCATTCATTATCCACGTTTGATGTCTCGCAGATGAAAAGCAAAAGTCAAGGAAACCCATATCGGGGAAATGATATAATCAAAACGAGCAAGGCGGATGTTTACTGCAAATCTTAAGGGTGAACAGTGAATCTAATCCCGAGCTGAATGCATGAAATTACAAGCCACAAAATAAAAATGTTTGTTATTTACTCTAAAGTAATATTTCTGCATTGTTTTCCACTCTAGATGCGTAATATTAATTTATTACCTTCCGCTCTTTGTTTTCTGCAGCTCTCATCGATTTTTCCTTCCACTGAATAAAAATGATTGTTAATAATGTGAAAAAAATGAAAACGTTTCAATATTCTCCATCATCTAGTGTTCACATCGCACATGAGTGTGTACCACTCGGGCAGATTACGAAGCCCACCAATGGTTGCCAGGAGACGCTGGAGAGCGCGCCGGGCGCTCTCATTGTGCGAATGCGTGTGACGTCAAGACTCGACGTCGGCGTCGCGGCGCCTGCAACATATGCTGATGTGGAAATTATGACTACTGACGTGCAACTGATTTTACAATCCGCACAATTCACAATCACAATTAGAAGCGTCGACCTTTTTACAATCTGTGTCACGCGCACAGCATTCAACCCTAGCAGGTATTTGTGCTGTTGTTGTAGATTCTATCCAAAGGTTGCTTTTAAAGCGCTCCGCTTCTATTCGGTCTGTCATGTTACGTTAGTGAGGATTCTTGCGAATTGCGAAGCGGAAAATCATTCATGTCTGAATCGACGTGTACGCTTGCTCTTTCATTTAATGTTTGATTGACAAACGTAAATTTTATTTTTTCAACGCATTTTTATAGAAATTGTTGGTTTTAATGAGGAAGAAGAGTTCTTGTGGGAAGCTGAAAAGGATGTAATCTTGGGTGACACATTTACAGTCGATTTCCGCGCAGCGTGAAAAGCGGTGTACCTACATATGTTTGTTTGTGACGCTTTTATGCATAAACCATTTAAGCAATTTTGATAAATTTTTGTTTGCAGATATTTTGGACCTTGGAGAATAACATAGACTACTTTTTAGCAATAAAATATTAATTTTTCGCATATTTTTTTACAAAAAAGCAAAAAAAAACATGAAAAATATATAATTTCAATGTTTTTAATAATAATTTTAGATTAATTTATATTCCTATTTAATAATACCTCATTTAACATTCAATGACTTTGAATTCCTGCGAAATTGAGGAAAAAATAATAAAGAAGCAAGAGTAATCGCTTTATAAATCGACTGTTTAAATGAGATCCGAAACAAGTTACTTAAACTAACTTGGCAATTTCATCCACCATCGAATCGCCGCCGCCGCCGCCGTCGCTGTCGCCGTGGCAGGTTGATTTTACTAGGCTTTACTAGGCCACGAATTGCGTGCCGTTGGGGCGGTGTAATCTGATACGCGGCAAAGTAGCGACAAAGTGGAATTGAGAGAAAAGAAATCGTCGTCGGCCGTCGTCGATGAAGCAGAAGCAAGCAGCGAGAGAAAAAAAAAACACAACCGAAACGTTTTGAGTAGAAAGTAGAAGCGAAATTAGGAAAATCAATTACGTGCCATATCTCTTCTAGACGTTGAGTTGCAAACCCTCGGCGCACAGTTTCCTTGGAAACAATGCGCTCGGATTTTTTCCTGCGACCGACCACGCTATTAAAACAACTAAAGAAGTTTGTGTAGGTAAACACTCTCTGAGTAAATAAATTATTCATTTCCATTTCTCATTTTTTTCAAATCAATTTTTTGTCATTTGCTCTGCAAGTGGAAACACGAAGCGCAGGTACCTACTACGCGGCACTCCGGTAGTTATAAATAATAAATTGCATGCGGGACGGTTCATTAATGCAAAGGGGTTAATTTTGAAGTGACTGAACATGCGAATATACAATGCAAGATTGAGTAAGTACTAAAATTGATAAATGTATTATTAACACGGAACGTGTTCGGGTACATCGACTAAAACACACAATTATTATCGTCATAATAGGTAGTACTAAATAAATAAAAACTTTGATTTCACAAAGAGTAGATATTTAATTTAGAGCGAGCCAAGATTTACTAACACCGGAATTGAATAAGAATGTTGTTACAAGAAATGAAAACAAGTTTCTATGAGATATCTTCCCGAAGTGAACTGTGGCGCCATCTAGAGGTAACTCATAGAGTTATACTTAAGTACGCTTAAACAACAGCCACGCTTAAACGAACGCAGCTCGCTGATAAAAACAAACAAGTTTATCACAAGAAAAGAACCGATGGTGACGAAATATTGTAAAACTATTTAAACATTCAAAAGGAAAACGAAATATCACTGGAATCAATTATTTAAAATAAACTTTTGCATCCGAAGAGAATGAATGAATAATAATCCAGTCGAAATATTTTATGCATTTATGTAAAAATTATAAGAGAAAAATGGTTTTCAAATTTGTTTCCAAGATAAAATTAAACATTTAATAAAGTTTGTGTGCAAATTCATTCCGAATTATTTAATTTACCGTGTTATTTTACACGAACCCAAGAAACATCTACCTGATATTGTTGTTGATACGAAAAACACGTTTCTTTGAGATAACTCTGTTGACGAATTGTGCCCGCATCGCGTGATCTTACACGGACACGACTATTGCCAGCGGACACTCACTACCACCAACAAACAAGAATTAAATGCAAATAAGTGAATACTAGCGCCATCTATGTCATAACTATATAACTATAAATAAATTCAAATATTTCACGTTTTTCACCAATTTATATATTAATTTCGCGATAAATAATAACCCGGTCAATTTCCATGATATTTAATTATCTACACAAAAATTTATCAAAATTCCAACGAGAAAAATTAATTTCACTGAATAAATATTGTCCTTTGACGAATTATATTTAGCATCAAATTGCATTTACTCCCTGAAAAGAATAAACATGTTTTGTTTATTATTCTCCGTATAAATATGACAGCAGATATCATGTCCATGTCAAACGTGTCCGAATGAAAATTTAATCGTGCACGCAGCGCGCATTACGAATGCAAAAGGTAACAAGCAAGGAAATAGCGCAGGAATAACAAATGCAAGCCAACACCACCACGCGAACGGGCTGCGAACACAAACTCCAACGTGCCGTATTGGAATATTGATGATAGTTGTCGTGGAAAAGGGCCTGTAAAATAGAAATGTTGCTTCTGATACGTGTGTGGGCGCGCACCCCGCCCTCCGGCAGCTCGCTTACCAGAGGAATATTTAACAAACGATAATTGATATTCGAATTTCGATTGGTTGCGGACCAAACAAATATTGGATTATTTTTATTGCGCTGCATTCGGTGGCAGACGAATTTGTGGGGTGATGCGTGTAATCAAATAAATATCGCGAGGGTGAGAAGCAGGAGGAGCAGCAGAAGGGCTAATTAATGTTGGTGCGGGAGTCAATTATGCGAATTAATCGACTTTTAGTTAGTTGCTGGCGTGCGCACACACGCCAGCTGGAAGTGAATATGATGATAAATGATTTGTATTATCCCTGGGTTACAATCGATTCGCACCAAGGCGGCACTTACACGAAACAAATAAATATTTATTACCTAATTAATTAACTTTCATTTGTACGCATCATCTTATATACTCTCGAGTGATGTTTTTGGCAATAAAAAGATAAAAAAGAGGAAAAATGTCGTTTGTTTTGAGAAAACGACGAAAAATATTTTTAATTGAAGCAATTGTGAGGTAGAATATTTTTTATAGACATGACATCGATGGTAACATCCCTAATAGTATTATAAATGCGAAAGTCCTGATGTTTGTTACACTTTCACGCAAAAACTACTTAACAGATCATCATGAAAATTTGCACACATATTCTTAGTGGCCCCCAAATGGTTATAGGCTACTTTTTATTTAATAAAAAAAATTATTTTTTAAATAAAATAAAGAAATTGTTTAGCCAATAATACCTCTGCATCTGGCTATTTGACTACTTTAACGCCATCTAGCATTCCAGCAATGACACTCAAACCTAAGTACTATAGTACCATCACACTGTATTATCACACTGTATTACCGACAGCTACGTCAACATCAAATCCAATTGACTACACTATGGAGACTGTACACTATACTTCCATAGACTATACTTTCAGCCATTTTAAACTTCCCGCCATTCTACTTCATTGTTACTTCTTCTGTGACTACAGACGCGTACGGAAGCAACTTCATTATTTTAGATATTCGCGAGCGAAGCCAAGGGTTAAAGCTAGTTTGAAATATTGTTGTGGTTATGCAACCCAACATACACACAAATTACAATGCATATTTCTATAACTTATGCACGATTTTTCAGCTAATTTGTTGTGGTGCACGTTGCATTACTACAAAATTATTTAAACAAAGCACAAGTGAATACAACTGAGCGACGCGGAATTCATATTTAGACTTCAGAAATATTTACCGACATTTTTCCTATCATAATTGAGTTTATAACCGGCTTACAAAAGATTAAACAGTTGCCTATCCGCGTAAAACCTCAATATTTGGTTATATTTATATACATAACCTAAATTTTGCACTCCTGATGTTATTTCCAATATTCTAAATTCATTTCTACATTTGAAACCGATTAAGTCATACTAATTACGAGCATTGTTCCGTCGTCGTCACGAGCAATTGAATATAAATTGCGTGTGAATACTGTTTGTATTTGAATCGAATTCGAAATGTACGTGATTTCAATCCAGTTATGGCGAACAATTTCGCTACACTTAATCCGAACGCACACGCCCAACTTGTGTTATAATCAAGTCTTCCGCCATTAGTCGCTTGGGCGCAGTCCGTGCAATCTTGTCAGGGTCTGCATTACCGCAAAACTCAATTGCGCACGTAATTAATAACGACAATCAAATAATCAAACCAGCGTGACTATCCTCCTCCGCATCGAAAACAAAATAAAAAAAACTATGTTTATAAAACTACTAAAAACTTTCAGACTTTGAAAGTGATAAATATCCAATATCCAAGAAGCTGTTCACCCCAATTTCACCCTCTAAGAAAATAATAAAAAACTTCTCAGCGGAGTAAAAATAAAGTGTAAACTGTGTTTGTGTGCTTCTAATATAAAAAATACAAACCGAATAAAAATTATTGACTTTTTCTCCTTCACTTTCGACCCAGCCGCGTGCATTATTCCCTCAATTTCACCCTCGTTTGGACATCTAGGCGTAAAATAAACGCGCTCGGACAGTTTCATCCCGGCGACGCGGAAAACACCCGAAAACAAAGCAAAAAGCTGCGTAAAGCTCACACCCAACATGCACATTGAACGTTCATCCTTTTCAAATCGAGATGAAAAATGGTCCCGAGCGAAGGAAGCTTTTAAAAGCCGAAGAAAATTTTAAACCAAAACATTCATCACCAAAAACTAACTGAACACCACTTAAAGTATTTTTATTTCTAAAAAAATCATCAATTTTAAAAAATAAAAATTACCAAGCTCATTACCAGAAAAATAACATATCCAGACATAAAAATATCCCAAAAATTCAACATAAATATTTTTCCTGGCTAACAAGACGCTTTATTAAAGTTCCAAAGCTTCAATAGACTAGTGCAATTGACGTCCTTCGACAAGTCCCACTTATTTATGATATGAACACAATAGGAACCATTTTAATGGCCTGCTTCACCTGACGCATCATTCCCTCCCAAAAAAAAAACTCTCATCCCCATGGATAAATGTATTGAATATCATATTTCCCATCGAATTAGCACGTAATAAATTATCCAGAAAGAGTGTTCCGATGTTGAAATAAATAAATTTATGACATACCTTTCTCATAAAATAATATGACTGCGGCTAGTTAGTCTTTATTAACTTTTATAGCTGTATAAAAAAGGGCCGTAAAGGTAACTAGCGGCAACAGATATTAAAAATGGTGCGACTTTTATTTTAACTACTCATAAAATATTACTCTCACCATTTCCATTCGCTTTTTATATTTTTATAACTCTTATAAAATATATTTTTAAATGTTATTTATTTTACGAATCCAACTAATTAGCAGTGTTTATTCACGTCACCCACGCAGGTCGCTTAAATTAAATATTTCTGATTTAAATGTGCGAAAATCTAATCAAGTCCGGAGAGTTTTCCACTCGCCTTTCAAGCGCGAACGGTACAATCGACTTTTCGTTTGCGCGCGCCCCCAGCCGCACGCCTCGCCACCCCGCGTCTTGCCGACGCTTTTCTTTAAATCTACATTCGGATAGCGCATTTGCTAAAAAGGTTCGAGAATTCAGAATAAAAGCGACTGAGGAGGGCAAGGTTTTTTGATTTTATTAAAAAGTCTCGAGATTTGGATGAGCTGAAATTTTAATATTGCCTAAAAGGTAATCAAATCGAAAAAGGAAAAGGGGTTGCTCCATTAAATGCAAACAAAAATCGGAATAAAACCGAAACTAAATATATAATATCGGCGCCTCCACCATTTCGGTAAATTTACATTAAAAATAGTTTTGAGATGTTTATGCATGAATATAAAGTTGTAAATTGGTGAGTTTTCTAGTTTTAAATTAGAAAAATAATTACGAATGGTAACAAGCCTTGGATTTGATAATTATGTAGGCTAATTAGTCGCAAACATGCCGCGTCGAATAAAATGCTCGTAAACAACCGAAATGGTCTTTATAATCAACTGCTAATCAACGGAATATCTTAAAAAACAGGTTATTGCACTCTGGCAGTCAATTTATTTACAAAAACATAAATTATTAGCTCAGTATTGAAGTGAAAACCAATTTTATACAAAAATTTTTTTCAAAAAAGCCAAAAAACAAATTTTACTCCAAAAACTAATTTTTATATTTTCTATTATAATAATGCATAAAAAATAAACAATTGTGTTATGTGTAATTATGCAGTATGTCGTTGTTGTTGTTTTGGCATGCCCGCGGGTGCAACGACTGATCTGACCAGACTACCTTGAGACCTTTGCATTCCTGCGAAACTGCATGCCAGCAAAGGCCGTCTCGCGGTCGAACTGCACCACACACACAAACATCAACACACACGCAAGTAAATGCGTAAGATTAAAACGCAACTAATCTACACGGCTGCACACCGCGCCTAATGAATTAAATTGGAAAGTTACGATGCTTTCAACCGAATTTACCCGGCTAAAATCTCAACTTTTACATCAAAGCGAAATTCGCTTTGGATAAATTATTGACGCTTATTGGCAAACAAACTTGTACCGCGCCAGCGCCGTTAATTACAAATCACAAACGTGCACATTTTTAACAGGTCGATTAAAATATTATCAAAGTTATAAAGTTTGAGTTAGAGTTAAAGTAAAACGGTTAAGAATTTACGGAGTCAATGTGAGTTTTGTTTCTGAACGAGTTTTACGAGTAGCAGTCGATCGGAAAGAATTGCATTGTGTGGTAGTAAATGGAAGCGAAAAATAGAAGAAAATAAAAATCAAACTTTCAAGCACCGTTACTCGTAAAATACCCGTAAAACTTATTAAAGTATAGATTTGTAAGTAGTTTCAGGTGTTTTTAAACTTTGATTTATTTTAATAAAAAATCTAACCTCAAATCAAAAAACGCGACACTAGCGACACTCACAAATGTATTTTGGGTTGCATACCACAAAAAATACATATTTTTAAACCTATTATCTATATAAATTAAAAAATTAATTTTTCAGTATCTGTTTCCCTCCACAAAAGTTTTTTTCTTCAGTTTGAAGTCAATAAATACATTTTTTCTCCCGGCGTCTAAATTAAATCACAAACTTGCTCGAAACACTGTCACCGTCAGCAATATATCATCACTTACACACACGCATCAACACACCAATCAATAAATCAATACCATAGTACAAACAACAACAATTATATCACATATTTCCACACAAGTATTTTTTCACATTCCCTACATAATAAAATATATCACAAAATATTACCTTATAGATTATTTTCGCTGATGTGGATGCTGATGATGTTGATGATGATTATCTGCAACAAAATAAAAACTATTGTAATTATTTGCGCGGCAGTCACTTGGAAATATCAGCGTAATGAATAAGATTTTTTCGTGTCGCTGTCGACACGCGACGTTTCATCTTACAGCAATGTGTGATCTATGTTCGTGGCGTGTGGCGAAAAGGGAAGCAAAAGAATCAAACTGGGTCGGCCATTGTGAGCGCGCGCGACGCATGGAGGTAATTCCGACTTAGACATCACTAAGTGAAATGACGGCAATCGACATTTTCATCAATTGTATCACTATCGGGCATGATCTGTGCTAGTTCACAAATAAAAACAAATTCAGACTAAATTTTTGGTGATTTTAGTTGTCGACTAGTCAGTTATTATCCGTTACTAGCGGCTTCGCTCGCGAATATTTAAAATAATGAAGTTGCTTCCGTACGCGTCTGTAGTCACAGAAGAAGTAACAATGAAGTAGAATGGCGGGAAGTTTAAAATGGCTGAAAGTATAGTCTATGGAAGTATAGTGTACAGTCTCCATAGTGTAGTCAACTGGATTAGATGTTGACGTAGCTGTCGGTAATACAGTGTGATAATACAGTGTGATGGTATTATAGTACTTAGGTTTGAGCTTCATTGCTGGAATGCTAGATGGCGTTATAGTAGTCAAATAGCCAGATGCAGAGGTATTATTGGCTAAACAATTTCTTTATTTTATTTAAAAAATATTTTTTTATTAAATAAAAAGTAGCCTATGACCATTCGGGGACCACTAAGAATATGTGTACAAATTTTCATGATGATCGGTTATGTAGTTTTTGCGTGAAAGTGCAACAAACATCAAGACTTTCGCATTTATAATATTAGTAGAGATATACATGTATTGATTTTTGTGAATAAATTTTGGCTAAAAATACGTACAATGAGAAAGAAAACGAAAGGATAAATGGTGGAAAGAATTATCCCTTATCCTTTCGATTCCGTCAAGCCCGACACCAGCGTAATCCGTTTATAAGGCAGATTATAAGGGTCTAATAATACTTTATAATAGAAATTGACCATCAACAGATTACGGAACGAGCGGGAACGAGTGCGAAAAAGTGACAACTGGGTCGACACCGAAAATATACGCGTTTTATCGAATATTCCGAAAACACCGCAGCTTATTTAAATTCTTACCAAGTTGAGCGCACATGTGTTTTCACGCTTTCTCGAGTTTTCAGAAGGGATAAACATAAATCCGATTAGAAAAATTGAACAAAAAAACCACAAAAATTTCACAAAATTTTCTTTTCTTGCAATTAACTAAAAATTTATTGAATTTAAAACCCGCGTATTGTGCAACAAATTGCCACATTTTAAATACTTGCGACAACGAAATGGAGCATGCCAACATTATTATGCATGCTAATTAGTGTGTGGTGCTTTGCATTTTAATTAAGCTTAAATAGGCTTCAGCTTCGGCGCGCAAAATAAATCGTCACGTTGCGTGTAATTAATCCCTTCGCCATTCGCGCGGATTGTAAACGCATGAAATATTTATGAATATTTTAAAATGTTCAGGCGTAAATATAACTATAGAAAGTACAACCCCTGTGAATGTGTGTTGTGTTTGGAGAGGGAGTAAAATGAGTTTTCTTTTCCGGTTCAACTTCACTTGATACATGACGGCTGTGCTCAGCTATACTCAACAAACAAGCAGCGGGAAACGGCGAAGAAAACTCGACTCGACTTTCATTCCGCTTCGCGGACCTCGGCAATATGCGAATTTGCGATATTCATATTCAGAGAAAAATATACATAAGCAACTTGGACGCCCACTTTGCCATCAACCAAGTTTAACTGCACTCGAAAACTCACATTCACGTTGTTATTTTCCATTATTTTAAAGAAAATGTTTTGGATTTTACGTTTTAAATGCTTAAAATTAATTTAAAAATAAAATATTTTGTTTAAATACCATGAAATCATCGTGAATTCCATTAATAATCCAAAAACTTTTGAAATTTTCTTCTAAATTGCAAATTTTAGCCGCAAAACTCAAAAAATAAAAAATTTTTCTAAGTTTTTCCAAAGATTTTGATCCCCAAAGCACAAAAAATGAATTTTTACAGTCACGTAGCTTAAGTGGCACGATTGGCGTATTAAAATAATTTTTTTAAACATAAAAAATCAATTTTTTCTATTTTCTGAAGCAAAATCTTACAATTTAAAAGAATGTGAAACAGATTGATGATATTTGTTATCATATCACAGCCTCAACGTGATTATACACACAAGGTTTACGCACAAGCACAGATGAGGCGTGTAATTTATATAAATTCATGGTAATGACCTAATCAATCAAACGCGGCGCGCGCGCTGAATACGACGAGGATGATAATAATAATAAAACGGCGCGTACTTTAGCCACACGAGATGATGTATTCAAATACTTTAGCTATAGCTCATCATTGAGTGGCCCTTCGTCTTTGCCTGCTCTCGATAACGCGCACAATGGCGGACATTCATCAAAGGTGGCGCTGTAAACTCGCTACTTTTACCGCGCCACCGCGTATAAATAATAGTATTGTTCGTGGGGCAAAGCATGTGATGAATGAGTTTTTAAGGTTTTAGATTTTTCACTAAAAGAAAAATCTGGGTGGAATTCACTTTGCATGAAACTTAGGAGTTTCGAATTTAACTGCAACCGACTCGCCCTTAACATTCGCAAGTTGTGAGCGCCGTGAGTTCAAAGCATATTGTCGGATGTGGGCACACACCGAGAGCACCTAGAGCGGCGCGCCGCGCACGCAATCGATAATTCACTTATTTCGGTTTTGTTTACAACCGTGTGCTGGCTGGTACATCCTTTATGTCAACTGCGGTACGTAAACGTGAAGCACACAAAGCGAACCACTTCAATTTAAGTTCTGCGTTTCTGAATGCAAATAGAATTAAAACCAGACAAGCACACCACAAAACAAGAAAAATAAAAAATAGAATATATTGTGATGAATATTATAATTATTTCAAGTTCAAACCGCGCTTTTAATTTCAGTTTAGTGTAACACCTTTGTCGTTGTTGTTTAATAGTTGTTTAAACGATTTTCACACCTAAACTATGAGTGGAAAACCGCATCTCATCAAAGTTACATGTGGAAAGGACGTCATTTTACAACTTTGTCATAAGTACATTAATTAGTTATAGGTGGAAAGGTGTTTTAAAATGTTTTAATTAAAATTTTGAGTTTAATACCGGTTTTTCGGTATTTTGAGACTAATACCGGTATTTTTAATCAAAATATCGGAATATCAGTTTTTTACGAAAGAAATTTCATATGAAAAAATACCGGTATTGAAAAAATACCGGTATTGAAAAAAAATACCGGTATTATCTATAATTAACTGTATCTAAGTGAGAATCTTAATTAAACCCAAAAATATATTCTCTAATGTGCATTCCGTCGCACGATCAATCACCCTTTATACCTCCAGCAATGGCTAATTGATTTATGAAACTTAATTGCCAAGGAACACAAACAGGGGCGCAAACAGGCCAAAGAAAACTTCGCAAACACGTCTGGCACACACCAGCCTACACTTTATCATCACACTACAAGCTGCGTCATCCGACAACCCCCTCCCCACGAGCACAGCGCCACCTATGCGCTCAAAAAGCACTCAAGTTGAAATAAAAATACGCCCCGAATGATTTGCAACAGATATGTAAGTAGAAATAAAAAGAAATGTTATACTTTCTATACTTAAAGTAGGCGCCTCGGCTCCCAAGTGCGGCATACTCGTATATTTCGTTACGTCTTGTTTGCCTGCATTGCTTATTCATCGGCGCTGTTTTCCAATTTCATGCTAGAGTGCAAGCACACAGTGTACACACATTGTGCTAGGGAGTAAAGTACAGCCAACCAACACTTGACAGCCGCTCCTTGGAGAGTATTAAGAGGTGATCTCGACACGATATTTACTCATGATATGTGTCGTTGGTGCAAATAATCTTCAACAATTTAGTTTAAGTATATCAAATGTACTGGAGCATGAAACGTAAAAATAAATAGGAAATTATATCATAAATATTTTGTTATATGATAGTTTAGTAACTAAAATTACAAAAAATATCCCTAGTGAGCTAGTAAAAGTGAAAGGTACGACTGTGCGATGAATTCGCGCGTTGACTTTTTAAACCTGCGACCTACCAGCAAATACTGGGAAGGGGAAGAGCGTCGGCATGTGATTGGTCGACTACTAGCGCTGCTAGTAACTCACTCGAACATCAGCGTTATACCGTACCCCACTACTTTTTGCTGGTATAAAAAGGGAACGCGCAGTGCACTCAACGTTCAGTCTTGCCTGAGTCGTCCCGCAGCTCTAATAAAATTTCTAATAATATTTACCGATGTATTCAATTAAAAACACGTTAAAATTCATTGAATTAAAAAATAAAAAATGCTATTTTCAAGAACTTAATTTAGATGACTTGATAATTTTTTCATAAATCCTGATACGTACAAAGATAGCACGTCTAGATGATAATCCTTCGCTTATACACGTCTATCCTCCGCGCATCCTTATCGCCACGGCGAACAAGTTTAGCGTGCACCTCATGAATAATTATAATAAAACCTCGGACCGTCGTCAGTTTTGCATAGTTACACATTTTAAACGATTTATGCAAATCCATGCGATGACTCCGCGCCGCATACCTATATCCACAAAATCTACATCTCTCTGGTGTTGTATTACGTCACAGTTTACGTTTACAACACATAAAACACCTTCGTACGACAGCGCGAAACGTCGATACATCACCGCCAATTAGTTTATTACGTGTAAGAGATTAGCATATTGATAATATTAACGCGTCGATAATCGCCAGTGTCAATAACCAATCTCGCTCGAATGCAATAAGCACACAGAGAAAAATTAGGTGCAAATGTTTATATCACACACACACACACACATATTTATACAGAGTGTTATTCTGATAATAACAACAATGAATTCCTCTAACGGCGGTTTAGTGTTACATGGCTCCGAGGTGGATTAATATTGTAACATTATCCTCTTGTTCAAGGGGCTTGAGACATGACGTAATTATTCGTGATTGTCCCTTTATCATCGGTCTCATCACTCAGGCGCTGAATTGCGCCTAGTGGACTAGTTAATTATTATCGCCCGGGGATTCGAGGAAAATTTATTTCGAAAAAATCATTCATTATCTATTCAAATGAATGGATGATGGAAAATTACGGGTTGAATTTCATTTCATATACGGAAATAAGACTTGAATGACGTCAAATTGCGTGTGAATGTAAAGTATAAATGCTGATAATAGTTTTAAAAATATCCAGGTGCAAATAGTCGTAGTGATTAGCAACTCTCAGTCGAGCACTCAGCGGTTTATTTGAGAGCGATTCTAGGGACACTTGAAAATACTTATTTGGGTTTAGGTTTGGGAGTGTTATTAATCTCTCATATTATGGGTACGCCTGTGATACGTTTGATTGTAATATGTATGTTTGTAATGCGACTACGCAAAAACCGCTGAACCAATTTTAATAAATTTTGGTTTGGTGATAGTTTAGACCTAGAAGAATAACATAGGCTAATTTTTATATCAAAAATTTAATTTTAAGAGTGTGAAAAATAGTTTGAAAGTTTGTGCAACAAAAATTAATAATTTTGGTATTTTGAGAATGTAACCCAAAAAACTCTCATCTCCAATGCTTTTAATTAATATTTGTTGAATAAATACAACTGCATTGCCAATGAAAATGCATCAAAAATGACCGAAAATATTTTCATCCCAGAGATTATGAATATTTTGATGCAGCAAATCAAATACGTGCTGTGAAACCCGGCTTCAAACGATTTCCAAAACCGATTGATGTTTATTTCCACATTTAATCCAAACAAAAATACATGTAAATGCGCATGCGTCGACTTTGATCTGTCTACCATCCGCACCACCCAAATAAAATCCAAAAAGCACTCTAAAACCTCACATTGTGTTGTTTTTTGCCTCATTTTTCTCCTACATTTGTGTTTTGTATGCGTGAAAAATTGAAATGATAAATGATGAGTAAACAGAGCAGGGCACGCACCACCCGTATTAAATTTAATTATATGAATAGTACCCACAACCCACATTTGTGCAACTAAACGTACAGAATGACTACGTGAACGGAATAAGTTCATTTCAAACAATGCCCAGCACACAACACGCGTGCGGTGTTATCTTTTGCATCAATTAAGCGAATGAAATGCACGGTATTATTATATTTTAAAAGCTAAAACAAACATGCACCACTGTTGTAGCAGCAACAACAACAACAATAACAACTATCAGTCAATAATAGAAAAAGAAATAAACGCAGGGGAAAATAAACGAGAAAAACGTTTTAAAGTTCGCTGCCTAATCGAAATTCAATTAAAAGTCCGGAAAGGTCGCGGTGCTGCTGTTGTGCTCTGTGAGGATCGAGAGCGAGCCTTCCGGCGACAACAAACGTCCGTTTCACGTGACTTAAACGAATTTACGTCTAATTCGAGCGCGACACGCGAAACACGGAAATTCCTTCATTTCACTTAATTGCATGCGCACCATCGGTTGACAAAATACTACACACACACTGTATCAGCAAATTAAATTCAAAATTCGACTAATCGGTTAAAATTTGATTTAAAAAAAAACCAAAGTATTCTTGATATTGGTTAGCCTTGAAAGTTGGTTATGTGTACTTAAACCCAACTTTTTTCTGCCCCAATTTGAATAAAATATGCGCATGCGTTTTAAATAAATTTGAAATATTTAAAAAGCGATTATCATAACACACACACCGCACAACTTGAATGCGCAAGTTATCAAGTTGTAAATTCAAACAAGGACGTCGCATGTTACACAAATAAAATTTAGAATTTAACAATTACATTAATTAAAGCCAAGTTAAGATAAAGAGATAAACAATAATAGTGGTCGACCTCGCGCCAATAAAATCCGCAAACTTGACCACAATACTTCTTCGCCCACCTCTCACACATGCACGACGCGTCGTGACAGAGTGTAAACGAGATAATAAAATAGTTGAGAGATTGAATTTATCTCGCGCACACCAACCGGAAACATAAATTAAGAAAGAATAACCGACAGACAGACACACAGACACAATCGGGCCCGCAGCTGCAATTTTTCTTCGCGGCGCGCACGCATCCACGCATTAACTAATCAAGTATCAAGCGAAATGAAAACAAACGCTATCGCTGTCCGCCGTATAGAGTTGAAGTTATGCTTAAGTCACGCAGCCATAGACACTTATCTGTTATTATGTCGACTTGACGCGCGCGTTTATTTACGAATTGCGATAATTACGATTTGTTTACATACAAATCGACAGTGTACATGAGTGAGTGTGCTACCTATCACTGGAAACATGTTTAGTGTTAGAATGCTATGTTGCTTAGTGTTTCAAGTTGCTTCTCCAATTATTTTTATCTACTGACTTAGTTAATTGCTTCAAACTCATAAACAGAATCAAATACAAGCAATTATCACATAGAATATTTTCTCAAAGACATGACATCGATGGTAACATTTGAAATATTGTTGTTATTATGATCCCAACATCCCTACAAATTGCAATGCTAATTTCTATAACTTAAGCACGTTTTTCAGCTAATTTGTTGGGGTGCACGTTGCATTACAACAAAATCATTAAACAAAACACAAATGAATTCAACTTCGCGACGTGGAATTCATATTTAGACTTCAGGAATTATTTACTGGCATTTTTACTAGTGTAATTGAGTTTATAACCAGTTTAGAAAAGATAAGTCACATGCGAATGCGCGTAAAACTCAATATTTGTATATTTTTCTTTGTTTTTTTTTGTTTCTAACTGAAAACCAAACTCTTCCACACTTACCATCAGTGTTATTCGAGTAATTGGCCTATTATCCTATTGGAACGTATTATCGGCGATTCGTTGACATTCACAGAAATATTACTTAAGCCGCTCAAGCGCAAATTGAATTGAATGAACACTGGATAGATTATTATAATACAAATGAAGCGATCAGATCAGACGCGTTACTGAGTCTAATTTAACAACGAGAAAACATCGAACACATACAACACACCAATACAAATCAAGATAAAACGCACGTGCGCTTGTTGCTTACCGTCTCTCGTCTTAAGTCACACACAACTCGCACTCATCGCGCACAATTTTCCACTCACACGATTTAAAATAGTTCTTGTTTATCGCCGGCAATCGTCACGCTTTGATTTGGTTTAATTCTTTACATTATACAAAGCAATGTTTCTGCTGTATCTACAACGCGTGGATATAATATATTTTTTATTCTGTGTGCGTTTAGAATGATTGTTTTGTATGGATAAGAGAAGTGTGTGCGTATCGCGGTTATCGCGGTCGGTCTCGTGTCTGCTGTGAACCGAGGAACGCACCGCGAGCGAACAAGGCGAACACGAGTCGAAAACTGGCGATGGCGAGTCGACGAGGGTTGAGGCGTCGTGCGTCGACGTCACGAACGCCAGCTTCGGCAGGCGTCGCGTATGCTCGTCAATACACGCCAGCAGGATGCCGTGAACTCAACTCACTGACATAAAAACAAAATAAAACCATCGATGTTGCATTTGTGTGTGGTGCATGTGTATCATCGCGGTTTTCCTGCACTACCGATGCATTTAACATTTAATCAACGAGTTGACGGCTTACACATTAGCGGATTAGTCGATACTCAATTCAATTCGATTATTTGTTCATTTGCAAATGCATCATAAACATTTCTATAGTTTTTTTTTAGTTAATATCACGAATATTGAACTGACCTTTGATACGGATGATAAAACTCCGATTTATTTGTAAACCAACATGGAAATTGTTCACCTTATGAATTAAATTGAAAAGAATTTAAATTATTACCGCTTAGATGCTTAATGTGAGTAGAAAAATAGATTAATATTGAATGCTGCGCTTGGTATGAATATCATCCAAAAGAAATTGAAGTTCTTCCTCCTCGAAACGCCCCTCAAGTGATGGAATCAAAGACTTAGCTTCATCTGTAGTAACAGGACATAAATTCGCAATTGCAGCCAACTCAAACTTGTGCAACTTCTTCTGCACCAAAAGACTGTAAAAACAAGTATAAACACACAAATTTAAACAATAATAAACAAAAATATACTTCCTAATAGCCGAAATGGTTTCTTTATTCTTAAACTTGCCAAATCGATCTGTGTACGTCGAAGCCTTCATAAAAACCTCCGAAAACTCCTGTTCATCCTCCGCAGACTCATTCTGCATCTTCCTGTGCTCCAACAACATATGCACCTCAGAAATCAACAAAGTCTCAGCGTTCTCAAACTCTATAAACAAATAAACATAAAAAATAACCAAATATATCTCGGAAAAATTTAATCGTTCACTTTCGGAACAATTTGCCCTTCGGAAATGAGAAAATCATACAATTTCCGCGTCTTATTCACATCGATTTTCAACAATCTCCTAGCAGTTAGCAGTTTTAAATAGCCTAATTTATTATTTTCTTGAATTAATATCTGTTTCAGGTCTAGATAATTATCTGGTGATAAACGAATCGTCCGACACAAGTCACGCTCGTTGGTGGTTATTTTTTCGTATCCGGGTAATCCGACAATGTCCAACGGGGTTAATCCACGTCGCTTCACACCCACATTCAGGGATACGGGCTGTTTATACTTGAAGGACAACTCGGAAGCCTGCTGGAAACGTTTTAAATCTTTCATGCAAGCTTCCCGATGCTTTTTTAATCGTAGATAAAGTTTCGCTTCTTGTAGAGTGCAAATTCCATGACGACGATATTCTATTAACCTAAAATATTCAATAAAACAACAAAATAAATCATTTTGAAGAAAATACAACCTTGACGTTTGCAGTTTAAGCTCTCCAATCCGATGTAAACCCTCCATCAAATAAACAAACTTCTGCCCAGTGTAGAACTGCATAAACCGCGTTAATTTATCACAAACCATTGGCGTGATCGTCGTGTAATACCTCTGCAGCCATGATTTTGTTTTCTGTGGCATAATCAAACCATGTTCACGAATCACAGCTTTCCTTCGCTGCCTTTCTCCTTGCCTCCTTCTGTATGCATTCAAAATACCAACTTGTAGATTACTCAATAATGCGTAATCAGCGTCAGATGGATTTAGACTATCTAATTTCGCCACCATATCCTCTGCGTTTTTATCATAATCATACTCAAAATCAGACCTGGCAGCTGAATAACCTGCGTAGACATTGTCATCACCTCGGATTGGATCAGGCACTTCATTTGTTTTAAATCTATAAGGCATAAGTGGTTTATACTGAACATTTTCTTGTAGTTCAATGTTAGGGAACTGATCAGACCCTGCTTTTTCTAGATAATAATGATCATAATGTTGTTTTAATTCATCAACACTTCGATGTGATAATACTGTGGATTGTTTTAATATACTCTGCCAGTTGCCATAGTTGAGTAAACCATTCAAAAGTGCTAGTTCTTCTTTAGCTGTCCAGTCAGTATTATCAAACAGATTGAAGTCATGGTTGATTATTTTGTAAGGATGATCGTTTTTGTGGTTGCGCATTTCAGCACCGTTGGCGAAACAATTGAGACAAAGTGTCTCCTGGCACTGCGCACATAAAATATACCTATCGGATAAATCAGTATCACAATTGCCGCATTTGTTGTCACATTTATTATTAAGTGTACTGCTAACTGCAGGAGATGCTTTGACTTCTGGAAGCACATTTGGTTCTCTAGGAAACTTGCAAATTCAGAATTTAAAGATGAGCACTTACCTTTTGGGAATTGCAGATCGGCGGCATCTTCTTCTGTTAAATCAGTGTTGGTTGGCAGAGACATTTTGGTGTAATTCACGTATATTTAGATGTAATTCTTGTTGATAATTTGTTTTCAAAGACGTGTTGTATACAGATTAAACGTTGTCGGGTAATAACCTAACACGGAATGAAATGTGTAAGCAAAGCCAACCCGGCGATATTTAATACAAAATGGTACAACTAGCGCCATCTGTACGATGATACGCAACTAAAAATTTGATTCTATACGCCGCCGTTGTTTCGTCGCATGAAGAATTCAAGGACAACTTTGACGCGAAAATAATAATCTTGTGGCAAATCGACTCATGGCCAAGTGATGTATACCTAATATTTAATACAAAATGACACAGCTAGCGCCACCTCTGTGCTAACACATAAAACAATCATTTTAACTTTTATTTTTATTAAATCCTTTTGGTATACTTTAAATTACTCAGAATATTAATATAATATTTGTAAAACATTAAAAACTACAACTAAAATTAGCATTAAAACAAAACAAGACACGTTGGCATGCTGGCAAACGTCGATTACTTATTAAAAAACATTAAAATAGTCAAGCAAATGACATTAGAGAGCTAGATCACATTTTTTGTTCTTCAATTGCTTCTTCTTCCATTTTTGCGCGCGTGGTAATGATGATTGTTCTATTGTCCAAAATTGCCGTCGGCGTGGAAGCCATCATGCGGATGCGAATCGTAATGGACCATTCGCAGTTTGCCATGCTTATCGTAATATCCATAATGTCCTTTTACATAACCGTCTTTGTTGCTCTCTTCGAATCTAAACTGCCTGTTGTGCCTACGGGATACAAAACAAACAAAATACATTTCCACATAGTCCAAAAGTAAGGTTAGAAATGTTGTGGTTACGTCAAATTTGACCATTGATAACCTCAACACGTGTTAATGTCAATGATGTAGTCACTTCTGCTAATAAAACGTGCAAACTTCAAAATTTGCAAAGCGCAAAACAAACAAGTTTAGCGATTTACATAAATTATTATATGAATATGAATAAAATTGAATGAGTCAATAGAGTTATGCAATACAAGCTCAGAATATTAAAGCTGAAGTATTTATAGACACGAAAATGATGAAGATGTAAATGTCGAGTTGATTTATGTTATAAGTCAATGAAAAATGTAAATGTTTTGTTTATTTGTGTATAGAAAGTAAGAAGCACTCAAGATTACCCTTTGCCGGTATCATAACCCCACTTGTAACTCTTGGGGCCATCATACCCATGCATTTGAAACTCGACCCGATCACCACCAGAATGACTAGCAGGATGATGAAGATTACCGGAATGAAATCCGCTTGCGGCGGGTACCGGTTCCCTTACCAATGGTTTATGATTTTGTTTTACCTTCTCGGCCTTGATCAACTTCTGATTCTCCAGTTTGGCGAAGTTCAGAATCGCCTTATCCTGCTGTTTCTGTTTGTTAATGTAATCCTGTACTTTAATGGGGACCAGGACCACTTCTTCTTTGGGTTTGTGTGACACAGGCTTTACTTTATCGAAGACAGCCTTGTCGTACTTCTTAGGATGCTGGTTAGTGGGAAGAATCTCCTTGGTGATTTCAATGGGTAACTCATAGAGTAAAGCGGGATCATTTTCGGGATTCCATGCTTGCGCGCTGGGGACCTGGAGATCTTGTGATGGCGCAGGGTAGTAAGCATCTTGTCCTTGGAAGGAGTAATCTTCAGGAGCACGTAGGTCTGTACTAGGAACAATGTAAGTATCGAATGGGATGGGGTCTTCTTCTCGGGGATTTGTAAGGTTAGGGAGAGCTGTGGAGCGTCGCCGCCATTTTGTGTTGCGTAATCGGGTACTTCGAGGAATTTCGATGGTATTTGTCGGTAACTGTCGATTGTTTCAGTTGCTGCGATTGTAATTGTTGCCAAAACGGTTATCTGAAGACGAAATAAAATCATTTGGTATCGTAACTCTTTTCTGCGCCATTTTAAGTTAAAACCAGTTGCTGAGTTTGTAAGTTGTCATGTTGACATTTCTTGTTGACATGTTTACAAGAAACTAGATATTTGTTACGCAAGTAAACTGGTATCAAAGAAAGCAGAGAAGCAGAAACATTTTTATTCTATTTCTGATGTGTACAATTGTAAATAATGCAACAAATTGTTGTAAATGAATAAACAATTTAATTTTATGGCAATTTCCGGAAGAAAATCTATTTAACAACCTGGGAATTTCAGAATACAAAGGAATAACTTCAATAAAACATGTTTTCATCTTATTTATAAAGTTTTTGAAGTGAAAAATGATAAAAAACGCTACAAATTGATATAAATGCATAAACAATTTAATTTTATACCAATTTCCGCAAGAAAATGTATTTAACAACCTGGGAATTTCAGAATACTAAAGAATAACTTCAATAAAACATGTTTTCATTTTATTTATGAAGTTTTTGAAGTGAAAAATGATAAAAAACGCAACAAATTGCAATAAATGCATAAACAATTTAATTTTATACCAATTTCCGTAAGAAAATCAATGTAACAACCTGGGAATTTCAAAATACGAAGGAATAACTTCAATAAAACATGTTTTCATCTAATTTATAAACTTTTTGAAAAGAAAAATGATAAAAAACGCTACAAATTGCAATAAATGCATAAACAATTTAATTTTCTATCAATTTCCGCAAGAAAATCTATTTAACAACCTGAGAATTTCAAATTACAAAAGAATAACACAAAGAAAACATGTTTCCTTTAAGTTTTTCTGTTATTCTCAATTTTTATGATTTGAATCCACTTACACACTATTATATTTATTGCGATCCGATCTAGTGACTTGGAATTACTTTCAATTTCACTTCCTTTCACTTTTACCCGACCAAAAAGACTCGGACTACTCGAATCACATTCATATATGGATTTTCCTGAGAACTTGTATTCATCACCCAGTAAAATAGTAAAACGCGACACAAAACTCGACACAAAACATTAATTCCAACCTATTCACTATTCACTAATAAATAAAGACCTTCAAAGTGTAAGTATGTAGGTAATAAAAGCGATTTATGACTTGCACTTGGTCAGTTCTTAGTCTAGGAATCTGCAGTAGTGAACTTGTTACACACCGGAACTTTCACTGTTTCATTGTGTGCAATTATTATTAACACACAGCAATGCCGGGAAAACTAGACCATTGAATTACACACATATCTGTATATTATATGTGTATTTTTATTGTTGAAATCTTTATTATTTTTAAATGTCAGTGTAAGCAACACTCGATTGTCTGTTGAACTTAGTTGAACAAACTGCTAAAGTGTGTGATAAATGTAGAAAGTTTGATGAATAAAGAGCGTTTAATTTATGCAAAACGTTTCTTTGAGTCAATGCGGCCGGTTTTTTTTGTTGGTGCTGTTTGTAAGTAATTACATGGCCACGAGCAAATCTAATCGATTATTAGATTTGCCGTTTTTGTTCCGCGAAAACGCTCGGCAAAGTTGGCGATCTCGGGAAAGCGATAATTACACGTTCATTGTTACGTTTAGTTTTCTTTTAATTTAGACGTCTATTGTCTGGGCACTTCCTTTGTTTTCTTGAGGCATATTTTTATGAATTGGAGTTTTAAAGTGTGAAAATAAGAAATATATAGAATTACATGATAAATTTATTGTTTTCAACGCCTGAACGCGAGAGTAAGAGATAAAAAGAAACAAACAACGGTTTAAAGAAGGAAACAACGTAAATGTGTAAGAGATAACTCTGTTCAAGATCGCGTGATTTCATACAGACATAATTTACGCCGTATTCTAAACGTGAGGTAAACAAACAAGAATTAAATGCAAATAAGTGAATACTAGCGCCATCTAGCGTCGATTTATAGAGTTATACTTAAATGCGCTTAAACATTAGCTGCGTGCAATCGGACACAAATCGCTTGTAAAAACAAACAAGTTTACTTCAAGAAAAGAACCAATGATGACGAAATATTGCAAATACTATTAAAACATTCAATAGAAAAACAAAATATCAATGGAATAAATTATTTAAACTAACTTTTGTATCCGAAAAGAAAATTAATAACCCTAATTTCAATATTATATGCATAATAAATGCAAAAATTATAAAAGAAAAATGATTTTAAAATTTGTTTCCGAAATAAAATTAAACATTTAATAAAGTTTGTGTGTAAATTCATTCCGAATTATTATATTTACCATGTTATTTTACACGAACACAAGAAACACTACCTGATATTGTTGCTGTACAAAAAACAAGTTGCCGGAGATAACTCTGTTGACGAATTGTGCACGCATCGCGTGATCTCAAAAAAGAATAAAATGCAAATAAGTGCATTGTAGCGCCATCTGTGCAAAATTTAAGAAATAATATATTTCACTTAATTTAAAATACTCATACGAACTTTTACTTTCGTTTGCACAATTAAAACACGAAATATAGCAAAAATAGTTGTGCCACGTCGCTAACAATTAACGTAATTATAAACAAAGCGTTCTAATTAGCACATATAAATCTTTCGTTGTTGCTTTGTTCTCTGTGTGCGAACACGACGCTTTTTTACCTTAACGAGCATTGTTTACAAAAACAATCGATGAATACTGAATGCTGAACGTTGACATTGAACAGTTAAACAGTTAAACTATAAACGCACATCAACGACATGAAAACTACTTCCTGGTTCTTTATTCATGACTTACCGCTGATGTTTATTCATTTATTTATTTACGCATTACGCAAAGATTAATAATAAATATATTTTTATCTGTCACAACTTGTCTTGAAAATGATTGATATATAAATAATTCGCAGGTATTGAAAGTAATATATCGAATGGACAAACAAATTTCACTTTCTTTCTTAGCCACGGCTGTTTGCTTTTGCTTTTGATTTCAGATTTCTGATTTCCATACAACTCGACGACACATCGGTTACAAAACTTCAACTTTTTCAAATTTAGAAATCAGTTACACTCTAATTGTAAACCACTAAAATACTAATAATAATATAATAATAAATATTTTTACCAAAACGTTAAATTAGTTAATCATTCGAATCAAAGTGAAAGCAATAATTGCCATTATTAAATCCCAAATTGATTTATTGCCATTTCATTAACTAATTACATAATATTAATTATAATTGGCAATCGGAAGTTAAATATCAGTTTCTTGTTGCTATTGGCATTTGTGGATGATGTTTATTGCGATAGTAATAATAACTTACCACTTTTAATAATGCCATGGTTATGTAATTGGTTGTAATCACTATTAAATGACAAAAATCACTAAACACTAACTGGTGAAGTATATGTTTATTTGATTCTTGTGCGACGTGTGCGCAGTGTGCCGCTATAGCTCACAATAAACCGCTGTTGGAATAAAGCGCGCGCGCTGCTTTATATAGCTTAATAAAACCGCGCCTCCCCCGTTCGACGCGGCGTAATTAATTCCCTTCTCAAACGCGCACGACGCAGGTTAACGCAGATTCGTTAGAAGTAACAAGTAATAAGGAATAAAGATGCGTTAAACTTAAATATTAGCATTGGTTGGTATAATAAACGCATTAAATGATGAAAAATATTATAAATTTTTGTTTGTGTCGCTATTATGGGAAAACTACTGAAGAAATTTTGATAAATTTTGGTACAGAGATAGTTTGGACCTTGGAGAATGACATAGGCTACTTTTTTCCGTTAATATATAATTTAAAAAGTTGTTTTTTCACCATTTTAAGTGAAAATCGCAATAAAAAGGTAAAAAAATTAACAATGCAAGTAAAATTACAAGTAAAACCTTTTAAATTAATAAAATAAAACTAATTCAAAAGTTTTTAAAATTTTCTATGCTAAATAACTCTTAAAACATCACAAAATCAAAGAGAAAAAGTGAAAAGCAAGGTTATGTTGATTCTGAACTAATAATTTACAGTGACATCTATTGTAGAGGAGATACAATCTTTACCTTGACAGCAAGTAATAAAGATGCGTTAATCTCTAAATATTAGCATAATTATTCGCAAAGTATAAGTATTTTAGTGATTGGCATTTTTACAAAAGTGAAAATACACAAAACCTTAATGAAAATAAAGGTTAAAATGTAAAAATCCCAAATTGGTGATTCATGAATAAAGAATAACGCACGTTGGCTGCATTTGGCATTAACATTTAATGGAATTTGATTTATTTTATATGCATATATTAAAACGAAAGTTCGCCGCCGCTTTTTAAGCCGAATTTTGTGAAATTTAAAACCGCATGCATTCGTATTATATTTGTTACATTTCTAATTTATAATGCGTGTACCCGAAAAAGGCGTTTATACGTCAAACTTTTTAAATTTTACATTTTAATGGTTTTTACGTTCATTTCATATCTAGATAATTTCATCATCCGCGAACAAAAGGTTATTAAGCTATTATTACAGTAATTTAACAAATTAAAACAATTAATGAACTAAACAATTTCTTTTTAGATTTTTTGCATTTTACATTTTACAAACAAATTTTGAAGAAAAAAATGTAAAATGTTTAAAACAAGGTTATGTTGCTTATAAACCAGCGACATCTATTGAAAAATATTATTCATGACAGCTATTACATTGATAAATGTGATTAACATCATAATAATCTTATAAACCCGCGTGTATGGCCGTAATTATAGATAATTGTCCACAATTAAGAATGCGATTGTTATGAAGCGCAAATTAAATTGCAAATTGGAAACTAGTTACTTATCCATCATTTAGTTCCTAGTTGCAAGTAAATATCGCATACGGAAAACACGGAAAATCATCTTCGAACGCACACGTCGAATAATTAATGAACCAACAAGCGTATTACAGCAAAAAAGCACAATAGGAAGCAAGATATTTACGCGAATACGCAATACGTTGATAATGACTGCCAAGAAACACAAATCCACAACTTTAGTTGCAGGTATTGATTGCATTGCACGTGCAAGTGTAATTATATTAAATGTGAGCATGCTAATTACAGCTACGTGCCTGCAATTAATTAAAATGAAACAAATAGTTGTGCGTAGTAGATTATTCACTGACAAAGACATGAAAACAACAAAATGCATTAAAACACGCTTTGTTTTTCGCTGTGCTTCCTTATTAGTTAAATCAATGAACAAAAACACAATTTCAATCAATTTCGTGATGTTTTCTGTGCCTGAAATCATTAAAACTGTTCCTAATTACACTAAATTACGAATTACACACTTTTATTACCTTAACTTGTCTTAAGTAACGCAAAAATACTTCCTAATACGTTTAATATTAACCATTTTAACAACTTTAACAACGTTTTGTTATATTTTTGCATAGTTTGCCAAATTTAATAATTTTATATTTCATAAATGTTTTTTGTGAGAAAAAACGTGATTGCCGGTGTTTTTATTTCTAAAACAAGATGCAAAGCAAATAATAATATAATCTATTCGTAATTGGCGTGACCTTCTGGCGAGACTGTGATTTGTGATGAATACACACCAAGGAACATCAAGTGCAAACAGTTCAGAACGTTCAGATCGTTCCGATGATGATTACTTAACATCACATTAACTTTTTGTGTTTTTTTCGTATGAACAAAACCCAATAGACACCATTTGTGTATTCTATTTCGTTTATTATGTTATTCCTAACTTAAACAAACGAATAACTTTAAAATAAATGATTTCGTAAACGTTTCACACGTTTAATTAGGATGGAAATTAAAATACAACAATCAATTAACATTTTTTCGGTACAATATTGTGCGGAAACGTAATAATTTCGACATGACCTTCAGCAATATAAAAATAATACCATTTTGAGCTGATATCATCTTAGTTTGTTTTTGTTTTGTTGAAATCCAACGTGAAATGCTGTTGAAAAGCAAATAATTTTGATCTTTCACGGAATAACAATAAAATTCATTGTAAATTAGTTCTACCAATGCTCTATTCATAATTAGAGTTTTAAACAAACAGTAGAAAGCGAAATAAAAACTGGTCTACTTAAATTTGTTGATTTATGCAATAAACGTTCATTTTTCTAAACGTTTAAGCGTTTTTCGCTGTGTACACAAACAAACTATTTGTAAAATCAATTTGTCCTCACTTTTTGCCCCCTGAGAACTGAGATAATCATCGTTTTTTTTTCGTCAAGGAGATAAAAATATAGCGGAAAAGGTGTTTGAAGTGTAATGCTTCATTGGCGGCAAACAAGAAGTTTGAACAATTAGCAGCGAGCACATTGCAGTGAAAGTTTGAATAAAAAGTGAACCTGTTTGGCGTTGATGTTGTTTTGTTTTCTTCTGGCTTCTCGTTTGCTCACTTTTAATATTTCACGCTGTTTTATTAATGACGTAGCGTTCATATTTTATGTAATAGGAAGAAAAAGAAATGGAAATTTGCATTCGAATGTAGAAAACCATTTAAAGGTTTTTTCTAATTCTCATTCGCATTCAGCTTTGGCCAATTAATACTTGACCGATTTTTTGTGTTTATGCCTCACTGGTGTTGACATGTTGTGCACAAGAACAATAAATTGTCAATCTATGACTTGAAATGTTATGATAAACCATCTAAACACGTCCTTGACGTGATTAAAGTTAATAAACTAACAAAAACTATGTAATAGACACAGGCAGGTGAGAAAATAGCAACAATATACACAAAATTTCATTGTTTCATCAATCACAAATGATACATCTTCTTGCACTCATCGGTAATAACCGACGGAGCACCACTCAGTGGATCTTTACCATCAAACGTCTTCGGAAATGCAATCACATCACGTATACTCTGTGTATTTAATATCCGAGCAAAAAGTCGGTCTAAACCTAAAGCTACACCGCCGTGTGGAGGACAGCCATAAGATAACATCTCCACAATGTGATCCAGGCCGGAAATGTTCAACATTTTTAATATTTTCGCTTGTAATTGAGCGTTGTGGATACGAATCGACCCACCGCCAACCTCATTACCATTAAGTACCAAATCATACGACAACGCACGAATCTAAACAGAAAATATTACATTTTTAATAAACAAGATACAATTACTAATAATTCGTACCTTTAATGGATCCACATCTATTAAATGCATATCATCCGCGTGTGGAGATGTAAATGGATGATGTTCAGCAGTTAATACACCATTATCGTCTAAGGAAAATAGTGGAAAGTCAACAATCCACAAAAAATGCATGCCTGGTTTATAAATAGCAATTCCTTGCTTATCTAGTTCATCTGCGCATACACATCTAAGTTTTCCAAGTCGTTTTAACTGAAAATAAAGTTTCTGAAGTTATTTTTCTATCGTAATATAAGAAAATATAACCTACAGCCATGTTTTTGTTACCATAAACAAGAATTACTGATGAAATCCCTTTCAAGTTTAGTTTTTCATATAATTTTGTATTACAACATCATCTTTGATAGTTTTACTCATGTGTTTAGTGAATTCTTCAAAGTTTTCACATTTAAAGTGCATCATTCGTGTATTGGGATAATCTTTAGCTGAATTAGCAATGTAATTTTACTAAGCTTAATCTTGATGCTTCTCATTGTCAAAAATAAGGCAACCTGCATAAAATGCATCCCCTTGGCCATATAAATTAAGACTGGGCTCTAAAACATCAGTAATGTTTGTTATTTTATGTTCAAAACGAACATCTGGTTGATCTGATCCATAATTTTCCATGGCGTCTTTATAACTCATTCTCTCAAACTTGCGAGGAATTGGTAACAAATTTGTAGGCCAGGAATACTGCAAAACATCTTCTACAAGTTCTAATACGCCATCCATAGTGGTATTCGCCATTTCTATATCTAATTGTGTAAACTCAGGCTGGCGATCAGGACGAGAAGTCTCATCGCGGTAACAACGAGCTATTTGAAAGTAACGATCGATTCCACCGCACATTAACATTTGTTTAAACTGTTGTGGGCTTTGTACTAAAGAATAATACTTATTTTTGTGTCTTGTGGGCACTACAAACTCTTGAGCGCCCTGAAATAAGTGATTTTTGATTTTTAAGGTGAATTTTAACAACTAAACATGAAATATTACCCCTGGTGTTGCTTTAAATAAAGTTGGTGTCTCAACTTCAACAAATCCGCATTTTTTCGCTAAGAACTCGCGTAAATTGATGCAAAATTCAGAGCGGAAGCGTAAACAACGCTGCATATCAGGAAAACGCATCGCTAAATACCTATATTGCATTTGTAAAGCTTCATTTGCCTTCTGATGCTCTCTAATATTAAATGGCAATGTAGCAGATTCATTTAAAACGTGTAAATCTTCAATACTGACTTCAATTTCGCCTGTTTCTTGGTTTTTATTTACCATTTCTTTGGGTCTGGCAATTACTGTACCTTTTACTTGTAAAACTGTTTCATAATTTAAACCTTTAAGTTTTTTCCTTATTTCTTCAGCCTAAAAATATGAAATGTACAACATTGATAAAAGAATATTCTGTATAAATGAACTTACATCATCTTTAAGTAGAAGCTGTGTTTGCCCATAGGAATCTCTAAGCACCAAGAATTTATCCATTCTATTAAATTCCAGCCATCCAGTTAGAGTGACTCTATGCCCCAAGTTTTTCATTGTCAACTCTCCACATGTTACTGTTCTGGTTGTATATTTGTTCACATTTCTAATCTGCACATAATCAGAATCATTTTTGGTTTCATCAACAAGATAAACAGATTGTCGAGAGTATGCTCTGCTATTAAACACCTTTCCTCCATTCTAAAACAGTTCGATACAATGAAATATTAATGATTTATGCTATTTCTATGTATAATAATACCTTCAGAGCATGTATATTGTTAAAATGTGCTTTATTTAAAGCTACACTAACAAAATACAACAATTTTCTGTTAGTAATTGCAGAATTCATTTTATATTCAAGGAATCAAACTTAAACTTAGGTTAGATACTTGAAATCATTGTACAAATACACAATGAGTAATAACTTTGAACTTAGATTTCCCATACAAGAAACAAAATACTAGGACAGGATTTATTTAATCTAAATAAATTTATTTAGAATAACTCATGATTCCATCCCCTCACTCTCCACACAACTAGCAATACATTCCTCATATGTCCACTTAGGGAAAACTCGCTTATACAAATTTAAGAAAACAACATCCTGAGACTTAAGCTGTCCATCAAAAATACACTTCATATGACCATGCGTTCCAAGCGGCTCCTTTATATGCCCAATTTGACCATACCTAGTGCGCAATTTACACGGTTTAAAGTATAGAATATCTTCACGATTAAAGAACATAAATCGTATAACTGCAGATCGCTTATGCACTTTGAAAGAATGCCCTGACAAAACAATCCTTTTAGTTATAATCCTATCAGGATTACAGGAAAGCAGCGAACCAGTAGCAACCAAATCTAAATTCCCGTTGATTTCTTTGAAGCAGAGAACAGGCGCGGGTGGAAATTGAATCGGCGCATAAAAAGTAGCAACTACTGTACTTTCAGGTTGGAAAAATCGCTCATACTAAAGAAAAAGAATAAAATTTAGTACTATTTATCATCTTATGTTTAAAAAAACTACCTTATGTTTCTTTCCGTTTGTATGTTGACTGAAAATCGGATTAACAATAAATCTCCGATATCCACACTGAAGAATAAGTTTATCCTTCGACGCAATCGGTTGATCATACGACCCAGTCCGTTTTAACACCACATTCAGCACAGACATTTTATTCTCATGTGGATGCATCCCCATGAGAGTAACAGACGCGCCTGTGGTTTCAAACGCGTTCCACGCATATTTCGGCACACCTGTAACATAAACAGTAACAAACCATCCAGGCAAAGCTCCTTCCCGATCCTCTAACTCCTTTATAATCCTTCTTTTAGTCCTATCAAAGTTTTCAAACTGAAATATACGCGCATAATCCATGGGAAGATTCTCTTTTGGATCCCAGGGAGAAGTTCTGAAACTTTCAAGACCACGATATTTCTGGAAACGCAAACGCGCAGGCGTATCCAGCGGAGTGTCCATTTCATCCGGGAACATCTGATCCATCTTCGCAGCTTTCACCCGTTCCAGTTCCTGTTTCTCCATGTGTTCGTCAATTTGCTGATCGTATTGTTGATCATTAACACAAACTTCAGATTCTGTCATGGTGTCAAACTCTTCATCTTTTTCTTCGTCGGAATCTTCCTCCTCAGCGGCATCTTCCATCGCATCATCTTGATCATCTTCATCATCAGCATCTTCGCTGTCATCTTCTGCATCATCATCAGGTATCCACGCAGCTTGATAATCTGACCAACCTTTTGGAACCTTTTTTACACGTCGTTTAATTTCATCCTCCGCCATTTTGAGTTCTTCTTCCGTCGGCCATGTTTGTTCGCCTTCCATTGGATCAGGGATGTTTTCGGATTCGAGGGATTCTTGTTTATCATCTGCAGTTGCCAATAAACGCACTGTGTTGACATCTTCTTGCATAGAATTCTTGTTTCTAAACAATATTAATCACAATAAATTTAATTAATAGAAAATAAATAAAAATAGTGGATATTTTGCTTGCCTATTTTTTTCTAAGACAAAAGGATCTTTCGGTGCTTCAATCCGTGACATTTGATAAGCGCCAAGTCCAGGAATATACACCAATCCATTAACAGACAGTGGACTACCCCTAACATAACCGCAAACTTTCAATGTTCCTTTAAAACCTTCATTATCAGGTTCAAACTGATAACTTTCCGCAAACAAATGCGGTCTGCGGTCTCTATACAAAACATTTTTGCGTTTTTGATTACCAATTCTTCTCAGCACATTCAAACCATCAGCTTCTTTAGATAAAGTCATCACTTTTTCATTGGGCAGCCATTTTGTGATCAACTTTTGTATATTCTGCTTCTGTTCAGTTTGTTTTTTCACTGGTAATTTATCCAAATCAGTGACTGCCACAACTGGTGTAGGCACACCTTGCGCAAAAGCTGAGGCTAGGATTTTCCTACCACTTGAATCTATAATTTCATCTCCAAATTCAACACCTGCATTTGCTGATACAAGAAATACAACAGTGTCAGACACTTTCAAAGCATCTAAAGTAGCAAGATAATTATCTTTTGGTGGAATTATCAATGAAAAATGTTGTTTGAATCTTGGTAAAGTAATATGGATGACACCAGTCACACTGGTTTGCACCACAGCTTCACTGTCACATTTTGTCAGCAATGCAATTGCCGATTCAACATTCATTAACTCATTCAGAGGGACAATACTTATAAGAAAAGGAGCATGATCTAAACCACCAATGGATCTTTTCTTAGATAGTACTTCATCACGCTTATTTCTTCGTAGCTGTAGTGCCTGATGACGTCGTTGATCCTTTTTTAACTCAGCTTGCTTCTTTTTGGATATTTCTTTCACATTTACTTTGCCTACGAGAAGAAAATTAACCTATGCTTGCAAACATGTGAAAATAATGCAATACCTTTAGTGGCAATGCTAATTGATCCTTTGGAACGATGACGACCATGTTTGTGCCCTTTGTTGGTTTGTTTAAACGCACCAGGACGATGTGTCTCCGTTTTTTCCAGTGCCATTCTTGAAAATAAGAAAATTATTCTTAAACACACGTGGGATACATGACAGTAAACGGTGTATAACTGGTTGCATACATTGACAACACATATAAAAATATGACACCATTTTATTAAGTTTAGATTCACATGTTACAAAATTTTGCAATTTACAATTTTACAGCTGTAAATTACTGTTGAAAGAAAGATTTTTCTCCGTCACCCCAAGGAAAACGCTTGGTGCGACGGTTTAAATACTCGTATTGAACTTTCGCAGGCGGTTTTTCTTTTTTTCGTTCTTTCCTTTGGATATTGCACAACTCGCCATTGATATCAAAATAAATGGAATCCCACCGTACAAAGCCAAATTTCGGTAATTTTTGTGTCCACCATCAGGACGATTTAAATATCCTGAAGGTCCTCGGACACTAGTGGTGTCAGTAAAAGTTGCGGTAAATAAACGCTTCCACAAAACCGAATATTTAACGATATTCTTTTGGTACAAAGATTGGGCCATTTTTGATTAGTCACACGCTCAGAAGACAATTGTATTAATAAAATTGATAATTTATTCATCAAATTAAAGGTTTCCATGGCAATTTGATCAAAAATAAAACTTGTTTCCATACTAAAATAGTCTAAATCCACATTATAAACAAGTTACCATTTTGTATGTGCAAAGTTACTGCTGATTTAATCGTGTATAAACATTTAATAAAAAGTAGCTTATATAATTTATAATAAATATGGGTAATGAGGTGACTAATAATTTAAGTGACTGATAATTTATTAATGAGTGAGCTTCTTGCATATCGTGGGTGACTGACTATTCGTCATCGCATTCATCGTCGTTGTATCCATCCACGTATCCATCCGGAAGTGGGTTGGTTCGATCGTTGTGAAACAACGACTTGGTACCGTCCCCCCAGGGAAAACGCTTTGTACGCCGGCGCAAATACTCGTAGGGTACAAATGGCGGCCTGTCCGGTTCCGCTGCGCCAAATTTACCCTCGGAATAACACTTTGCCATGACGATCACAATTATGGGTAAAGCAGCAAACAATGCTACATTCCGGAAGAATTTATGTCCGCCATCAGGATGATTACTGGGTCCGGATGGTCCTTCGACTGGTGGCTTGTGTCGGGCATAAAAACGGTTCAATGGAAGTGATTTGGTCACCCGGCTCGCCAAAAAACGAAGAGACATTTTAGTTATGCACTTTTTTCGGAACTGATTTATGATGACACATGAAAAATTTGATTGGTGTTTATTTATTTTTGTTTACGATGCCATAGAGACTAAATATAAACTAAAAATAAATAAATTACATGATTTTATTCAATGTTAAACACTGAAATCGTTGTAAATTCAAATAAAATGAAATTTTGTTAACAAAGGTAGGCAACCAACATTGCATGAAACAAACAAAGCGAAAATAAATATTAAAACTAAACAAATTTAATCAATTCCTCTTCAAAAACGTGTCTGTGGCAGTAGAATTAATTTTTTTCAACGTTGCAGCAATTTTATCCTTCTCCTTGTTAAGTAAATCCCATCGAACTTGAAGTTTATCCTTGGATTTCTTCACATAATTTTCCACATCATCAAAACTAGTTTGAGTATCTTTAAACTCATTCAACATTGTGACGATTTCCTTCAGATGATCATTATGCAACTGAACAATTTGTGCGTAATAAACACGATTCTGTTCGATTTGCACATTCAGTTTTATCTGCAACGCACCCAATTGTTTATCATACTTTTCTTGGAGGCTTTCAATTTGATTTTCGTACTTGACTTCTTGCGTTTTTAACTCCCCTTTTGATTTCTCCAATTGCGCCATTAAAGACGCCGATAATCTCTGTTCAGTCTCCTGTTTAATCTTGACTTTATCCTCGAGATTCTGTATTTGCAATAAATAATTGTTTTCTTCTGCTTGCTTCACTTGTAAAAGTTGTTGCGCTTCTTGATTAATATTTGATTCATTGTACACAATATAGGTGATTGTCGGTGATAAAATTGCAATTATTAAAGCAACTGAGACGATTATACAGCATCCCATTTTTTTACTTGAGTAACAATTGCTTGTTTCGTCACTTGGGGCTTTGAATCTGCTATCGGAGTATGAACAATGGCTTTCCATAACGATTCTTTTATATTTTAAATATATTTTAATGTTTTGCACATTTAAATGCGCTTTGTTTTAAGTTTTTAAACGAACTAAAAAACCGTTAGTAAATGAGCGCGGTTTGAACAGTTGGGACGATCATTCGTGTGTGCGATTCCGACGACTACTGACAAACAAAGTCGGGGTGCGTGAAGACCAGCTGGAGGCAGATGGACGCGTTTACCTTTAATAAGAGCGCAACAGGCGCCCCTCTAATATCCGTCGCACGAGCGCCCTTTGCTTGTAAACTTCCGTTGCTAACGTACATTTTGCGCCTTGGGGTAGAGTCGAACTAATTTCATTTCACCTACAACAAGTGCAAGTCAGTTAAACCTGTATTTCATATTTAAATACATTAAATTAATACATAACAGACTTATACATACCATTATTAACTGAAAAATTGTGATTAATAGCTAAACTATTACATTTTCTTGTTTCTTTTACAGAAATTTTAATTGTTTATTTGTTTAATTTGTTAAAAACCATCAATATTTATCAAGAATTGTTATTATTGGTTAAACTAAGCGTTTATTAACAAAATCTCACTATAAATATTAAGTAATTATTAAATTAGGTTATGTTAGAATATGCTAGGTTAGGTTATAGATTCTAAGTTATTCAAAATCACGTTTTTTCATCTTCTCTGTGATAAATAAACATTTAAATTCTCTATTTTTGTCAATATCTAACTAAAACACTAATTTCTAACTAAATTATTTAATTAATAACAAATTATTACTAAAATAAAACATTTCCCTGAATTCCCAAACTATATTTTTTATTTTCCCAAAAATTACTACACATGATCCAAATGACGTTGGCAACGTTGTAACACGTTTCAAATTTCAAGTAGTCATCTGTCAACTTTACAAAACACGGAAAACACGTCAGGATCCCATCGGGCGCGTTGCATTTCCCAGGTGTTTCAGGTTCACCGCGACTACATCTCTCGATGTGCTTCAAAACGCGCAAGAAATGAATTCCGCACCGAAAGTCGACGATCTGGTGCAGTCGGTCGCCCTGTACACCGTCAAGAAGCTGCCCTTTCATTTATACATCTATCCGTTTGTCATCATTTACCTCGGCTGGCTGTACACATGGATCGGCTTGTACGGTTTCTGGGAGTTTTACGAGGGTGGATTCGTTGGGGTTGCAGTAATCGGCTGCGTGCAGATCCTCGCATGCCTGGGGTGCTATTGGTCAGTGCATGTTAACTGCTGGATGACTTGTCGAAAGGTATAAACTCAGTCGCAGACACAAATGTGAAATAAATGTTTGATTTTCACTTTTAGGAAGTGAATAGTTCAGTGGCAACTGTTGCGAAAGTCATTCCAACTGCAAACAATGGATCATCAGAGTTAGTTGCTTTAAAACATTCCAAAGTAAAACAAATTTTACATTATTTTAACTTGTATTAACCTGTATTTATTCTAGAATGACCAAATTTGGTTCGTATTTCAAAAAACCAAATACATTTACGACCCTGACAAGAAAACCTTCAGAGGAATTGAATTCCCCATCAATGAGCCATTCTCTAGCTACATGAACTGCAAAGGTTATCAAGATGATAAAGACATTCAAGAAGCTGAAGAACAATACGGCAAAAACGTCCTGGATATGGTCGTGCCCGAATTCATGGAGTTATTCATCGAACGCGCAACAGCGCCATTTTTTGTGTTTCAAGTCTTCTGTGTTGCCCTCTGGTGCCTGGACAAATACTGGTATTACTCTATCTTTACTCTTGTCATGCTAGTCACGTTTGAATGCACTTTGGTGCATCAACAACTACGTAACATGGCCGAAATCCGCAAGATGGGCAATCGTCCATTCAACATCAACGTGTATCGCAACCGCAAATGGCGGCAACTGTCATCACAAGAACTACTGCCGGGCGATATTGTGTCCATCACAAGATCTCAACTTGTCCCCTGTGATGTGGTGTTGATTCGTGGTCAATGCATTGTAGACGAAAGCATGCTAACAGGTGAATCAGTTCCGCAGATGAAAGAACCCATAGAAGACTGCGACATGAAAAAAATCTTGGATCCTGACGCGGATGGAAAACTACATGTATTATACGGCGGTACAAAGGTCGTGCAAAACACACCTCCGTTAAAAGGTAGCGCTGGTTTGCGAGCTACAGATAACGGGTGTGTTGCCTACGTTCTCCGCACAGGATTCAATACATCACAGGGTAAACTCCTCCGCACGATTTTGTTCGGTGTCAAACGCGTGACAGCGAATAACCTGGAAACATTCGGTTTTATTATCTTCCTGCTTGTGTTTGCGATTGCTGCAGCTGTGTATGTCTGGATGAAAGGTTGTGAGGATCCAGAACGCAATCGGTACAAACTGTTTCTGGAATGTACATTGATTTTAACATCAGTTATTCCACCAGAGTTACCGATTGAGTTGTCTCTGGCTGTGAATACCAGCTTATTAGCATTGAGTAAGTTCGGTGTGTATTGTACAGAACCATTTAGGATTCCATTCGCTGGAAAAGTAGATATTTGCTGTTTCGATAAGACAGGTACCTTGACCAGTGATAATTTAGTAGTGGAAGGTGTTGCACTAGCGGAAAAAGATTCAAAAGTAACACCAATCTGCGATATTCCACTGGAAAGTGTACAAGTATTGGCTTCTTGTCATTCTTTAGCACAATTAGACGATGGTTTAGTGGGAGATCCACTGGAAAAAGCTACTTTGACAGCTGTCGATTGGAATTTAACAAAAGGTTAGAATTTATATTTAAAACCATTAAATTTTAATGAATTTTCATTGTTTAGGTGATGCTGTAATACCGAAAAAGGGCAAAGCTCAAGCCATAAAAATCCACCACCGTTTTCACTTCTCTTCAGCACTGAAACGCATGTCCGTCATCGCTGGCTACGTCAATCAGGGAACAACCGATACAATTTACATCGCAGCTGTGAAAGGCGCTCCGGAAACTCTTAAATCAATGTACAGCGAATTACCAGCATGCTACGACGAAGTGTATCTTGAATTATCCCGTCGTGGAGCACGTGTTCTAGCTCTGGGATTCAAAGAAATCGGCCGGAGTACTCCACAAGAAATCCGAGAACTATCCCGGGATCAAATCGAGAAAGATCTACGCTTTGCCGGGTTTGTAATTATTTCCTGCCCGTTGAAAACGGATTCAAAGAATGTTATCAAAGAAATTCTGCGTGCATCACACCGTGTTGTTATGATAACCGGTGATAATCCACTAACAGCATGCCATGTGGGTAAAGAATTGAAATTTAATCAAAAACCGAAGACTTTAATCCTCACCGAGATCGATGACGAATGGGTATGGGAATCAATCGATCAAAGTGAGCATTTACCACTGAAACATGCCGGAATTACAGATAAATATGACCTGTGTATAACCGGCGATAGTTTAATGTATCTACAAGAGAATGAAATTGATTATCTGCAGCAAATCCTGCCACAGATTTCGATATTCGCTCGATTTGCACCTAAACAAAAAGAATACGTTGTTGTCATGTTGAATAACTTAGGTTTCGGTACTTTGATGTGTGGTGACGGTACGAATGATGTCGGTGCATTGAAACACGCCAATGTAGGCGTCGCCATTTTGTCGAACGCGCCTGCAAAGATGCCTGAAAAACCCAAACGTAGAGATGCACGGGATGTAATCGCACAAGCGCAGGCGCAGATACAAGCCGCGCCGCGTAACAATCGCGCTGCAGCTAGAGAAAACTACGCTAATCAAGTCGAAAAATTAATGAAGGAAATGGAAGAAATGGAAGCTACTTATGTCCGCTTGGGAGATGCTAGTATCGCATCACCATTCACTAGTAAATTATCATCTATTCTTTGTATTTGTCATATTATCAAGCAGGGCAGGTGTACTTTAGTTACAACACTGCAAATGTTTAAAATCTTAGCGCTGAATGCGTTGATTTTGGCATACACACAGTCTGTTTTGTACCTGGATGATATCAAATTGAGAGATGGGCAAGCAACAGTGCAGGGATTACTTCTAGCTGGATGTTTCTTGTTTATATCGAGATCAAGAGTAAGAAAAATTAATTTTTTAAGTGTTTTACTAAATTTTTATGTTTTAGCCGGTTGAAGTCTTGTCGAAACAACGTCCGCTTCCAAATATATTTAATTTGTACACCATTTTGACTGTGCTGCTGCAATTCGCCGTGCATTTCGTGTGTTTGATATTTTTGGTGCAGGAAGCCAAGTTGCGCGCGCCGCCTGAGTTGCTGATCAAACCAAAAACTAACCTAACCATGGAGGAGGAAGACGAGTTGTTTAAACCTAATATCGTGAATAGCACTGTGTACATAATTTCAATGGCGCTGCAAATTGCTACATTTGCTATAAACTACAGAGTAATTAATAATTTTAACAACTTTAATGTGTTTTTAATTGAATTTGTGTTAATTTTCAGGGTATGCCATACATGGAGAGCCTCAAGTCAAACAAACCTCTGCTCTACAGCATTTTGGGTTCCTCAGCGGTTGTATTAGCACTCACACTTGGTGTGATGCCCGAAATTTCCGAACAGTTAGAAATTATTTCATTCCCGGACGAGGTAATCAATATTTCATGCTTTTTAAACGATAATTTGCTTATTTTATGTATTTTTTAGTTTAAATTAGTGTTGATGCAAGTTTTATTCGCCGATTTCTTCTTTTCCTTCCTGGTGGACCGCACGTGTCTCTGGATATGCGGCGAGGGACGCCTATCGAAAGTATTGGAACAAAAGTCGACAGAGTTAAATTAGCTGTGTTAATGTTTTTGTATGGATAAAATTTGTGTGGTGTTGAAATTCTGCTCCACTTCACTGATTTCCCGATCACGACTTGCTAAAGGCAATTATATTTATTCAATATCAAAAAAGTACAAATACAATTGCACGGTAATACTCATACGCACGCTCAAGGGCTAGAGTTGGCCTCCTTGGCGCCCTGCAACGCCTGGGTGATGTACAATTTCGCCAGCGATTGCGAGCAGAACTGCGAAATGTGTTGGCTGTAGGTATTTATCTGCCCGGCGGTGAGCATGGGCTGTAACCTCGGCGGGACCGGTTGCGGTCTGAACAACTTGTTGATATCCTCCTCGGGTAGCGGCGGTTCATCCTTAGCCGCGCGCGCCGCGTTCTCCTGCGCGCGTTTTGTCAAATATTTATGCTTTTCTTGCTGTTGTCGGCTGACTAACTGCTGGTGGCGGTTGAATTTAATCGCTTCCTGATTTAGCTCATCAACGCGATCCATTAGACAACGCAATTGTCCTTCGAGGACAGTGGCAGTACCAAGATCTAAGAATTTCGATCCTTCTTCCTCGGGGATCATCTCCGCTAACTCCGACATCATGATATTCGTCAGTGGGGAGTTTTTAATCACCACTGGAATCTCAGTGAAGAGATTCTCATAGCCTACTTTGAGTTTCAAGAGTGCTTCAGGCGTGAATTCACCTTCCTTGTACATCTCGATGGCCTGTGGCGTGAGGCGGTAGGCTTTGAGGCTGAGAAAACCTCGTGAAGACTTTTGGGTGTCATAGATGACCACCACTGACTCTTCGATTGAAGTCTGGTAATGGTACTGTGACTCCAGCAGTGGAAGACTCAGGAAATTACCGACGTCAGCGCTCTGGTACCAACCGACGTGGAAATGATCGACGTTCACGCGACGCAGACGACGCATCATCGCAAGCTGATATTCGTCTTCGTCAAGATTCTCATCGGGTTGCTTGGGGAATGGGAAACAGTTGGTGATTTCAAGGCAGTTGTCGACGACGAGGCCGAGGAGTGCGCCCTGGGCGACGTCCATGTTACTCGTGGACTCTTCATGGCAATGCTTAACGATTTTCATAACAGCCTAGGGAAGCATTTGAAAATCCATTCATATAAAAGTTGGCACAACATAACCTCCAATAGTGAAGGTGTTAACATGAAAAGTACAATCAAACCACATGCGGTGAGAAAAAATAGTTTAATATGATAATAATAAGGGTGAGGGGGTAATTACCAGGCCATCACATTGCACGTAGGCGATGGTAGCATCGCTTTCGGGAACACGGCGAGCAGCAGCGCGGCCAGCCATTTTTCAGTTCTTTCTTGGAGAATTGACCCAAACTGACGCATGAACTGTCATTTGCGGTCATTATTAGGCAACTTCTGCTACAAATGTTTCTTCATTTTGAAAAACGACACCAACACCCCAACTGTTAAGCAGGGAAAGTCTCACAAACAAAATGTACGCTATTTATAAAACATCATACTTTGTATTTATAAACAATAAATGTACATGGACAATATAGCAAAATATGTGTATCAAAAACAAACTTTTAGATCATACAACTTTCAATACGTTTTGTTCAAATCTTTCAAATCTTTCAACGTCACCAGCATAACATTCAATATAAAAATGAATAAATTTATTTACTTGTTTGGAACAATAACAGTTAATTAAACTGCAGATCCGCAATGAGCGCGATGTGATCCGATGGAAAAACATGGCTGGGCAGCGCGGTGTTCTTTGAAAGGACTTCCTCACTCGGAAAAGACACATGGCCTAAGCATGTCGTCGTATTCGTATAGAAAATGTAGTCTAAGCAAGCCTTAAAGTCTTCCACATAGTTGGTGAACTTCGGCGTACCGCAGGCGGAAGTAAACTGAAAGGGATGAAAAGTGTAGTGCTGAAAGACTTGCTGGTGTACTGAATTGCTCCCTCAGTGATGAATTTGTACACGTCAGACTCAGGCTTGCTGTTTAGATCTCCACAGAACAGCAGGGATACATTAGTGTTCTAAAAACAATCAAAAACTTAGTTTTTTTGTTATTTTTCGCGCTATTTACGCACTTTTTTCATTTCTTTTTGATGTAATCCTCGTAAAAACTCCAAACATACAGCAGTTTGCAGTAATCGAATATTATTCGCGTCCGGATGATAATACAAATGAGTATTTGCAAGAATCACCGTCTGATTACTATTCTTGCTCTTCAAGAGAATAAACTGCATCGATGACGGTTGTTTCATGAAAGTATCGTACGCTTCGTCGTCATTCTCGATGATTCTCATGATGTTACGCATCGTTCTGTTTGTTTTTATCTCCAAATTGAATACTATCTGGCCCTGGTCGGCAAAACTAACCAAAAAATTTATAAAAAACGTCAATTTGTAAAATTGAATCAAAAATCTCACCTGAAACGACTTTTGTTGTAAAATATCGCTAAACCCTCCGGAATCCGATTGCCTTTCTTATTGTAAATACTACCATAGTTAATTTTATGAAACTCCGGCCGAAAGTAGAACGAATAGATTTTATTATCCACTTCCTGACAGCACAGCACATCTGCGTTGTAGCCAAACATTTCTTTCAGCAGCAATTGTTTACGGTAATCAATCGCTAGATATTCAATCGGGCAATAGTTATATTGATCATTTGCGTAGCGGCATGAAAGCGTATTGTAAGAAACAACACGAAATCTGTAATAATATTGATTTAAAGCACAGAATTTAACAATTTAAGGGCGAAAACTCACTGATTGCCTGTTAAAAACCTTGGCGTTTCTTTCTGTCGATCTTGAAACGGGCAATAAGGCACTTCTGGTACTCTGCTAACAATTCCACTCGACTCCACTTCAAATGGCTCGCCTTGACTGTAGATATTAATCGGCAAACATTTGAACTTGAGATAATACCCAACATCATCCTCGGCAACATTATAATGATAATCTGAGCCTATCAACTCCCAATGCTCTTTATCTTTTGATTTATACCAGAAATACTTGGATTTTTCATGATTTGCAAGTATTGCTTTCAATAACGCTGGCTGTACAGCATGCCCAGTGTAAATCACCTCTGGTAATTTAATATTTTCAATCAATGGTGCATTTACAATGACTTTAAACATGCAATTCAGTATTGAAAATGTCATATGTTTAAACTTCTGTATGTTGGTGAGCTCGGTGCCACCATTGATTGGTTTGTTTTTGTTTTTTAAAGCAATACCTAAATCTATTTGCGTTTGATTTTCTTTGTCTTCATCCTTTTTGAGATGATTCTCCAGCACATTCTGCACCTTGTTCGCGGTGTGCTTGAGCAGCGCATCCACGTTTTCGGTCATTTGTCGCACGACATAGACATTGTCATTGATTGCAGTAAATTTCTCAGTTTCGGGCTGGTGCAGGGTGAAAGTCAGGGTGCACTTGTGGTTCCAGTCGAGGAAACGGAGGTTCGCCTCAGTGTCCTTCGGGCGCTCGTTCATTGCTAGCCGTGCTTGCTGATCACCTGCGGCTTTTTAAATGTCGATGAATGCTCACAATTAAATTTCAAAATGTAATGTTGTTAAACGTATACTTGAGCAGATCCTTTTTTCAGGTTAGATGCGAGTGACGTTACTTATTTATGATTAACGGATTTGGGAAATACGTTTGTGTATCACTGAAAATTTTAATTATTAGTATAGAAATGCGTAATGAAAGTAGATGAAGAAATTCGTTGGAAAATCTTTGTTAAATAGCTACAGGTGTTTCTTTTTTCATTGCAATTTATAGCTAATTTTAATTATTTTGCGCAATTTTTAAATATATTTAATGTTTTTGTATTTTTATTACTTTCATAAAAATTGTAAATCCAAAATCACGTATAATGTTTAATAAATAAATATTTTTTGTATTTATAAGACGTCGATGGCAACTTTAAGCAGTATTAGTTTTGTATTCAGTTCAATAACAATTTATTTAATTAGAGAATTTAATTCTTATAAATTCATCCTGGCGTCCTCCAGCAGAGAATTGTAGAGTTATTAATCAAAATCGTGCCATTTATTCCATACGGGTGTTTCATGCACGTTTCTTGATTTTATTCTGTGTACGTGTGAATTGTGCGCGTTTCACATGGACACGGTTTAAGTGCGGGTAAATCGCACTGCCACAGGTGCGACACTTTCTACCACTCCCAAACAAATTACTTGTTGTGAGTAAGTAGCTTTATGTAGCGTTGCATATTATGGTTCGTATATAAATACTAGATGGCGCTATGGTGCTGTTATTTGCATTAAATTTTTGTTTGTTTGTGTGAGTGATGAGCACCTGTGTCCGTGTAAATTGTATTGCGAATATTTTTTCTTTCTGCTTTATTTGATAAAGTACAGGTGGATACAACTCAAATGTTTAGTTTTGTTCTTTGCAAAGAATTGCTGAGAACACCACAAAGTTTTGAGTGTCAATATTTTATTTTTCAAAACTTTTAAAATAGTTTTAGGATAGTTGCGACAATAATTCCTATGAATATTATACAAATTAAATAATTATTTAATACTACAAGTAAAGTAACAAGTATTTTCGTTTAATATTTCAAGTAAATTAAAATAAATATTCAATTTCATCTGTTTGTCTGTTTTCAGGTTTATCAACGTTCTATCACGCTGATACTACCCGATTGTCGTATGCGCACATCGGGTTGCGGGGTGAGACGTCGGAAGTCGCGCAGAATAAAATAACAACTCACACTATCTTTTAACATTCCACGAGACTTGGACTAGAATCATGTCAAGCAATATGCGATCTTAAAGTAATATAAAATAGGTGTATTGTTTGTATGTTTTTGTTTTTGGGTTTATCAACATCACCTCATCGCCAAACTTTTGTGCGCAAGTCCGGCGCAGGAAGCGGCGCAGGGCAACAGTTGTAACGTATTCTTTCGCAACGCTCAGCAGCATCATTCAGTGCGCGACATTCTCTGCAGTTACAGCTCCGTTAATAAAATTGCTGAAAATTTAACAAATTTGCAGAAAATTCTTACAAACAAGTGAAAATCATTCCTCGAGGCAGTCAGGAGTAAGTTTCTTGCATTCTTTTCATTTGCGCATTTGTTTTAAACCTGTAATTCGTAAAATTTGCACGTTGCATTGTTTTTTACGGCGTTAGACGCGTTTTTGAAATATGGCCGCGATTCAAACGCCGTTTTCACGTTCGCAAACACCAAGTTGCAACATCATGTAGAAGAAATCATGTACTTGCATTGCATCTAATAGGAATATTCGGATGTAATTTTATTGCGCAATCGACATGAGGTACGGGGTGCCCGCAGTTTCACCTTCTCGAGGTGTACGCGGCGAAGTTATCAGTTGCTTGTTTGGTTTTCGCATGTTTCAAACGTTCACTTTGCGGCAGTAGAGTGCCAATTGTACAGCACTGCTACACAAAGAGACGCCATGTTGTTGTTTTGATTTTAAGATTTCAACATTCCAACACTATTCGGAACTGCTGATAACACACAATGTTATTTTTATTTTCAATCGTTTTTTTATCTGTTATTTATTCTTTAGTTTGTATTCATTTGCAATTTCTATTTTAGTTTCGTTTCTGCTAGCACTTCATGCTACGAGTACATAGTTGACGTTGAAGGTGTGCTGTACCTTCGAGTTTCCATGCGGCTTCTAAAATACGTTCCAGTTTTCCATCGTAGGATTGTATACTGAGTATTTACTGTTCTTGTTATTATTTTACTTTGTACTTAAATTTTCCTGCTGTTGCCAGATGACCTTCCAAGGTCACCGACAAGATGTCCAGGATTAGCCATACTTGCCCAAGAATAGGAACAGGTTTGAACATTGCTGCATAGTTTTTACCTTGTCTTCAATAATTTTTAATTTTTCTGTTACTAATTGTTCTTTCTGCTTGTCTTTCAGGTACATTTTCAATTAATTTGGGCATTTTTGTAATTCGGGCGCGTTCGTTATCGGTTTATGTACTTTTTGTGTTTACTAATACCTCACACCTTCAAGTTTTAACTTTTAACTAATATTTTTTAAATTATTCAATTCAAGGTAAATGTATAGATTCATTTACACATATTTTTTTAAATTTTCCTAATCCTACAAAACATTCCTTGCTTTTGTTGATGAATTTATTTATTAGTTTTTAAATACTTTTCTTATTGTGATTTTCTACTTTACTTTTAAAAGTTTTTGTAGTTCAAAATACTCACCCAATTCTTGTTAATCATTGTTTTTATTCACAGGTATAAGTGATAAATATTATTCGCGAGATACCTGGAGAGGTATAACGAAATACTCATCGAGTGCGGGTTGCGACGCGGTCTATTTTAACCATTTTATAGAATCTCGATCAATTAGCTACCGAAGGAGGGTCGTGCCATGTCCCCTTTCACCTGTTAGGGAAAGTACGCGGTGTTTATAAAAATGTATCCGAATATTCGACAAATCGAGTGCGGGACGCGATTAAAAGTTCGAAAGCTCTCTTATAATGCGCGTAAAGACAATTCCAATTCCATGAGGGTTTGTACGGGGCCTCAACGGACTTCAAGCATCCTACCAGCGGTTTGGACTCAAGATTATATTATAATATCACCGCCTTAAGTAGTGAGTACACCTGACACCAAACTGGCTGTCTTGTATCTTTATGCGCCAACAAATGCACGTGCATACTATCGTCGGTATAGCGCCGCGTTAAGCAAAGACCCAAAGAGAGAGAGATAGGTAGGAGACTGGACCCTAGGGAGCTGCGACAGGACTGCTGAACGACTGCAGGCACGACTGAGCACTTGGCCCTCTGCGTGCACCCCTTTTATACCTGCGGCTTTTATACCTTTGCGAGGATGCGAGCTGCAGGCATTTGTAATAAGTTGAGTTGTATGTTTTACCATAAATCATAATATAAACGAAATAATTATTCAATAATATAATTAAAGTTTCTCGAATGTACGTTGAAGACTTCATTTTAAATCAAAATAAACATTTAATTTCTATATTTCTGTGTATATCAGTTTATCAACGTTTTCTCACGCTGATAATACACACTTCGGGTTGCGGGGTAAGACGGGGGAAGTCGCGCAGAATAAAATAACAACTCACACTATCTCTTAACATTCCAAGAGACATGGACTAGAATCATGCCATGCAATATGCAATCTTAAAGTAATATAAAATACGTGTATTGTTTGCCTGTTTTTGTTTTCGGCCTTGTCAACATCACCTCATCGCCGAACTTTTTGTGCGCAAGTCCGGCGCAGGAAGCGACGCAGGGAAACAAGTTAACGTTCTTCCTCAACGCACGCTCAGCAGCATCATTCAGTGCGCGACATTCTCTGCAGTTATAGCTCCGCTAATAAAATTGCTAATAATTTATTAAATGAGTAAAAAGGTGTTGCTACCAAGTGAAAAACATTCCTCGAGGCACTCACAAGTAAGTTTCTTGCAGTATTTTCGTTTGCGCCTTTTTTTAACCCTGTTATTCGTAAAATTTGCACGCTGCATTGTTTTTTACGGCGTTAGACACGTTTTTGCAATATGATCGATTCAAACTTCGTTTTCACGTTCGCAACCACCAAGTTGCATCGTCATCTAACAGAAATCATGTACTAATAGGAATATTTGGATGTAATTTATTTGCGCAATCGACATGAGCTACGGGGGACCACAGTTTCAGCTTCGCGAGGTGTGCGCGGCGGCCTTATCAGTTGTTTGTCTGCTTTTCACATGTTTCAAACGTTCACTTTACGGCAGTAGAGTGCCAATTTTACAGCACTGCTACACAAAGAGACGCCATGTGGTTGTTTTGATTTTAATATTCCAACATTCCAACACAATTCGGCACGATTTTATTTTGATTTCGTTTTATTTCTTATCTGTTATTTATTCTTTAGTTTATATAACATTGCAATTTCTATTTCATGCATGCTTCATGCAGCATTGTTGAAGGTGATGGTGTGCTTGTACGCTCGAGTTTCCAAGCGGCTTCTAGAATACGTTCCAGTTATTCATCGCAGGAGTGTATACTGAGTATTAACTGTTCTTGCTATTATTTCTCTTTGTACTTAAAATTTTCTGCTGTTGCCAGATGACATTCCAAGGTCACCCACAAGATGTCCTGGATTAGTCATACTTTCCCAGGAATGGGAACAAGTTTGAACATTGCTGCAAAGTTTTTACAATGTCTTTAATAATTTGTAATTTTTCTGTTACTAATTGTTCTTTCTGCTTGTCTTTCAGATACATATTCCATATATTTGGGCGTTTTTGTAATTTGGGCGCGTTCGTTATCGGTTTATGTACTTTTTGTGTTTACTAATACCTCACACCTTCAAGTTTTAACTAATTACCTCTTAATATTTTTTAAATTATTCAATTAAAGGTCAATGTATAGATTCATTTACACATATTTTTTTTAATTTTCCTAATCCTACAAAATTTTAAACATTCCTTGCTATTGTTGATGAATTTATTTATTTGTTTTTAAATATTTTTCTTATTGTCATTTTCTACTTTCTTCTTTTAAAAGTTTTTGTAGTTCAGAATATTCACCCAATCCTCCCATTCTTGTTAATCTTTGTTTTTATTCACAGGTATAAGTGATAAATGTTATTCGCGAGATACCTGGAGAGGTTTAACGAAATACTCAT